AGACATAACCAAATAGGCCACATAGGCATCTAAGAATCAAACATGGGGATTCAACCAACCATATATTTTTAAGCAGTAGCGTGGAATACACAGTATAATATATTGTAAAATGTTGCGATATTTGCCAGCAGACATGAACATTCCAATCGTTATACAATTATTAATGAATAGTTGCATCCGAAAAAACAACAGCATGGTGTGTGTGTGTGTGTGAACTTGACATGAAACACATAAATACATGGCAAATTTTGATGAAAGGTAGGTTCGTGCGATCACACTTGTAGTACTGGGGGAAACCGCCATGGTGAATTCGCTGGCAAACGAAGCACCGAAGATGGTAAGGGGAACGGCAAAACTGCATACAAATATGTATATATATATACATATATAATACATGTAAATCTATATATATATATATATATGTATATTCATAGTGATCCTAGAGTAGATGGAATATAAAATCGGAGGGTGCGGGGATTTATGTTGGATTCATGTTGGATGTTTGCCATATCACAAAGTCAAGTAGTGGATTTTTTTGACCAGATTCGACACCCTCCGGATATGTCGAAGACAGGTGTTTGGAATGTGGTTTGGAAGGTAGATGGAATATGTTAGCTCAAAGCGGCCCAAACGCTTCAAACTCTGTAGGATCATTGAAAAGAAAAATCTGCATATAAACAAAGTAAGTTTATATATATATATATATATACATACGTATGTAGGCAATTGAAGATGTGCAAAATCTGCTAACATACCCACAGATCCTGCTTGCCTGTGTGCTATTGCCAGCTATTTTCCAAGCATCTCTTCAGTATTTTGCAGTACCAGGTCATGACATTTTGAGGCTGTTCGGTTGCAAGGACATAGACATAGAATATTTCCAGAGGCTCTTCATCAAACGAAAAGGGAACACAAACATGAAAATGCGGCTGTCCCGGACAGTTCTCCTCGGGCTCAAAAGTTCTTATCTGAAAACTTAAGATGGTCAGGTTCCCCAAAGAGATTGGTTTCTTACTACTCGTGTAAAAAACAGCGCATTTTTTTTGCCACAAAGGGGTTCCCCCCCCCACGAGTGATGTTCTCCCCAATGCATGTTCCAATTTCCCATGTAGAATGCCAACATGTCGTTAAAGGACTGGTTCATACCTTGTGTGAATAGATAGGTAAAGGCTCCTGTAAACTTATCATGGGAATTTTAAGGGGATGAATATCAATAAGTCCCAGCTATGATATTAATACACATGATATTTCCCAGCTATGTTTCGATGTTCACCATGGCGACTAGGTGTTCAAATGTGATTTCAAATCAAACCAGCACAACTTGGGAGTCATGCAATGGCTTCAACCATTGGTGCAGGGCGTTATGAAAGTCAAATTGTTGTACAGGTCAGATATCTCCAAAGAAGATTGGAACAGATTTTGGGTATGTCTGAAAAAAGTAGGCTCCTCCCCCCCCCAAAAAAAAGTGTGATTTCGTTGGGGAAGAATTTTCTACGGTGAATCACCATGTGGAGTCAAAGCCGGCGCGAGGTGCATGTGGCAAATGCCCATCACCGGAAAAATCCAAGAAGGCCTGGGTTGTGTGATGGCACTGTGTGGCCGGGAAAGCCTTGGAGCCATGGAAAAGCCTTGTGAATATGGGGTGCATGTGTATCATACCTTTGCCGTATGATATTCTACACTTACATATTTGCTTTTCTTCCTATTGACCTGTCGATCCATCCATACATCCGTCCATCTTTCCATCCATCCATGTTTCTATCTTTATGAAAATCTTTACCGTATATATATATATAGATAGATAGATAGATAGATAGACAGATAGATAGATATATATATATACACATCATATATAGACATATAGATACTTTAACCCTCACCTCCAACTCATTTTTGCAGCTGCTGAACCCCCCGTTTTTCGAGGCAAAGTCCGTGGCCCTTCCACCTCCTCCCGGAAAGCCCGGAAGCTCAGTGGCTGCGCTGCTAGGTTTTGATCTATTGGTTTGAGCAGGATTTTTGTTTGTCGACCCTCTTTGTTTGGGTTTGCCGTAGCTTGTACATGATATAAATTTACATCGACCTACTGATAGCTGGTGTAAACACTGTTTAAGTGTGCTTTTGGAGATGCAATGTTGCATTCAACCTAATCAAAATTTACGACACCTTCATGCTATTGAAGCTATATCCAGTATATTCTGTTCATCAAAACCCAAGTCGTACAGTTCTATTCTTCATGACTTCATAGGTTCCTCCCATCAGCGAACCTCAGGAACCCGGTTCACCCCTGACAACGTCTCCTGCAATCATTTACTCGCAAATGCGTTATAGCCTAAATCAGCTCCGGAATTCATGGAACCCCGGTTGCGAAGTGAGAGGTCGGTCACTTCCACAGGTTCAGTTGACTATATTGCCCAACCATCCCTTTCAAAAAAATCCCAATGATTTTGTGGCCCTTGAGGGTACAAATAACGTTAATTAATTTTCCGGGGAATATCCAACCTGGGCCCTGTGATCAAAATTGATGTTCATTCATTTGTTTTTGCATTGTGGAAGGATGGTGCAACCAGCCAGACAAAAACAAGATGGTTCCTACCTCCCTGCTTGACTACCAGTCAAACACCATTGAACGTTTTACCATATGCTCCATGATGTACACAACTAGTTTCATGGCAAAACGTTCCATTATTTACTTTAAGACTTCAAGTCAAACTAATTTCATGATAAAAACCGTGGTTTCCTGTAGATCTTTCCGAATTTCCCTCGCCCAATCCATTGAAACTTCATCTGGGGAGGCCTCGCATTCCTGGAATCGCTCCAGACGTGCTGAGAGACGCTTGGCGCAGTTGAGGCATTGGAATCCCCAATGCTCCATGGAATACCTACCAACATCTACCCCCAAAAAATAGACCAAATCTAGATGAATATTCCATACATGGAGCATATATGGCGGCTATGGTATAGAACTTCGAACTTCACCAGGCAATTTGTGGGAAATCAGCAGTTTCAACCTATCGAAACTACCGTTTCACCATACGGATTTGTTTAAAAAGGCAGAGATAGGGGGTTGACGGGAACATGATGACAAACCAGTAGCCGCTTGATTTTGATCGTACCTAAGCCCTTTCGTATGATCCAATCTATGAGTTCATTTTTCTTTATCAGAATCAAGACTTGAACACCCCAAAACGGCCCATCCTGCAGTAAACTAACATAGCTATTGTAAAATTGTATAGGTGTTCCATTTAGTTTGCTGATTTGCCTTTCAAAAATGGTGAATTTCCATTTAGCACATTCGTAAATAACCAGATGGTATCCCATTTTTTCCAGCTATCGTGCAATATCTATTGGTACATATATATATATATATGATCATATATATATATATATATATATTCTTTCGACCACAATTTTTGATGGTTACATCCCAAGCAATCATAGACTACCAGGGTTTACAGTATATCTCCATAATATCCCATAAGATGGTTGTGAATATCCCATTACTACAATCTTTTTTTGATGGTCTAACGACCAAAACATTGACCCCTCCCAGGTGCAGGGACGTTTGAAGGCGAGGGGCTTGGCCAAAAGAGCAAAAACAAAGGAAAAGAGAGCAGATAAAAGGCGACAAGGGATGGAGTTTATAGTGTTTTAAAAAAAAACTGTGTATCCCTGTTTGTGTAATCTTTGACTAATATATATATATATATATTTATTTATTTATTTAAATTATTTGCATCTATATATGTATATTTTTACATTTTACATGTTACTCCTGCATATATATATATATAATGTTTTTTATTTACATATACATGCATGCATGTATCCACTCATACATGCATACATGCATACTTGCATGCATACATACATACATACATACATCCATGCATCCATGCATGCATACATACATACAGACGTAACATACATAACATACATTACATACAACACATACATTACAAACATTACTTACATACGTACATACATACATGCATACATGCATACATGCATACATGCATACATGCATACAGGCATACATACATACATACATGCATACATACATGCATACACCCATCCATCCATCCATCCATCCATCCATACATACATACATACATACATGCATATGTATCTGTATTATCTTTAAACAATGGGATCCCCAAACCCATAGGTTTTAATGCTCAAATCGTGTCATGACTTGGATGATTTTGGATGCCTCCATTTTAGGAAACATGTATATATTGTATATATATATATGCGTGTGTGTGTGTGTTATGTTTGTGTGTGCTATGCGTAATTATTGTATCAAATGTACATAAAGTGCATAGATGATTTTATTTACAACTATGCACTTGGATATGTCAACAGACAAAACATTAAAATTGAGTTTGCCAAAACTGAAGTTGGGATAAGCGCTCAAAAGTGTGTGGAGAATGATCTATGTGACCTGGCCCTTTATATACCCCTGCTTTGAGATGGATGTCAATGTGATTGTGAAAGATGAACATGTCATATATGAAATAAACAGGTTTTGGTGAATTGTCACATTGTTTGCTATCTCTTGTTTTGAGAGGCTACTTGTTTATTTGTTCTCAGCGGTTTATTTTGATTGCTTGTCATGCCTATTCGGGACACTAGTTCGTCGATCTGATCCAGTTTTTCTCCTGGTAATCTCCTGTAACCTGCTAGTGGAGAATTCATCATTTACATTTGATTGTTCTATCTATATATATATATATTTATATTATATATATAGCAAAAAAATCGTATTGGCAGTCGGATTACCGGCTGGTGATTTGGGTGAGCGGTTTGCTCAGGTGGAGGCTGGGCTTTAATGGACACTTGAACCATGTAAAGTAAACAAACGAGGCAGAATGGCAGTGGACCATTTCCTCCTCAAAAGTTCATGGAAATCTCAACATTCCAGTGGCAAATCAGATGCGCTTCAGTCGTTTTAGTTGCTATGTCATGCTGTTTCCATATGCATCACCGAGGCAATCTGTGGCATGTACAGAATCCAGCCCAACACGCTGAACGGCCGGGCGGTGTACAAGAAAGATCGCTCAGAAGCGTGCGCCAGGATTTGGCGGCGCCGGTTGGCTGGAGCTTTGGTGCCATGTTCAGGTTTTCTTTCACATAGTTTAGGAGTTGTCACAACTTGTGGAAGGTCTTGCACCCAAAAAAAAAAACAAATTCACCTATGAATACCAAATTTCCTGGATTAAATTCTCACGAAATGTCTTGGATTAATATCAATACCTATGAATACCTGTGAAATAGCTAGGATCTTGGATTGAGAATCCCTACCCACCCGGCCTGGAGGTATCTTCTCTACACCACTCTCCGCGACTGGATGTTCTCAGGGCGACCGGACGCCGGAGGGCAACGCTGTGAGGGATGGGCGTGGGGAGCCCCTGACATGAGGAGAGAGCTGTTCACCATAAAAAAAGGTCAGTTACATGTCGTTATATGATGTTCTGCACTGTGTTTTAATGTTATTATTTATATATGTATATAAAAATATATTAATCATACATATATATATATAGTATAATGTATTCTAATGTCATATATATATATTTATTTATATTAACCATAATTTATATATTGTTTTTATACACATGGTTTCAACAAATTCAAAGATATATCTTGACTCATGAGTTTTTCTTGCTTTGGCCCATCAACTTGTGGACCTTAAGACTCTATTAACTATGAGTTGAAGGTCACAAATATCCATCAGATTGGTTGGTTTTTGAGTATGTGAAAGGCCATTTGGGCATTGTCTTAAAAATGGTTGACACCCTCAGTTCCGGCCATTTGACAGTAGAATGATGATAACTCAGATGGAATGAGATTCCCAATTCTAACCCTTTTTTTCTCATGGAACAGGGGAACGTGGGAACGTCGTGAACTCTGGTCGTGACCGAATTCGGCCTCCAGTCGTTCGCCTCCAAGGTACGTCACGGATTCGGCCGAATTCCCGGACCAGGTCTGGGGGGGTGTTGCTTGATGCTACATCTGATGACCACGTTACAGATCTTCAGGATTCAAACGCCTGTCTGTGTGGCGATGTGTAAAATAATGTTTTCAGTGGAATGATTCATTGATTTTTGTGATGTTTATTTCTTTGGTGTCCAAGTTCCAAAATATTCACATTGAGGATGATGCTGGATATTGACGTTGATGCCACTCCCTTGTTTTTGGTCATCATTTTTTGCCGTTGAAAAAAACTTGCGACGCGACGCGACGAGCCTGCCAGGTCTGTAGCGTTTGGAAAGTCTCGGGCTCGAAAGGATGGGAAGAGGCGCTCTGGGAGAATCGGGTTTGGTTTTTAGATCTTTTTATAAATGTTGATTCTAATATCGATTACCCTCTGGTAAACTAACATAGCTATTGAAAATGGCCATTTATAGTCGATTTTCCCATTAAAAAAGGTGATTTTCTATAGCTATGTTAAATTACCAGAGGGTATATAGTATATATAGATAAATATAAACCAATTATCATTTGGGTTTCAATATCATCTAATTAATTGGGTTTGTAGATCTAGTATAATGAGATCATCTATATTGTTTGTCATGACCAATATTGGGAGAAAATGATTATAATATAGCTATAGATTGTGGTCATAATATAAATGTCTGAAATTGGGAGAAAAACATAATTGACAATACTTGTTTATAGGTGACCATGTTACAGTTATTGATAATAGCTGTTTTGTTTATTATCATTATCTAATGATTTTCTTTTTATAATTGTATAATGAATGTTTGATATGTTAAAGTTATTGTTTGTATATCGATATTAATTAATTTGGTGAAATCATTTTTTATATCATCTAATCAACTATATGCATAATCAATGAACTCCAAATGGCCAAAAAAGGCACGGCGCAACTATTGGGTTTACCATATTCATCTGCTGCCTTTCAGTCCAGTCAGTCAGAATTTGGTTCATCCAGTTGCAATATTTTACTCGTAGCCTCTCTTGTGTCACTCTTGTAGTTGGTTTTCCACCCTCGCAAAAGTCAAGCAAAGTGATTGATTCAAGGAGCAGCCGATTCCAACCAATTGACGCTAGCTGTCCAGTTTCACCTAGATTTCAGAAGTGAAAGTCGCACGGAACTTTTTCCAAGACAGTGAACATTGCATCTTAATTTAATCAATTCGCACAACATTCATTATTTGACAGATACAGCTACAGAACATGTGTAATTATATATATATATACTATTACATGAAATTGCCACTTCCCCAGGGTTTCCACCAGGCTCAGACTCTACCCCTATCTTTCTACCCAGGACCCCTCCTTGGTCGTGAGCTGCTACGAGGGCTTACCCGCTGAGTTCAAGGCGGCTGGTGCCTATGGTTTTGGTACTGTACATTGTACATTAGAACTAGAATCTATGGTGAGGCAAGAGGTTTTAATCAATATCTATTTGAACTGGAATAAGATCCTATGGTGAACCTATGGCGAGAATTAGAATCTATTTGCATTTACAATTACCGTTGTCTTTGCCATAAGTCAATTCTGTCACAGGTAGAGGTTCTGGTACGTTTTCCCTTGGATATATAGGTCACAAGAGGCAGATTACAGGAGAGAACCTGCCAGGGATGGATTACTGGGGTCCCGGGGTTTGCCGAAAATTTCGGCCCTAGGTCAGTAGAATGCTTCAGATTGGGAATTTCACCAACATGGGTGGTATATATTGAAACATGATGGAACATTGAGATACATTGGGACGACATTGGGATATAATGCGATATCTACATACCAACAATATGGTTCATATGATTCGTCATATGATGTCTCAAAATGGGGATGGGCCCACAAGCTATGGCCATTCAGAAATGGGACACATGATGATCCCTGCCATGTGACGTAGCGGAGTTCCTCCGTTTGTGGACACCTATTTGATTCCTGCGGTGTCATCCTTGCATCACTGACATCACACAAGCCAGGAAAAGGGCTCTTGCAGTTTCGAAGGCAGCAGCGTGCGGATCCCCACTGGTCGGCAAGTGGAATCTAGAGTGCCATGGGACAGACAGGATGAAAGCATTCTGGACAATCTGGCTCCGGGTTCTAAGTCGGATCGACTGATAGTATGAAAAATACGCGAGAATGAGAATATATGAGGTAAGGATCGTACATAGATATGGAATTATATGGGTGCAGCCATAGACAGTGTATACGGGTCAAAACCCTGGTACCTTGCTTTTGACATCAAAATATTTGCTAGTTATGGATCTTCATCGCCCCACATTCCTGCATGATTATGATACCATACGTTTTGACAAATTCACATAAATTCACCACATAAAACAATGGAAAATCAACAGCTGGAGACATGGAATTTCCAATATCCATATATTCCATATATGTTCAAACCCACCAACACTAGGTCTTCCTGCAACTGCTTGGGAAGCCGTCTTCCCGCTGGGACTTCCCGGCGTCACCGAGGTCGTTACTGAAAAGGTTTGCTATGACGATGGCTGCGGCCCCACGGGAGAAATTTCATCGTCAGTTCCCGATTCTTGTTGGCTGGTGGAAATGGGGATCATGAAAAAAGCAGCGAAGATCATTATTATCTATAGCATTACTATTATGAATCTAATAACAATCCAGTATACACGGAATAATTCATCATCATCAAATTCTTCTTCTTTTTCTTCTTCTTCTTCATGTTCATCATTATTTTCATCTTCATCTTCATCTTCATCATCATCATCATCTTCTTCTTCATCATCATCACCTTCTTCATCTCCATCTTCATCTTCAATTTCATCTTCATCATCATCATCATCACCATCATCATCATCATCACCATGATCTTCATGATCATCATCATCATGATCATCATCATCACCATCATCATATTAATCATCATCATCATCATCATCATGATCATCATCATCACCATCATCATCATCATATTCATTTTAATATTCATCATATTCACCATCATCATAATCATCATCTTATTCATCATCATCATCATCATCATCCTATTGTTCATCTTCATTTTTATCATCATCACCATCATCATCATCATCACCATGATCTTCATGATCATCATGATCATCATCATCATCATCTTCATATTCATCTTCATCTTCAATTTCATCTTCATCATCGTCATCATCATCATCATCATGTTCATCACGTTCATCATGTTCATCATTATCTCAATATTCATTTTTCGTCTTCATTTCCAAGTTATGTGATCAGAATACTGCAAGTACATGATATATCAATGGTACGTGGCGCCTCGGGCCGAGGCCTTTTGTGCATCCCGGTGAACAAACCGGAGGTAGCCCCATCACCACCGCACTGATGCAGTTTCATGGGGTTGACGCTGGAACATGTTCGGAAACACTATTATATATATATATATCTGTGTGTGTGTCTGTGTATACAGTAAATCCAAGTGTTGCTGGTTAAAACATCCAGAGATTATCATTGATCACGTCTGTACCCAAGGGACCCGGTCAATCTAGTTCTGTTGCGAAAAGATGTTCAAGACACTGATACTGGTTATAAGAGTTTCGATGTTTGACCAAAATTTGTTAGACATGAGTGCTTTGAAAGTTTGAAGATGTTTGCTTCTCTCGCACACTTCGCTGCTCCGACTGGTCTTGGTATAAAACGTTCAAACACCACGCAGCCAGTCCTTGAGAAGCAATGTCGAGATCCAAACAGATTCTTGGGAAAGATCAACCAACAAAAACGCTTGCAACTCGACTCTCACCTTCAGGATGAGAGATGCGAACGATCATACAATCAACATAAATCCGGAAGCAACGCATTTTTCGTTCATGGCTTGGTAGCTGTCGTCACGGTCGCTGGCGAACTTCGGTGGGATCCTGGCGACTGGCCTGCGGGTGGGGAAAACCATGGCATGGCATGCGGCTCAGGCGCCTGGACCATTCCACAAGAAGTTGATTTGGCTATGGATCAATACCTATGAAAATACCATTTTTAATGGGATGAACATCCATAAATCCCAGCTATTTTGATGTGAACAGAAGGGGTACTATTGGTTTTGACACACTGCCATTTGTAAAAAAAACTTACGTGACCAAGTTGAAATGCCAAGTTTCGGGGTGTGTTGTCCGACCTCAAGAAGCTCTGTATCCGCTCGGGAATCGATGGAGCTTGATGCTGTAACTTGGGGTTGTTGTTTATGTCTCCCAAGTTTATTCTATCTCATATAATAGCATATTATAGCATATTATAGCAACCCCCAAAAGATAGAACATGATTATTTGAGCAACATTGCGGCTAGTTCATGTGTTCTATGCTGCTATCCTTTTTCAAAGGTTGCCTTCGGTGGCAGAGATCCGGCCTAGCCCGGCAGCCCGGGCACGGCAGGGTCAACCTCCAGCTCCCACATCACAACGTGCGCGAGGTTGGGAGATGGCTGGGGAAACCTCGGCGGAAGGGAAAAAGGATGTTTCAGAAGCATCAATATGGCTATGGATCAATACCTATTAATACCATTTTTAGTGGGATGAACATCCATTTACCAGCTATTTTGATGTGAACTACAGGGGTACAAGGTTTTGACCCATCCCCATATAGCAAACATTTACTAGGTTTAGCAGCAATTCAATCAGTGAACAACTTGTTTACAGCGGTTGATATGTTTTTCCTGCTGAGCTCAAATCAAGCCTCTGAGGTAATTCTGCAAAAACAAATTCCATGACTTGGCAGTGAACAATCCTTCTGGTGGTAAGAAATGAGGCTAGGCTAAGACTAAGTGGTCAACATTTTTTTCAGTAAAGTTTATATACTAAATGGTTAAGTTTTATACTATATATATATACATACTATATATATATATATTATATATATTATATATATATATATTATATATATATATATTATATTTATATATATGGGTACATTAAAACGACCTCATTGCGACCTCACTGGAATGATGGTTCATCCCCAAAAGGCAGGGCCCCTCGGGTTCCCATTGGCTAAGTTGGTTTATAACTAATGTAGTTAGGGTTTTTGGTATCGATATGTCGTGATATGATTAACACATATAGTATAAGTTGTATATCACTATAGTTAACCACCATTAATGTTGTGTTATAAGTTGATTTATATCACTATAGTTAATGGTGGTTATAAATCAACTTATAACACATGGTTCGCGAATTTCAGACCGCCAGCAGCGCTGGTCAGGGACCAGCGGGACCAGGTTGCCAGCATTGCGGCAGCGTTGGAAAGAGGTGCTAAACTCTGACAGCATGAGCCCTGGACCAAGTTGGGTTTGTCCTTGTTAGTGATGTTGAATGTCATCATTATCAACCTTCCAGGATCATATAGTTGAGACATATTGAAACACTGGGATAGCCTGTTGACTTTATTTTCCCCCATTTCGGCCTCATGTCGTATATAATGATGCAACGTGCTTCCTGCCATTCCAGTGTTTGAATGCTGAGCATGTTCAGTGTCAACTGTCCAATTTCTGTGGTAGCCCCTATTTTGACCCATATCAAACTTGGAATATTACGATCCGTTGATAACACGTTTTATTTTCACAGCAAATTCAGCCAACGCTACATTTTGAGACCAGAGACAGGTTTGCCTTTGGCCCGGCAACTGCGCGGAGAGTCAAGGACCAAAATCGAGTTTGCATGTCCATTATTGATCTATGTTCAACATTGCATTTCAGAAAGAACCTATCATTTTTTTAGTTGGTTCTCAAATACAGAAAGCACATGTATACTGTAATTGATATGAATATGATACTGGTTGGTGGTTTCAAACATTTTTTTCCATAGTAATTATACGGGATAATCCTTCCCATTGACGAAGTCATATTTTTCAAGATGGTTAAAACCAGCAGCCAGTAAATTATGAACATGGATCCACCACTTCATTGGATTTTGTTTCGGCTGCCAGGCGAAGCTTTGCTCCAGGTGCGGGCACCGGGAAACCATGTGAAACCAATGGGAAGACATGGGCAGACCATTCAATCCATCCAATGGATTGCAGATGATTAGAACATGATTGCGTTCCGGTTATTTTGGGGTAGCTCCCATTTTTGGACAAGCCCATTTCAGCAAATGCAGTGGTGAATGATTTTTTGTTGCGATTAATGGTACAGTTAGCTAACGGGTGATTCACGAATTGAGAGAGACATTAAAGCTAATTTAACTATTTGTGTTGAACTACAGTAAAACAACCAAAGGCTCTTGCGGGATATCTGTGCAATGATGCCACCGACAGGAAATGTATGGAAATTGAATGACATTGATTTATATCCTGTAAGAATAAGAACACATATGTTTCGTGTTAGTTCCAAGTGTTACCAGTAATGTCCTTGTTTTCTCTTGTCAATCCCACAATTTTGCTGGTCGACCACAGAGCGCATGGCACAGGCTGGACAGAACTCGCAGGCGCGCAGGCGCAGGCGAAGGCAGTAGCGGCCTGCGTGAAGTTACCGATCGGCTGCTGGAATGTCAGACTCTTGGCGGAAGCTACCCTTCAAACATCCAGTGAACTAGCATAGCTATGGAACATGGTCCGTTTATAGATGATTTACATAATTTACCTACACAAAATGGTGAATTGTCCGTATCTGTGCTGGTTTACTAGCGAGTAACTACTTGGGTGTGCAGTTGGCGTGAACATGAGTAATTGGTTATAAGGGAATTTAAGCGGCTATGATTATAGATCCACCATTGGAATTGCATCTCCAAGTAATACAGCAACCTGGAAATTGGAAAAGAACCACCGTATGATCCAATCCAGAAAGGCCTTAAATGAAGATGAAACATGCAAAACAACGTGTTTTGTTCCCAATTCTATGCTAGTTTGCTAGAGGGTACTCCTGTAGTAATCAAATGTCACAACTAGAAATCCACTGTTTACACATGTGTTTCCTGCCGAATACTAAGAATGGATACTGTTTACGATGTGAATTTGTCGTTGTCATGTGTGATTACTGGAGGATTCCATACACAAATAAGCTTATATTATATACATACAATTACATACATACATACATAAGACCCAGATATTGCCCATCGATACACAAATTGCCTGTATCACCGTGATAATATCACCCCAGCTGCTTTTTGACTGGCAGAGTGCTGGTGTCATCTGAAGAATGTCTTGACATCTTTTCATCTTCAGTGATTTTTCTGAGACATGTAAAAAGCCCAACCTGAAGCACGGCCTCTTGTCCAGTGTGCACTTCGGGTTCCCACATGGCAACATTCCCTGCATTGGATGAAAGGAACATATACGTTTAAGCCGTGTATATATATATATATGTATATATGTATATACATATATATATGTGTACTAATTATATAGATATAATATATATATATATATACACATTTTACGATTATTATATACACGCATGTATACTTCACCAATGGTAAACAACAATCTTTGTAATTCATCCCTTCAAACATCCCCTGCTGTTCCCACTGAACTCCAAAGATTTTCCCATTGTCCAGTTGGTGATATATCATTCCCCATGTTGGTGAGTTATATTCCCATGTTTGTCCGTTATATGCACCAATAGTTTTATATTGGGGGAATCATATGTCATAGTTATAAGTTATAACGATCAAAATTATAACTATAACTCATATGAGTTAGATTGAGTTAGTATATGTTATACTTCCTGTGTGTTGAGCTACACCTCCATATCAGTTGGCTATATGTTATATCCCCAAGTTTTCACTGCAATCATATCCTCCCAGGAGCTCGAGACAATGGGAAGAAGGTTTCGGGGTGCTCCAAGACGCCATTGCTTCCACAGTGAAAGCTGCTGAGATCAGAAGTGGTGGTATCACCGGTGTCCGTTGTGGGCTTCAAGGAGGTTTCAATTCGATAGGGTTAGAAATGCAAGAGATTTCTTGAGGTGTAAATAATTGAACAGAACCATATTTTCTGATATACTGTGAATATATACTATTGCATATCAATATGGAGTGGGTCCGGTGAAAACTCTGGTTGAAGCCGCCCAAAATTTGTGAGTCTTCTTGTTAGCCTTGGCGACAACCTCTAGATGGTAACCCAAAAAGATGCAGAAAAGTCTGATTTACCTCCATTTGAGTAGGATTCACCACTATTTCAGTAGGATTTTACTGGCTTCTATCTTTTTTTTGGGGAGTTGCCGTAGTTCAAACCCAACCCAACCAGCAACAGTGGCTTAAGACCCACCCAGGTTTCCTAGCCACTCACCCAAATGGATGACCATCATTTTCACATTTGTTGTACTGGCAATATAGTTGGGTACAAACCCATTTGACTGGTGCCTTGCCAAACTGGTTTTGTTCTGGCTGCGTCGTTTGGGACCTAGAGGGTTTTTGGCCTCAGCAACTGCACAGAGGGTCATCTACTCAGCAGGGAGTCTGGAGATCGGAGTACTAATCCATTGAACATGTATATACTTGCTGCATGGTTCAGCCCCATTTAACCCGACATTTTGTGTAGACATGTGTCATATCGATGTTGCTTCCCGACGATTCTGGGGTTATGATCCGCCCATCTCAGGTTGATGTGATCGCCATGGGCATCGCCATGTCTATGGCGCAGAAGTCACCAGAGGCAGAATTTGACCAATCTTTGGCATACCCGAAATACTCCCAAGAAGCTAGTTACCCTCCGGTAATTTAACGTAGCCCTTTGAACACTGCACATTTATAGTTGATGTACCTATTGTAAACTCTGATTTTCCATTGCTATCTTATTTAAATTACCAAAGGGTATCACATAATTTCATATAACGGTTTTTGCTCATTAATATTCCATGCTACCATCAATTTTGATTGTAGAATCTCGATTTTTGATGGTTAGGTCACCATATCCCAAATTAAATCACCATTTATAGAATGTTCCCCATTTATAGATCATTGTCCCATCAAAAGCCTCCATTTATTTGGGAGATTTCTCCATTGCCAGGCAGCTGCTTGGGCCTCCGCCGTGGCCGTTGGAAAGGAGCAATAAGCAGGCGACAGTGAAGATTACAAAAATGGACAAACATGGATGCAGTACTATGTAGAGAATGTAGATATCATAATATAGTAATTAATAGTATGTAGCTATATATAGCTATATGTAGCTATAGTATGTAGCTATAGTATGTAGATATATGGTATGTGGATACAGTATGTAGATATATAGTATGTGGATATATATATATATATAGTATGTGGATACAGTATGTGGATATGGTATTACATGAATCGTGTATATGATATATATATATATATGTACATATACTGTGTATACAACATGTATATACATGTGCATATATATATATATATATACGAATATGTACATATATATATATACATATATATGAATACGTACAGATACACATATATATATATGTATACATACATGTTTCGTAAATATGGTGTGTGTATATATAGATATATGGATTGGTGATGGATGGGTCGGTCGATAGAGACATACACGGATGGCTGGATAGATGCTCCCAACACAATTTGTGTCGACGTTCTTTGGCGACTACTTCAATGTGGTAAAACTAACCAAATTCCATTGGTTTGAAAGTGAGAAGTTTACGTACACCTTGGAGCCATGGGTTTCTTATGAGGGATAGAACTTGAACTTCACGGAATTATGTGTGCAAAATCTCAAGCCTGTAAAAAGCACATACGAGTCTCACACATCTGGTGACTATTTCAGCCTCAGGCAAATCTGTGGAGGCCCCACAATTGTGATGGAAAATTTGATCCCAACGGATCCCTAGCGAACAACTGCTTGGCGGTGAAACCACCAGCCGCAGGACATGTCTTGCAGGGCAATTTCTGCTAACCAGGTTGAGCTCTGGATGGGTCTGGGGGACTGCTGTTGCTAATTTAATGCAATTGTCATGAATCTCTTCAAACACAAAGCAATGAATCAACAGGTGGTAAAGGGGCAACAGGTGAGATGACTCACGGAACAATGTTTGTTTCAATGTCCATTTAACCTTCAATGCAACAGTCCAATTACCATGACGTTGACGACGATGACGACAATGATGATGATGATGATGATGATGAGGATGATGATGATGATTATGATATCATAATCATTTATATATATATATATATATTACATTTCATTTCTATGACCTATTATCAATCATATAAATCATAAATCATATTTTATCATTGTTAATATATTATCACTGTCATTATCGATTGATATCATTTGCTACTATATCTCATGTTGCTGTCCAGATGGCTTGAACACTTCGCCACTTCGCGAAGGTGACTCTGGGCACCCTGCTGAGCGCTTACGGAATGGTCACGAATTGGCTCCAGGCGCCGCCCGAAAATCGCCACCGAAAAACTGAGGATTGAACCAACAACATCTCGGGATATCATGGGGATATGTATATACCTTCTTGTAAACTAGCATAGCTATATGGAACATCACCATTTTTAATAGCTATGTTAAGTTACCAGAGAGCATGGCATATTTATGGTGCATCTATATGTATCTATGATATATTTGAATATTTTTGACAGTCAATGAGATAGTGGGCTTGTTCGAACATGGGGTATACCCGTGTACCCTTTAAAATTGCAATTTTGATGAGGATAGTCATTTTCAAAACGGTTCGATTTTGGGGTTGCCATTTGCAGACAGACACAAAAGGGAAGAGGGTAAATGTAGGGTGCAGTATACATTTGGTGTAAACAGATCCATATCACATCCATCTATAGTTCATTTAGTTGATTATGGGCCAACTTATGATTGCAATCACAGGGTTCTTCATCAATGATTTTTGCAGAAGGACCTGCGTTGATCGGTTAGGGGAAGGCACACAGGTCGAGTGAAGGAGCTTCCCCCTTCGGTACTCCATGGCTGGGAAATTCCCGAAACTAGAGATTTTCCGTTGCCATGTTCGATTGCCGAGGGTAAATCCGGGTAAATTGGTGAATTATTTGCCTATCTGAATGTGAATCACTGGCTAGGGCCATGCAGTGTACATGCAATGGAGATGTCCTTCATGTTTTCCTTGGCAGGCCGTGCAGCTAGTACATCTCTCCTACCAGTGGCCGGTGTGTCCCGCCACCCTTACAGTGGTCAGCTTCAATGTGCATCTGGCATGTTGCTGCAAGATGCGCAAGGAATGCAAGTTGGTGACTGAACTCACAGCCCTTGGCGGGTAGATAGTATACAAACATAGGTTGCATAGAAGTGGACAGAGCACCAACATGGGCTATCTCCATAAGTTTTTGGATCAGTATTTGCCTAGGCAATGCTTGCCGCCTGCCGTGTGCAGTGGCCTTTGACCCTACACATGTTGTACTGGCCTCGGTCTGCCCAAGCGCCCAGAAAATAGATGATGAAATAGATCACTGTCAGTGGACTGATCTCAGCACTACAGTTTTGTTATGGTTTGTTCATGTACTGCAACATGATCAGCATTCGCAGATGAAGCAAACCCAGCATTTCCTGTGGAAAATGATCGCCAAATAATCCCTGTCCCTAATATTAAACACCTTCCTGAAACCATGGTTTGGTAGAGGATTAATTTGCACATCTTGGGGACCATCAAGGGGGTGTTCAATATATCATGATTTGAACGGGGGATGGGATTTACTATTGCTTATAGTTTGCTTAGTTATAAACCATGAAATATCCCCAGCAATATCCCATAAAATCACCAAACACATCACCATGTTTGATGGTCAAATCAACACTGAAATATAGTTTCAAAGCCCAGCGCCACTCGTGACCCGAGGTTCGCGAGTGCGTCTCAGAGGTTGCCACCAGATGTGGCGCCTTTGGCCTGGGACGGGGAGGGCGGCAGGTGAATCATCGCAAGATGCCGCAGGTGTTCGACATATGTGGACATATTATACCTACAGTTAATATAATATGGAATATTGGTTATAGATGCTTATAGTCTTATAGTTATAGTTATGCACTGTAGTAACTATAACAACTAATTAGTTGTTATAGTTGTTGTATTTACTATAGCGCTCTAACTATGATTATAAGCAATATTCCATACTATGTCAATTACTATAGGTATAATTGCCATGATGGGAAATATATGATGGTTTGCATAGTCATGGTTTCTTTCAAGGAAAATCCAAAAAAATGATGATAATTGGGGGTACCCCCACGTCAGGAAACCTCCAAATATTGCAAAACTCATCCAGGTGGATACATATATATATATAATATATATATATATACACATACATATTATGTATGAGATGGACAATGTTACTATGTTGGTCTTTTTAAGTGCTAAACTGCTAAACAATGGAATCTGGCAAGTTTGTGGATAATTCGTGCCATGAGATGAATCTCTTCCTTTGTCACAAGACCCCAAAGGCCTGGAGAACTCGGCAGGTGCAACCTTCACCCCATGGCAGGCAAAATTACCCTTCCTCATGGTTAAATCATGTTAAATCATGTTAAATCAGAATTGAATTGGTGAAAAATCACCATGTTTTTTTCGGTTAAAATCACCATGTTTGATCCTTCAACCATCATTTCTTGCTGCTTAAGCCAGCATTGCCACCCCAGTGTGCAGCATCGTGGGCCGAGGTGTCCTACAACACCGTGGCCTCAAACGCTGGGCCTTGGACATGGGCCGTGAAGCTGTTGACATCGGCCAGGGAGGTGCGGAGTGTGCGGAGTGGGTGAAAAATGGGATTCATCCTATGTACCCTCTGGTAATTTAACATAGCTATTGAAAATGGCATGTTTTAATGGGAAAATCAACTATAAATGGCCATGTTCAATAGCTATGTTAAATTACCAGAGGGTACCCTCTGGTTATTTAACATAGCTATTGAACATGGCATTTTTTAATGGGAAAATCAACTATAAATGGCCATTTTCAATAGCTATGTTAAATTACCAGAGGGTACCATCTGGTTATGACTAACAGTTCGCCATGGAAAATCCCCATTTTTCATAGGTAAACCATCTATGAACGGGCCATTTTCATCCATTCTCTATGGCTATGTTATATAACCAGAGGGTAACCCCCCAAAAAATGAACCCATCCCCCAAATTTAATGATTCACGGCTTTTATGATTTTTATGGGTGCTGTAAAACTGTAAACCATCCCCAAATAATAGGTTTACTATCGGGTCGCCCACATTGATATGGGCTATTCAATAGTATTTATTATGTGTTTTTATCTATATATCTGGTTGGTGGTTCGGAACATGTTTTATGTTTCCATATATTGGGAATAATAATCCTAACTGACTTTCATATTTTTTAGAGGGGTTGAAACCACCAACCAGTATGTGTATATATATAATATAATATAATATATATATATATGGGTAAATCATAGCGACCCCACTTGTCTTCAGCAGTTCGATGATGCTATGGATTGACATCATCCCCAAATAGCCGAAGGTAGCTGGTCTAGGACATAGTATGTTTTTCCTAGATCTTATGGGATATGGACTAATATGGGATGGATTTTTTTTCGTGGGTATGTGATATGAAAATATCTCAGGCATGTAGTGAGAACATTGTGAGAACATACAGATTTTTGACTTCCCTGAGATCTCTCTGAGAAGTTTTATCACATTTGGTGTCCGCCTCACAGATCCAGGAGTGTGGCAGTAGAATGCCCTCCAGATTCGACAGCATTCCATTATCATCCCCCATACTGGGTTTAGGAATCTTCACTTGGCTGGTGAATCGGCTGCTGCTGGACGTATAGGAGGAAGGTAATATCACGACCAGCCAAGTCCACTACAACGTCAAATTTAGCCAAGTGAAGATTCCCTTGATATACTTTATAATTACATTAATATGGAGAGTGGCCAAGTTCAGCTATGTCTCCCAGAACGTCCCAGCATCCCAGCATTCTCACCGTACAGGCGTCAGTGCGTTGCAACACCATTGGAAACAACGCAGTGATTGCAGCCTGCAGCACATCTTTTGCTTGGAGGCTGCAGCAGTGCGCACTGCTGGGATCTTCACCATGGAAGTTGCAATCTTAGGTTCACCTTTTCAGCAAACTCAATAGTCAACTGACCATTCTTTTGGATGATTAGACTACCATTTATGGTAGTCTTTTGGAGAGATTATGATATTTTTGTGTGGTTTGGCTCACACTGATCTCTATTCCCCAACAGCAAATCCATTGGACAATCCCCTGAGATGGCGATTGGGTTTGATGAATGTTTTATTCTGATGTGTTCGCGAGAAAAAGCGCATTTACTTTGGCCACAACACCATGGCAATATCACAGTGTGTCAGATATCAACAATATATCAAAACATCCTCTAACATAATAATATCAATAAGAAATGAATATCAATAATATCAAGATTGACATCCTGCGGAACATTCCACCAAAACCTCCAAGCGCTTCAGCCGCCATAGGGAAGCTGTGGCGGTTGCAGACACCATGCAGTTTCGAGGCCTCAAGCGGCGCAACGGGAGAGGTTTGGGTTTTGGGCTGCGTTGAGTCATGGTAACGGTGGGTTGCAAGAGATAAAACCATCTATGATTGAATGGTGGTTTCAAAAAAGTCTGTTTCTGCTGAACCATGGAAATAAACTATGACTTCAACATCTCGAAATGAAATGATATCAGGAAGTGGATGGTTTGAGGACTAGAATGTTTTGAATTCAGGGTAAATTCACAGTTTTTTGGGCAAACCCAAATAGCTACTGGTTCCGAAGTGTTTATGTGGGTCAAAAGTACCTAAGGAACCTACTTGTTCACATTTAGTATTCACTGATCCCAACACGGGGTGTGTAAAATGTTCTTTGAGTCATACCATATGAAACCCGATTGAGACATCCATTCACTGGCCACTGTTGGCTGCCTCCGACTAGGCATCCAATGCTCAACGGTGACCTGCAACTCTTTAGGCGCCAGTGGAGAACGGGATTCCCCATGGATTATGATGATCCCCAATGGTATAATTTATGGATTATGTTGGTTCATAAATTATGATGATTCATTATGATATATTATGGTTCATGAATTTATAATGAATAACCATAATCCACAATTATTTACCATGATTATGAGGTAAATATAATCCCCGAACCAATCATCAACCAACAGGGTTAACATCGACACACATCTGGCCAGGAACTGCCAATGTGCGCGCCAGTCACTGGCAGAAAGCCTCTGTGGTTCAGGCAGTTCACAGTCATTTTGTCGTATTTTGTCGTATGAAACCAATAGAAGAAAAGAAGACAACACCGAAGTAGGCCATGCTTGTTTGAGCTCCTTAGGTATCTTAGATTATTGCATTATCAACTACATGTATATTTATGTAGTTAAAACAAAATCGAATCGAGCATGTTTTCCGTCACACGGAGTATAATGGAATCAGATTATGCCTGCAAAAGGACTTATCGTTTCTTCGAAGATGGGTGAAGCTGCTTCGGGAATCTCCATCAAGGGAGGGTTTTTTGAGCACCAATGCCGAGAGGCAAAGCATCGAAGGATCATGTCACGCCCCTACTAAATTGCTATGCCGCGCTTTAAAGGAGAACCACCCACACACACTTCGTCCCTACTAACTTGCTATGCCGCGCTTTAAAAGAGAACCACCTACTTCTTATTTGGGGGTGTCCTAAAATGGGGGGGACACCCCTAACATCATCCATGATTTAATAGGAGTTTCCATCATAGACCATCCATTTTGGGGTAGCTCCATTTCAGGACAGCTCCATTTTGTGAGAATCCAGGGGTTCCCAGTTTGGCTTCAGGATTTCATGCTGGACAGCAAGCTCACACCCGATGCACTGAGTGTTCCTCTCAGGAGATTCTAACCTTCACCGTATCGGGAATTTTTGACCATTCCTTGGAATGACAAGCAGCTTTCTTTTGTCAACCTGACAGAGACCATAACAAATCTGCCGTTAGAAAGTGGAATTTGAACATCTTATTCAATTCGAACGACCAGAAGATGACCCACGGGGGCCTTCTTGGCTGGCTCGGTGCTTCTTGCCAGGAGCATAGTTTGGATGGTGGTTTTGTACCCGTGTTGGTTTGGCTACTATAGAGGACTATCATCCTGCTTGATATCTTGGGGGATTGGTGTCAACCCCAGATAAATAAATCCAGACTACTTATTGGTACCACCCTGCTGGTCATGAACCGGGGGATACCGGGGGTTGAGAGTTGATCATCCCCAGAAAGTCTCAATTACAACAGGTGACATCACGACTGTCGCCACCAACGAATAAATTTATTAAGCAGCTTTCTGGTTGTATCATGTTCTATCCCAGTTTATGTTGCTTATAGACCTATAATGACCTATAGACATCTCTTTGTGAGTTCCCTATATGTTTGTTGCTTATGTACCCCACTTAGACATACTTAGACGTACGTTGCTTGATGTTAGCTGTCCCAGGTTTCAACGTGATTTTGAGCGCCTTGGACCGTGCAGAACAGCCACAGTTGGGCACCCGTCAGACTGAAGGGTGGGTACTGCTGGGGCATCCCAGCTGGTAGGTGGTTAATGGGGTGTGGGTTTGTATTATATAATTTATTCATAAATATATATATATATATATCATTACATATATATGTAATTATATATATAATTACATATATATATATAAAATTACATATGTATAATTATGTATATATAATTACATATATATATATGTGTATCATTACATATATATATAAAATTACATATATATAATTACATATATATAATCACATATGTATATATAATTACATATATATATACATACATATATATATAATTACATATGTATATATGATTATATATATATATAATTGCATATATATATATAATTACATATATATATATAATTACAAATATATATATATATAATTACATATATATATATAATTATATATATAATTACATATATATATAATTACATATATATACATATAATTACATATATATATAATATTACATATATATATATAATTACATATATATATATAATTACATATATATATATATGTTAATGTGGTAAACCCAATGCCATAAACAACTACAAAAAGCGGGGATGGTAAACATACCCATGGCTCGCCATGGTGACTTGGGAATGGTCGGATAGGTGGGGAAACTGTCCGACGGTGGGGAAACCTCGCGGCAAAAATCCCCCCTTCATGGTCTTTATCTCTTGAATTTCTGGTTCGGCTGTGTTCGCATCTGATGGGCCAATGCAACCTTGAGAACTATAATATATATATATATATATTAAATTATTATATGGTTAATATTTATAATATGATATAATATATGTTTGAATTGATGGTTGCTTCAAGAAGTGTGGGTTCTAGTCCCAGACTATGGATTGTTTTAAAAGGTGTCTAGTCCAAACATGATCAAACATGTCACAACATCATAAACATCCCGGCGGAAGGGAAACCGCGCGAGCGTTTTGATTGGTTGCTTCCAGGAGAGTCACAATCACCTGTAATTTACAATATAAAATGCTCTTCCGATCAGTTTGGATAACTGAATTTGGGTTAAAAAAAGTGGATGCAAAATCTATTGATTTTTAACAAATCCAGGTAAACATCATGTGCATCAGACGTGGATGCGCAGATTTTTTTCACACTCTTCGTCGGCTCAGCGATCCATCAGTGTGGAAGCTGTCTTCGACAGCAAGTTGCCATTATGGCACTCATAACGCCACTGCCAGCAGCGTAGCAACATGTAACGTAGTAAACGATCCCAGAGATCTCAGCAGCGTAGCAACATGTCACGTAGTAAACGATCCCAGAGATCTCAGCAGCGTAGCAACATGTAACGTAGTAAACGATCCCAGAGATCTCAGCAGCGTAGCAACATGTCACGTAGTAAACGATCCCAAGGATCTCAGCAGCGTAGCAACAACGTAGTAAACGTAGAGATAGTAGCAACATGTAACGTAGTAAACGATCCCAAGGATCTCAGCAGCGTAGCAACATGTAACGTAGGAGAGATCTCAGCAGCGTAGCAACAACGTAGTAAAGGAAACTATCTCAGAGATACCAGCAGCGTAGCAACATGTAACGTAGTAAAAGATCCCAGAGATCTTAGCAACATCGCAATATATCCTGTACGAAGTACAAGGAACGTTACCATGCCCCCCCACCCCACCCCACCCCAACCCCAAGAGCAACATGGCAATATATCATGTACGAAGTACCAGGAACGTTAACATGCCCCCCCACCCCACCCCACCCCAACCCCAAGACAAAGAGCAATACTCAAAAAAGAAACAAAACGCACGTACGGTTTTCCTGCCGTAGGCATAAACATGAAACAACATTTTTCACAAGAAACCTTTGCAGATTCTACAAGCAGTCACTTTGTGCGGCTTTTTGGACCCTGAACGCTCTAAGTCAGACCTTGCCTTCTCGTTCCGATGCAAGGTCTGCCTTGAATCTGTTGTTCGACATCAAGAGGTGTCCTGATGGTAAAGTTGGGATACCATTCCTCTGGTGGGAAAAAATACCCACTGGTAATCAAACGTTGCTTGCTTGGAAATTCCCCTTTTTGCCCCCCTGTATAGATGATTTTCTCATTAAAACATTTATAATAGGGATGTTCCATTGCCGTGCTTTATGAAACCAGAGGGTATATTTGATGTTTTTTTTTTTAAACTAAAGCTGGGATAAAGATAGTGCATTGGATGATATATTTGATGTTAGGTATTTGATGTAGCGTCTGCCCTTGATTCATCCAAAGAGCATCGCAAATAACAAATACGATCCACTACGACGGCTACAGATGTTTCTCTCAACGGGAAAAAAAACACATAGCAAAGCAAAGCATCGATATGTTCACATTTTTGGAAAATGTAATGCTACTAAACAAAAGGATACTTGTCCAATTCACACACCCAAAAATCATTTCCTCGTGTACTTATAGTTTAGAGATATCTAGAGATGATGAATTCACAGACCCAATGTATTAATTTAAAAGTGTCAAATTTGGGTATGGGTCAATACCTATAGATACATTTTTAGTGGGATGAACATCCATTTACCAGCTATTTTGGGGTTCACTAGGTACCAGGGTTTTGACCCATCCCCATTTATGATTATCTCCAGTTGGTAAATCCGTCAGGCATCGCCTACAACTGACGCCGATGTCCTTTGGAAGCGCCATGAGTGCGTTGAGTCGAGGCCCAGTAAGTGGTGGAACAACTGGGGTTATACTGGATAGAATACATGTATACAGACTAATATGTTCAGTATCTGCAATTATGATGAATGATCACTATGATTACTGTATATTCCAGGGTATCCATTCGTTCTTGGAATCTATCTTCATTGGATTTACCTTCTTTCCCAGCAGAAGTGGCATTCAGATTTGAATTGATTTGCATTGATTCAGGGAAACTGTGTAGAACCCCACAAGAAATTGGGACTCTCTACAAACCATGATTTCCTGCAACATTTTACAGACAAATCCATTGAGCTCAGGTTGGCAAGCGCCATTTTTGATTTCGAACCTCACCAATATAGGTGATGATAGTTGGGTTTGTTTGTCCAAAAATTGGGTTTGGGCCCCAATTTATGGCAATTTCAGTGCAAAATATGATGGCAATGATCATCATCCGAAATTGGTGGCATCCCATTGTCAGACAACCCCAGTAGTTGGATCTTAAACTGCCAATGGTCGTTCCTGGTCGTGGATGTCCCATCGTTCCCATGAGCAGATGGAGAAGAGTCGGTCCAAACGTTTAAACATTAAACTGTTTAAACTTTTGACCGGTTAAACACATTTAGAGCCATGACCCCCAAAACATTTAAACGTTTAAACCCAATATTTTGTGGGGCAGTTTGAATATGTCCCAAATGAGTGATTTGAGTAATAAGAACGGGTGGTCGAGAAAGAAGCAACAGGGTGATGTCACTCTCAGTCCTTGATTCCGCAAGTGCGCATGATCTCATGCAGTTGGGTCCACAATCTCTTGAACTATGTGTAAACATTTTGTTGAAAGATGTTTAAACCAACTCACTACTGTAGGGTCCCCTCCTACCCCGGATTTGTTTAAACATGTTCGGTTTAAACATCGTTTAAACCATGCCAAAGCCCAACCTTGTGCATACCTCTGATTGTTTGTTCATGGTAGTTCCTCGCCTTTGCAACGATCCCTGAACCCAGTATGTATATTTATATATAGTATGTATATGTATATATATATATATATACAGAGAGTGTGTATATATATATATATCTCTATATATATATATATACAGAGTGTGTACATACACACACACATATATATATATGGAATGTACATATATATATATACATATATGTATGTATGTATGTAGCTGCTTGGTGCTTGGTAAATGACTCAAATCTCAACTGACGAGTAGCAACTCACCCAGCCAGGCACTCGCTGGCGGAATGCTTTGCAGCTGCTCAGCATCATGGCCAGCAGCCATCTGCCGGCCGCTGCACAGGCGGAGCTTCCTGATGGGAAAAAGGCGGTAATGGTCGCCTTTAAAAGGGGCTCCTGAAAAACATCCCAGTCAAGGTGGGAAAAACCAATCTTTTTAATAAACCCCAGGAGATGGTGACTACGATTTCATTGGACAATTCACAGGTTTTGAATTAGCCTCAAGTAAACCAACACAGCTACAAAAGGTGGGCATTTTATAGATGATTTGGATATCAAAAAGGGTGATGTTCGATAGCTGTGACATAGCTGCCATGTTAAAATACCAGAGGGTAAATCACTCCTAGATCAATCCAGTCACAGAGTTTGTCCCCTTCTTTTGGTGGACTCAAGAAAAATGACACGACCGCAGACGCACTGGTAATGTTCAGTAGCCAATCATCCCAATTTTGGGTCACCCAGAACAATGACATGAAAACTATTTAAAGATATAACATTGGCTCATCCCATGTTCGGTTATATCAACAGGTTTCCACATCTAGAGTTTTCCCATCAACCACGGGGGATTCTGGGATGAATTTCTGGTTGATGAATATGGCCCCAGTGGCGTTTCGTCCCATCCCAGACCATGGAACGATAAACATCCGGCACGCCAGTCTCGTGAAAATCGATATGTGGTATGCTTGTCCACAATTTTGGGGGTGCTGTTTGCACATATGGTACCCTGAAATTCCATCAGATTATCAGCATTGTTCCCATTGAATGGCAAATTCAAAGGGGTACCCTCTGGTAAACTAACATAAGTATGGAAAATCACCACTTTTAGTAGGTAAATCAACTATAAATGGGCCATGTTCAATAGCTATGTGAAATTACCAGAGGGTATATGTCATGGTATTCCCCCCCCGTTTGAGGCAGAGTGATTGTTCGACATGGTCAGGTGTGCAACTCAGCGCTTCTGGCTTGCAGCCGTTCCTCATCATGGTGCGGGGCCTTCAGCTGAGTTGAACTGGAGCCTCAAAGCCACGGAAAGACGTTAGTTTTATGTAAATCATTTTGAATGCTTTGACTCCTCATCCGCAAGAAATTCTATAGGTTCAATTTCAAGTTGTTCTAAAGTTCTACAGTAAGTGTTTGCAGTGTAGATCAAGGTTCAACTTTGTTTTTTCTTTGGTGACTCCTTGATGCCGATCCCGTCCAGGCAATGGACTTTTCAGCTGCACGAAGAGCGGCCAAATGCTGCGCCTTGACAATGCTTTGTGCTATGCATATATATATATATATGTGATATAAGGCAAGGATAGGCAAGGTATATTATATATATATTATATTATATTATATATATACTATGTAAGATGTAATATATATATATACAAGTTGCATATGGGGGGTTCAATAAAAATTAGGCTACCCAAAATCCCATGGTCTACTGATATCATCATTTTTCGCTTTATATATATATACACATACACAGCCATTTTATGGGTATCGCCCATTTTCAGGCACACCCTAGTATTTGATTGTTGATGACATATCCCCATCATTATTGGCTTTTACATGGTTTTATTCCCCATTTGTTGCTGGTAAATCCTCCATCTTTTGATTTCTTTTCGACTTCACTCAGGATGAAGTTGCAGCAGTCGCAGTGGTGAGTGCCTATGACGAGGTACAGCCTGGGATGAGCCTAGACAGAAATCATCGTGTGCCATATGGGATCGTTTGAAAATGGGGGTACCCCAAAATGAATGGCTTATAATGGAACATAAAAAAACACATGTTTGATTTAGGGGTAACCCCCATTTGAGGAAACCTCCATGTGGGATGGTCTGAAAATGGGTATACCACCCAAAACTAGCTATATGATGCTATATATATATATAGTATACAGGGAAAACATTGGCAAATGACAATCAACAATCAGCCATCAAATGTTTCACGTATTCTATTTTCAGACAAACCATGACAAACACAATTTTCCCGCCACAGTCCATTGTATATTTGGTGGTAAATACCTCCGGTAAGTTAGTATAGCTGTAGAAAAACATTTTTTTCTAGGTAGATCGTCGAACTAAATTAAATGAGCAGCGTTCCATAACTTTCTTGAATTACAGGGGTTACAAGTTGGCGTGTTTGTATGTCAGGTGAATGAAATCAGCACGATAGTAATTCAGAAATTCAGGTTCTTCAGGTTCTTCAAGTAACCTCCAGAAAGCAATATGAAATAAGCGGGCTGTGAATCAACATCTTTGACCCCAAATTGGCCATGATAAGATCAGCTCCACCTTGCAGGCAGGACGCTGGCAAGACGCCCTGGAACTGCTGCTACGCTGCAGCCGTGAACGACGCGGGGGACCCACTGATGTTCCATCCACCTTGGACGGCTGAGTTGAAACCCTGTAAATAGTGGGATAAACCACATGAAAAACCACCTATGAACTGGTGCAGGATTTCTTCTTGCCATTAAAGTCGATTCAAAATTTGAGGAGTGGAAATTACTTCCGCAACTTTATTTGCATCCAATCTGGATTGATTTGCAGGAACATCTACATTAAAGCATGGTTTGTACCAGTAAAATGTAGGGTGTCAAGTGCCCATTCTCCGTTTACTGCTGGAATTTCCCATCGAAACTCCAGATTTCCCATGGCCCAGGTCTCATCAGCAGTGCTGCCCTCCATGTGTCGGCTTGCAGTGCTTGCACCAGAGGCGGAGCGCGGGTGGCTTGGGCGTAGAGTGTTTTAAATACAGCATAAAACAGCCGTAACCCGAAGGTTCGGGCACCAAAAAAAACAAGTATAAAGTATAGACAAGGAAACAACAACATTTGACTCAACTCAGATTTTTCTATTTTGGCAAACATTCCTAGAGGGCTTTGATTATTTAGTACTATTTATAGAGGTCTGTGATCTCAACTATCAACTATTGCGTGTATTCTGCAATTGTTTTCCATCCAAGGTGAGGTGATGATGAAACCTCTGAGTGGCTGAACCATCCAATCCAATCATCAGAAGTTCAAAGGGACAACACATGGGGAGTGGGGATTCAACCACAGGAATTTAGGCCATAGAAGGCCCGGCTCCGACTCGTAGAAATTGGTTGATCAACCCAGCCAACTATAGATTTTTGCAGCGGAACTCCAGTCTCTGGAGACTCTGGCCTAGTTTTTGACCTACAAAAAACAGGTCGCTGCTGGGAACAGTCGCTGCTGCTTTGGGAGGCGCCGGGGCTTGTCCATGGTTGATACGCAGTTACTGATATTGGATGTAGATGGTGTATATATATATATACACACTAGTTGGTGCTTTGGATCATTTTTTATTTTCCCCAATAGTTGGGATGATGATTCAATCTGACTAATATTTTTCAGAGGGGTTGAAACCACCAACCAGATGAAGATATACAACTAGAATCAATATGTTCTAGACATAGACATAGTCAGACCTGCCAAGTAGCTGTTAGATACTCGGTAATACAGGTTGTCTACCAAGTATCTATATTCCATATGTGTTGGTTGTCTAACAAGTATCTGTTGCTTCGTGCTCCATATTGGTAATTCATGATACCAACCAGGACTTGTAGAGAATATCTGGCGCAAATCATAGTCCAGTTGAGTTGCCACAATGACCAAAGGTCCTGGGGTTTTGTGAATTCTCTTTAAAGTGTGTATGTTTACGTATTTTACATGTGTACTTAAGCTATATATTCACGTAATATCTTGCAAATATATATATGTATATATATATATATGTATGTATAATATATATTTATATTTGATATATATATATTTAATATAATATTCTAATTATATATATATCATATAGGAACCCACCATTTGTAGATCATTTCCACGGCAAAACAACTAATGATTGATGATAGGCAAACAAACCACGGCTGTCTGATTTTGTACCTCAAAATCCCATGGTTCATCATCATTTTCTCTACGAAAACAAATTCAAAAGGCCATGTTGGAGGGTATCTATATATATATATATACAGTGTATATATACCCTATGGATCCAAGTACCTTCTTAGGAAGTGCTTGGGGTATGATTTGGGGGGTTAAGTACCTTCTCAGGAGGTGTTTGGATTCATAGGGATATAATCTGGTTGGTGGTTTGGGACATTAGTTATTTTCCACAATATATGGGAATACTCATCACAACTGGCTTTCATATTTTTCAAGATGGTCTTAACCACCAACCAGATATTATCATCTATAGTCCATATTAACATTAGTACCATTAATCTAATAATCATATGAGATTGGAACATTAGTACCATGTGTATATATATATATATCATTTGTACTTGGTTTTCAGACACAGCCATGTATGAAATAGCAATCTGCCATCTTCCAGGACATGAGATTCAGGGGCTTCGCAGCAGATGAAGCAGCACAGGGTGCTGTCTCTCAGATGGTGATTGAACTGGGGATATGGTGACTTAATGACTTAATCATCGAAACAGTGGATTTTTAAATTAAAAATGGTGACTTAACCATCCAAAAAGAGGATTTTACCATATTTTACCATCAAACATGGTGACTTAACCGTATCAAATCTGTGGATTTTACCGTCAACAATGATGGTATAATGGAATGTGAACGGGGAATATATATATATATATATATAATTGGACATAATGTGACACTGTACCCTCTATAGTAAGTTGAGAGTTTGCTATGGAGAATCACCATGTTATTAAAGGGTAAAACAGCGAATTACATGTGCCATGGCTTACATAGCTGTGTTCGTTTAACCACAGGAGGGTAGACTTGGAACATGGATGACGTTGGAAACCCTAAACCATTCACTGGCCTCATTTCTTGGCAGGTTTAGACCCCCCAAATGGCAAAGCACAAATGTGCATGCTTAATGGTTTATGGGTTATTGGTTTGCCATGGACATGTTTGGGGAGAGACCCTGAAGGTGCCAAAATTGGATGGGCCTTGAGGTGTCCACTCACAGACTGACATACCAAGTGCATCTCCAGTCTGGTGGGCCACTTGGGGGATGGACATCCGATACCCATTGGGCAACATCGCAAGGTTATCACTGTAGGCAACATCGCACATGGCTCACGCGCTCACGCCTTGATGTGTCCGGTGGCAGCTTTGCTGGGTTCAAGTGGTGCCATCGGGCCTGGAAGTTAGGAGGAGGCCAGGGCTGAGAAATGGGGCCACAACATGCCACAACACCTTAGTTTGTATTTGCAACTTCTGGTTCGGCACAAAATGTGGGTTTTGTAGATCTCTCTCTATATATATATGTAATATTGTACGTATATTTATTATTTTTATTTTTATTTTTTATTTATTATTATTATTTATTATTATTATATATATACACACGTTACACGTTAATTAATTAATGTGTTATAGATGGGTTGAAACATGTTGATCCTCCATGGAGACCTTCATTGAGGCTTTTAGGCGGACTACTCTGCCGAGGGGATGGTATCCTTGCCTGCAGTTGAGTCACATTTGGTCGGCCGAACCAGCCAACCAGTCATGACTATAGTTAACTAGTTCCTAGTAATGGTGAATATCTCCGGCAGAAGTTTAGTGTTATTCTTTGTTATTCTGCATTATTTTATCCACCACAACGGCAAGTCTGTTGGATGATCTCGAAATATCAATGAAATATCTTGAAATTAGGTATATACAAGGTTTTTCCGCCTAGTTCTGTTTGTTGGTTTATGACCTTATTAAACCATATTAAACCAACAACTGGTTCCATGTTTGATCTGCGGAGTCGGTCCTGCCTCACCAGCCGATCCGGTGAGGCATGGGCGCCTGCAATGAGGGGATGCGGAAGCTCTTGATGCCGGCGGAGCCTTGCTGTATCCTAAAGATGGGATTAATCAACCAGTATCTTTAGCAATAGTTGGGGAAACATAGTTGATAAGTAATCAATATCTTCACAATATAACCATCTTTATCTAATCATTTTTATCTTGCTTGTATCGGGATAATGTATGTTATGAGCAATAAAGAATATATGGAGTGCATTGACAAGTACGGGAAATGACAAGAGCGGGAACTATGTGGGGTACATGGAATGGTATAGGTCACATGTGTATACATTTGTCGACGTTTTTTTTCCGCTACTCAATGCTACTCAAATATACTACAGACTTTAGAACCAACTTGAACCCACTCAAAACTGGCAGATGTGCGTATCCAAAGCTTGGGGACTTTCAAACTGAGTCACTTCTGAATTTCCTTCGAGGAGATTAAGTCATATTTGAAGGAACTTTGAGAGTGCGAGTTGCATTCGGGTTTCAAGTTTCAAGTGATTTATCCATCCTATCACAACATAGAATATAGAATAGTACCCACAGTATCCAACACTAGTGGCCAGACTTCCTCATTTTAAATCCCTTCCAGGAAGGCAGCTGCACGCGCGACTGGGAAGGCTTTGGGGATGTGGAGGAAGGCAGTTTGCTAATGATCAGCCACCTGGGGATGGCGGCATTTTCCATTGTGGCCCGGTCTGACCGGTCATGGGGATGGGAAGATGGGAGGAGGGGATGGTTCTGTGATGTGAAAATTGATGTTATGTATAGGCGTATAGGATCGTACAAGGTCTGTTTCTGAAGAGTTAATTGATAGAAATTCCATGAAATGTCCATGAGATTGGTTTCTAGATTGGTTCAATCACCGATTTTCCACCATTACAATGATGGTGAACATATAATACTGTATAATATAATCATAACATCTCTGTGATCATCATTTGTTCTCCCCATTCACAAATCACACGCTCTGGTGATTTCACCCAGTAAACTCTTCGTTACTTTCCATTGCAAGCTGTTGGTTTACAAGAGGGTAACAGACTGATGGAACAAATCGGAACACTACCATATTCCGAGAACTGGATGGTGGGAAAATCGACTGGAAACCACATGAAATTGGAGGTAAAAACCATGGTTTCCTCTTTATCAAACCAGTCAATGCCTCAATCCATATCATATCTGGTGAGATGCCATGAGAAATCCGCCTTTTTTTGATGGTTTAAAAGCCTATAATTAATCACTGAAATCATCCCATTCAATTCCAACCAGCAACATATGTCCAGACTCCCGAGGAAGCCACCCGAGAACTCTTCCTGAAGGCGAATTTGACGGAGTGCGTTTCGGCAAGGGATCAGCCGTTGTTCGGAAAGATGCTTAGGGAATTGGCTGGATCATCGAATATTAAAGTGACAGCAATGGGATACTCATGGAATGGGATCTTTTATACGTATATATATATATATAATTATATATATATATACACAGTTTGAATCAATTTGATGTTTGATTTTTCAACCACTACAATGCTGAGCGTCCCAGGAAGCCACTGGCTGTGTTGATTAATCTTAAACCATGGTATGGTCATCCAGGGCCACTTGTCCCAGGATTCCATATACATATCATTCACTATTCGGATCTATTTGGCCCTGAAAGATACTATATTACTATATCACTGCCGTGCTGCAGGATATTTTTGAATGTGTATTCACAGAGTCAAATGCCGCAAACCAAATATCTACATATTATGTGCAGAAAGGGACGCTCTCAGTCCCCACGTTTCTCAGTCCCCACGTTTCTCAGTTCCCACGTTTCCACATGTCTGGACAGACGACGTGACAGATTACATATGAATCTTTGTTAGGAAAAATGTTACGTCTACGGAATTCATGCTTATGAATCTGTAGTGTCACTAACAAACAGACTTGAGGAACACCTGACTCTGATTATATTTCTAATTCACAGGAAAGAAAGAGCCACACAGAAAACAAACGAAAAAGAAAAAAAAAAAATGGGCTGACCCTCCCCCCTTTACCTCTCCCAAGACGGCCTATAGAGCAAACCCAGATATATTTTTTCTTGTCGTGGAGCTTCTTACATTTGTGTTCTGTTCTTGTTCTTGTTTCTTGCTATTTTTCTTGTTTCTGTGGATATCTCATATGCTTTTTTCTTGACTGTGCAGATAGTGAATGGATCAATGCCAATCTTCTTTTCTTGCAATTAGTATGGACTTGATCGTCTCGGGCGATTGTTCCAGTGATGCCACATTTATGAACACGTCATGGAAAGACGTATCAGCATATGTCTCTCCGTGCTAGCGATTGGACTTGGATGGTCGGAAAAGAAATTACGTGCACGCTGTCTTGCGTTGCATGTTGTCTTCCAAACATTCTCGAAACTCTGCATTCATCATTGCATGTCAACATTGGCAGCCGCATTTTTGATTTGTGTTAGATGTTGTCTTTCGAGTGTTCTCGACTGTCAGCATTCATCTTTGCCTGTCAAGTATTGGTCCGCATATTACTTATGTGCGCATGAACTTCGACAGTCTCGTCGATCATGTTTGTGTTTCATATGTTTACTCTCCCGCAGCACGCCTGACCAGCTCACGAACTTCCTAAGTTTTGTCTTTTGTGCGTCCATCGTTGCTCATGTCTGAGTCAGTGGGGTTGACTCAAGAGATCGAGATGGCGATGGACGCCGACTATCCGGATGGAGCACATCTCCAAGCCTCATCGCCCGAAGTGCAACCGCCCGAAATCGATGCGCCTCCTGCGAAGCGTCTACGTGGTCGTGATCTGTTTCTCGGACGTATGTTTCCAGCTTTCCAGTATTCGGATTTCTCTAGCCATACAGTTTCGTATTTCATGTTGTTCATATGGCTGTGGCATACCGCTTCATAGACTTGAGTTGTCTCCTGCTTTTCTTTCAGGTTCCGTGCGTTTTCCGATGTGCAGCGCTCTGCCCATCTCGCTCCTCCTCCTCCTGATGTTCGACCTGAACAAGCCAAATCACTCTTGGATGTATGGAAGAACTATCGCACATGGGGTAGCAACAATTATCCAAATCTTCCTGTCCATGTTCGCACAATGATGGAGCTCATGAACTGCATCGCATCCATGAATGTTTCCAACTACCAAATGTCGACGAAGCAGAAGCTTCTTCTCATTATGCTTGTTGATGGTGAACACTGGCGTGCACATGATCGTCAAATGTTCTACTATGAGAATGGTGTGTGGAAGATGAAGCCGTCTCTCACCATCGAAGTCTGGGATCTATTTCTTGCTGTTGAAGGTTTGTTGTTGACCGTCTCGAAGCACTTCGAAGATCAAGAAGGAGATGCAAGACCAGCATGGAATTGGAATGCTATTCGGGATGTTGTCTCTGATACGATCCAAGGACATGTCCATGACGCTCTCCATTTCTTCGGGAATGTGGCCAAAGAAGCAAGTGACCATCTGCGGCAAGTCACATCCAACAAGGCATGGAAAGCACTTTGGCTTCGTCGATGTGCAGACATGCTAGCTTCATTCCGAGTGAATTGGGATTCGAACAAGGTCCAGTCACTCTCAAAGCTTTTTCTTCTTGAATGGGATACTCCATTGCCAAAGTCACAGGGTGTTTGCTTCAGAGACGTGTACTTGGATGCAGATTGGAAACCTGCAAGCAAAAGCCCGTCCAATGACTGCTACATGCATGTGGACTATGCCTTCTACATAGAAAACCTCTTGCAGGAGTATCCGAACATCAATCTCCAACAGCATCAAGAAGGATTACGTTTGTTCTTGGAGTCGCTCTACTTTCAGAACGAACATATCTTTCAAGTGAAACTTTGTTTTTTACATGCCGCATTCAAAAAGGCTTGCACTTCAAAGATGATCTTCGAGATTGGCAAAGGCGGCGATGGCAAGGGGATGGAAGCTTATCTTGATCGTGCTGTATTAGGTGAAGATCAATCTGCAACTTTGGATTGTGGCGTGTTCTTGGATCGACAGGAGTTCCGCAAGTCTGCCGAGTTCGCATGGAACAAGGCGAATGTGCGTATCCAGGAAATGGATCAGCACGCAAGATTCGTTGCAGATCTTTGGAAAAGATTCATCGTCGATGAAGAAATAGATTGTCGTGTCAATTATGGATTTACATCCAAACGACGATTTGGGTCATCTATGAAAGTTCAGGAACTCAACTTTGAGAACATCCCGACCATCGAGGAGTGTCGAGATCGACTCCAGGCTTGTCTCAAGCGTCGCATCGTTTGCTTTCGTATGGGGAAGGCTCGCTTCGTGCTTGACGACCATGCAGTGAACTATGAACACGGGGTTTTCCGTCTCATTCCGCAAGATGAGCTGGTCCCTTTCTTGACACATCCTGCAACGGCTTCATGTTTCTTTCGAGATTGGTGCTTGCCCTTCTTTCAGGAAAACTCTTTGGATGAATGTTTGAAAATGATCCTGGATCTTAGCCATGTACATGAGGACTTGGTCAACGACACCAATTGGTTGGCTTCTCGCTTGTCCGGCTGGAATGGCCCTCCTCCAGGCACAGACATTGACCTCCAGACAGAGAACGACGAATTGATCACGATCGTGCATCGGAAAACGCCCATGAAGACATTCATCAAGGAGTATCTCATTTCAAAGGTTGAAGATATTCCAGGAGCTGTGCAGTCTACCCGTGGTCGACGAACCAAGTTGCAGTTCTTTCTTTCTGCCTTGGACCACTCCACCATCAGACTCTTTCGTCAACATGATCAGCATGCTTTCGAGAAACTCTTGGTGGATTGGGCTTCTTTGGCTGCAGCTATGGATGCTCATGGTGGTGCGCTTGCTTTCGGTCAGTGGAAAGATTGGGGCTGCACCTTTGATCTGCGGCATCTGCAGCAAGAATGGGAGTCAAATCTCTTTGTGGACTTGCAAAATGAATGTCAAGGAAATGTCACTCATCACGGAAGTCTCTCATCTCAAATCCGGCCGACTGTAGCAACATTGCAGGAAACAGTGGACTTGGAGGCTTTGCAAGCCTACTTGGAAAGTGGCTCAGACAGAAGGACTTCGCAGCTTCGGGCCTATGTTGATCGTCATGCTTCTGAAGGAGTTCGCGTGGGGCGCTTTTCTACTATCTCTGTCGAGTACTACAAGGCCCCCAATTATGGTCGTTTACTTGCTCGTGGCCCTGCTGCACAAAAACTCACTCGAGAAGCTCGTGGAAAAGCCTTCCCCCATGCCATTGAGATTGATGCAGCTTGTTGCCATCCTCGTCTTCTCTTGCGAAAACTTCGAGATATGGGATTGGACGAGGCAGGTAGTTTCCAGATGCTTCGTCTCTTCTGTGAGAACTACAAGTCATGGCGGTCAGTTTTGGCTCAGTATCTTTGCGTTGATGTCCAGGAGGCAAAAAAGGAACTTATCCGCATCTTCTACGGTGGCAACCCGCGTTTCGATATTCCATGGCTCCGCAAGCTTGGGGAAGAAGTTCAGGCAGCTGCTCATCTGATTCTACAAGATCACAGACATACTCATCTTTCTGATTTGTACAATGATCGCAGACATCCTGAATTCAGTCGGCTTTGTTCTTTGCTATCATTCGATGAAGCTGACCTATTGGACACCATTCGGACCCATGCGCATGTGAAAATGGAGGTTGCTCTCTTTGACGGAGGCATTGTGTCGTGCACATCTGTGCAAGATCTCTTTTGGTTGCATCGTGCTTGCGCAGAAACTTCCCACAACATCATCCCCGTCGAGATCAAAAGTGAGCCGCAAAGTATGAAGACTTTCTTGCATATGTTGGTGTGCAAGAACATCGTGAACATGATGGAAGTCGAAATTCCTTCCACTCCGGCAAACTGTTTGCTCTTTGCTGTTCAAGGTGTTGCACCTCATGTTGATCTCAGTAGTTTGCGCCAAGTTTTGCAAGACAAGCCAGAGTCCTCGCTTTCCGCTCATCAATTCAATGAAGCTTTGGCAGATGCAGACTCTGCAGCCGACACTGCTTGGCAATTGCATTGCATCTCCAAGGATGAGTTGCTCTCCGTTGTCCCAGCGCACCCGATCCTTTGTCATGAACGTTCTGGAGAATGTCAAGGACACTGGTGGTCCTTTGTGATGATTGAGGATGAGGCAAGGCTATTTGATTCTGAGATTCCTTCTTTCGAATTGACTGCTCGATGGGAAACCTTTGCATCTGCTTTGGAAAAATCTGATGCATTGACTTTCTTCGAACTGAAACAGATGCACTTGAAGACGGAAATGTCGATGTCAGAGGCATATCACTTGCAAGGTCGTGGCCGTGCGGATGGATCCTCCACAGTGAAGTCCGTGCGAACACCCCTCAAGAATTGTGCTCTGTGTGGATCTTGTCTATATCCCAAGCGCAAACAGTTCTCTACGGCAACAGTTTATAGACTCGAAGGTCCCGAGACTGTCCTGCACCAGCCTATGCGATGTGGACAGAAGTCATGCCAAGCCTCCCACTACTACAACTTCGTGTGGAGCAACGGCATCAAGACCAATTCGCTCGATCCCAACCAGGCCGAGTATATCTTCGTGACCGCCAACACCGGGTTCCACGTCTCCTTCCTTGCTTATCACGATGCCCTGCAATTCAGAGGCTACTTGAGCAATCACGCCATCGCCTGGTCCCAAACGAACGCATTATGGGCAGATGACCATGTACATGCTCGATTTCACAAGGACTATGCATTGGCTCGTCTCTTGGTATGGATGAAAAAAATTGCTTCAATCTATTAACCAGTCTGATGCAGTACATATATATATATATTTATTTAATTTTCGTATATGTATGTAAGAGAATATTCATATATATATATATATCATTATTGTTTTCTGTTGAGCAATTACTTAATACTATTGGTAGCCCTATGTGTATATTATCAGTTTCTCCACTGTGTTTGGAACGAGTCTGTCATGATGAAACAATCAATATGTAGGAATATATATGCATTGTTCTGCAGCATTACAAACAAGGTCTTCTCTGGAATGTCATGAGCGAACTGTCGGTCATGTGGAAATCCACTATGCCAAGCACTTCCATTCAGAAACTTCGCACAATTCGCGTAGATGATCCTGTGCATGAAGGGCATCTTCGGGACTTCCACCGATGGTGGCAAACCATCGAAACTCCCCATCGCATGTCGCAGTCTGTCAAAGAGATCGCTGTCGATGGCCACGAGAAGATCGCCACAAAGTGCTATCATGAAGCACCAGCTCGCGGTGGTCGTCCTCGGAAGGATGGCCATGTCAAATTGTTCTACAACGGCTGGTTCATGGCGACACACCCTGGGACCGGAGTCATCCTAGGCCTTTTTGAGATGAAAGATCCAGAGAATTCGGATGTTGCGCTCAATCTTGTGCAAAATTTGCTACCGCATTATCCCAAAGTGGATGCAGTACTCTACGATCGAGCCTGTAGCATCTTCAAGAAGGCTAAGAACACACAGGATTTGAAGCCTGTCAAGTTCTGGTGTGTAGACAAATTCCACGCAAAGGGACATTGCAACAAATGTAAATGTTCCCCGTCTGTGGTGCCAGCAATCGATAAGCGACTGAAAAGAGTCAACACATCGATTTCTGGACAGGTGTTTTCGTGGTTCCGTGGGTACAGCTCCACATTCAACTCCATGAACGCGAAACACCAAAGATTCTATGTGTTGGCTTACTCGCGTCGACACAATCATTTGCAAAAATTAGATGACATGCAGCACCTCAATCCTTGGTCTGCCCGTAAGTCCACTTTGAAGCGATCCGGCGTGCTGCAGAAGCCAGCCAGCCGCAAATATAAGTGTAGGGTCAAGAAGCAAGCCGTCTTGAAGAGACCCGCACAGAAATGATTTGATGATGTGGACTAGAAGATATTTCCAACATCTTCCCAAACCCAAACTCTTCCGCCATCATTTTGCAATTCCGTCATTCGTTGGTGCAATGCATCAAATCAAAGGTGCCAGAGCGGTTCCGCTTCAAAATCTCTCACAGCTGTCTCGCTCGTCGGACAAAAAAGAGAAGATGCACGCACTGAATCGTTACTGCTTGCTCATGAAATCTTCCACGTCTCAATGCCATAATCAGCAATAGATTGCAACACGCCATACAAGAAATTGTCCATGTGAATACACATATTGTTTAAATATGTATAACCTAGAACTGCTAAGACGCAACCCCTTGTAACATCCAAATAATGGATTTCCATAAATCAGAGAAGCAAAATGAAGCACCGGAAAAAAACATAGATTGACATTAACGTTTCGGAGTCTGGGTACGAAATTTCTTCTTTCCATTTGGTACTTTCTGAACCTTCATGCCTTGGTCCTCTTTTTCTTGGCCTTTGTTTCATCAGGTGGCTTGCAGCTGGTGTTCAGCTCATCTTTCTTTTCGTGATCTTCCTTTCAAGACTCCTGCAACCATATCATATTTGATTCTCTAAGGCACTGTCATATCTCCACTTCTATCGCACTGGCCTCCACTCTATCGACTAGCATTCTCTATATTGCTCTGCCATCCCATTGCAGTGACATACCATTGGCTTTGAGATCCCTTTCCTTTGACACTCCTTTGCTTTGGCATCCCCAATATGTAGCATAGATTTTGTTTCGTCATTATTTGAATTCAAATGCGATTTAGGGTATGTGCCGCAGTATATAATTTTAATAAAAATGTTCATATTATGTCTTAACTTGATGAACTTAGAATAAACTTTGTCATATCTAGAACCATACTTAATCAGTAAGAATTTATTTGAAGAAATAAAATAAATGCATTAAAAATAACAAAAAACAACTAAAAATGACGTAAAAACTGGGGACCCACAACGTCCCGCACTCATTATGTGAATATCCATCATTATCTATTAGTCTATTCTATTCTCTCTCTCTCTCTCTAATATATACATATATATATATACATATATATATACATATATATATACATATATATATATGGTACAGTACACATATGTATGTATATATAGACATAAATCTTGCTCCGTATTCAGCCAATCTCCAGCTTTTCAGGGCCTAGGCGCTGCAGATCGAGATTTGTTGGAGATAGGCAGCACGCAGCTCAGGCGGGACGTTGGTTACCTTTGGGAGATCGGTGAGGGTAGGGTACCTCTAAATCCATTGGTGAAATGGCTATTTGAGGGGCAATATATCCATTTGCTATATCACCATTATCCCGTTTTTTATTGGTATACACCATCAAAATCATGGTATATCCATTGGTTAATCACCATTACGTCATTTTCAGACACAGCCATATGTTTCATGGCTTTCCCACGGATCTTTTCGTGGGTGAAAGTATGAAACGTGATAAGATTTCTCATGGGATTTCTCATGGAAATATGGATGAACATCCCCTGAAAATATCTTTAATATTGTGACACCATCATTCTGGATTATAGGTATCAACATGGATCCAGCAACCATCAAAATATGGGAATATGTGGGTGGATATAGGAGATATATAGTTGATAGATGATGGTTGGTTGATGCTAGTACTAATCCTGATCCATTTATCTAAGCATACGTTCTTAACATGTGAGGCCTTGCCGTTTTCAGCAGGGGTGCACTGGAAAGTCAACAAGTGGCTGATAGATGGGTTTTAACCAGTCACACCGGGGTCCCTACAACCGCCAATTCAAATAAATTATGTCGTGCAGTTGTTTCATGTTCAAAGAACGATTGTAGGAACCTTTAGCCCATGTTTGAACGGTGAAATCCATTGAAAACCCATTCTTTTCGTGTCACGCATCTTTCAAATGAACACCAGGGGATCAGCCTGGCACGAAATCAGGCTGGAGAAGGTGGCTGGCGAGGCTGATACTTCAACCTGGCCGGGGCAGATGTATATCTGGGTGGAGAATCTACAAAGCACCTGGCAGAACTGCAGGCTGGGGTCACGAGTCATCAGTGGGTACCATGCGTCGAACATTGTTTAATCATCCAACAAGCAACCTCCATTGGGGATGGTTTATTGGGTTTACCTCATGATTCTGAAAACTGATTGAAGTTCCCAAAATGCCCCGGTTCTTAATTTGTACCAGTAGATATCAAAAAGATTGGCTTGTCTTGGGCCGCCTTACCATCATACCGCTTGATTAACGTCCATATTCCTTATAATCCATACGTGACCTTAAAATGATTTAGATTTATAATACTGTCCAGAGATGTCCACATCCATTAGGCCAGAGGAAAGAAGCAATGATACCCGAAATTACATGAATTACAATTGAGCATCTCCGAAATGGCACACAATTCCACGGAATTCTCGATTTCTCCTACTCCGGATCCTCCTTGAGGCCGATCCCATGGCCTGAAAGCTCCGAGGTTATGAACTTATCAACCATGCCAATAAGGTACAGTGAAGAGTGAAGAGATCCTGTACATTCCGCCAAGGTTTATAGATACTGGGTATATTCATATTATCTCGGATGGGATATAAGAAATCAACTGAGACAGTTGATCATCCATTTTGTCATCATTTTACCATCATTTTAATATCATTTACCCATACTTTGGATGGGATTAGGACCCGGGTCTACCACCCGCAGGACCTTAGAAACTTCTTGGGGCTCCGAAGTGGTCGAGTCGGCCGTCTGCTGCCACGATGAGCGCGCGGCTGATGCCTTGGTTTTGCGAGATCCGGGCACCATCAATGCCTTGGTGGTGAACCAGGACCGACTTCCAGCCGGGCTGCAGTGGATCACTGGTGGACTCTGGGTTTTATGAAGTTCAAATGATGTTGGCCTGTGTTGTTTTTCCTGTCTGGGAATGTTCAAAAGAAATGGAAAAGTCAAATCCTACAAAAATACATCAAAATACAGTAATTAGTCATGTATTTTGCTTTTGATCGTTTTGGAGGTTACTATGGAGTGTTGTTTGGTTTCATGACATGCGGTAAGCCGGTAAGCCCAACAATAAACCATCATGATAAACATCTATTGGGGATGGTTTGTGATTGGGTTAACCTATGTTTACCTCATATATTTGACTTGGACTGATGATTTTTGTTGTTCACCTGATTTTTGAAGAATGAAACCTGTGGATTGATATTGCAAAAGGCGGCAAGCTGCTGACGTCATGGTCAAAAACATGGAGTATGGTCCAGGAAAGGGGCACATCCCAACATAGTGAAGATGCCAATTGGGGAATCCCTATTGAAATTCATTGAAATTCCATGATATCCGAAGTTGATACCAAACATGTCTTCACCAAGAAGCGGGCCGCTCTTTTAATGAACGACTGCTTTTGGGATTGGTGATTTCAGCAGCCCATTCCTTGGGAAGCTGGGGGCCACGTAACTCCAATTTCACTGTATAGTTTACATATAATACTTCTCACATATTATAACTATAGTACTTTTTGGGGTTTATATACACATGTATATAGAATATATATATAATATATAATAAGGGTTTATAAACCAACAAACATCACTCAAAGGGCCCCATCAAGCTATGCCTGAAGCGGCCAGGCACCAAAAGGCTATGCGGATGCGCTCCGCAAGGCGGGCGCTCGACTTTTCCCGGGAGAAGATGTGGACGTTGCGGATCGGACAAAAAATCAAAACCAGTGGTCAATTATGATATGCTGTGATGACATATGGCTATGGATCAATACCTATTATAATACCATTCTTAGGGGGATGAACATCCATTTACCAGCTATTTTGATGTTCACCAGGGGTACAAGGTTTTGACACACTGCCATATGATGTGATGACATATAAATGGGGATAATGTGGGGATAATGGGGATATCTGTGGATGTAGCAGGATAACTTGTAATGACCCCATTGTAGCATCACTGCGATGATCGTTAGTAGGATCACACAATGTTGGAGGTGTGTCCACTTAAGGGATAAACGCGTAAATGACGGTTAGTAGACGTATGTATCCCTAAATTTGCCTTCTTTCGGGTTGGTGAATTACTATGATTTATCCAGATGTTATGAATTTTATTGATATCGGGGCTATTCCCATGGTATAAGTGGCTTATGCTTATGATCATCCTTTTCTGCAGCTTTACCGGATGGAAAAAACATGTTATTCACCAGCATGGCAATCGAAGATTGACAGAGGGTTTTCCTACCCATTGGGTGAATGGTGCATCTCCCATTTATGGTTGGTTGGCGTTGGTTGGCGTTGCAGGCTTATGTTCGCTGGTTCAATCCCCTTTGCTTGATGTGTTCTTTTTGGATGGTGTCAACTGAAATGCACTTCTAACATCTTCTAACCGTTGGTGGATGCATTTGTTATGTGCATCCCTACCAAGGATGAGTATTCCTGGTAACTACTATGTTTTGCTTCAGGCAGCAGTTTCACCACCAATTAGTTGACTATTGCTTACTACACATATCGCCAATTTGGTTGATCCTATCCCCATTTTGTCTCCCCAAGTCTACCTCCTGTTTCTGGTCGAGAGCAACGCCCAGGCCTGTTTTTTTTGTTGGATACACTTATTAAATATTATTAATATTTATTACATACCACTAATCAATCAATCCCAAATGTGTAAATGATTTTCCCACTAAAACCCATCATTAATCGTGAAATTTCCAATTGCTGATGACACCAGAGGGTTCTCCCGTTTTTTTTTCACAAAGCGTCAGGCTCTGGGTAAGAGCGACAAGTCGAATCTTGTATGCCTCATGGACTTACTTTTCCTGGTGCCGAAGGGCGTCTCTGCCCAGCTAGGCAGCTTTTACCAACGGCTCCCTGGCAGATTTGTGGAGTTGACCCCTTGGGTCATTCAAATGCAACAGATATGATGTTCGTAAAGCAATATCATAAACCACCTGCCATCCATTTATAGTAAATTTGGGGATGGTGAATCCTATTGCTTTAGATACATTAATTATCCTCTGGGAATGGATGGACTGGCGTTGCAGCGCAATTCTTTCCAGGTTTCTGTCGGCCTGCGTCACCAAGTCCAACGATGGCTATCGATTGCATTTTGGTGCAGGTGGGGATACCCTGGGAAAGACAACTTGAGGGAAATGAAGAATCAATTTGTTCTTGAAATTCAACTAGGGTAAGCACCGTCATGTAATGTTGGTTCTAGTGAGCCAAAGCATTGAATTGAATGGAATTGACATGATTGATATGACGGGCCAGTTGTGTTTAATTTAATGAACCTTGAAAGATGTTTTGGCTGAATGGGCACACGACCAATGGACCCACTAAGTTTGTTTGTTGAATTCTTTCGTGTTTGGCCATCCATTTTTTGGTGGGTATTTGTGGGTAATTGCATGATTTTGAGCCATTTCATCATCTTCGAATTGGTCATGAAAGCAACATCTGCAGGATCCCCCATGATCTACCGCTTCAACGCCATGGTTTCCGGTTCAGATGCTCCCTTCAACCCATCCGCCAGGAGACTTCCTGCGTCAGACCTTCACCTTCCGAGATGACGAGTCGCAAGATGATGCCTGGAAGGATTCCTACTCTCACGAGGTGTGAGAGAGGTGATGGCTGGCAATAGGATGATGTACAGTTTACCATAGTTTACCAGATAAATCCAGATGCACTAGGGATTCACATTGTTGATTCAGATCACTTCAATTGGCCGTCTCCACGTTTTTGACACCCGACTCAGTGTTCGCCACACTGACCCAGTATGTTCCACCTCATGTCATGCTGATCAATTCCCATCTGGGGACGTTCCAATAGGTTCACCTAGCGTTGAGTCGCTCGGTGTGCTTCTACGTGGACTCCGAAGCGAAGTTTCGCATCGCCTTCTCCAAGTTTTCCAAAGCTGGCTTGGTGGCTGCGGACTGGAAGGTCGTGAAACCTGGGGACCAGTGAGGGATTCCGTGTTTCTTTGGAGTGAAATGTGTAGCCCTACTGGTAACTGGTGAGTAGAAAGGGGCGCTATAATATGGATAGGTTGTGTGATAAATTGTATATGTCCAAACCTGCTGGAAAGTGGGACAATCCATCAGAGATACTCTAGTTACGATCCTAAAACATCCTAAAACTGCATGCATGATTCCGGAACATGCGATGGCGCAGATGCACGCTGAGAGGCCATCCCTGCTTAATTATGGGAACAAAATGGAACAAATATGGTTAGCCAAAGACTTTCACTGTTTCAACGGAACAAGTAAATAAATACTTCCCAATCTTGCACAGCTAGCAATTATACAATATAAAGTGGAAGGTGCTTTCCGTATGAAAGTGAACAGGTACAACATACAGGGTGAGTCTTATATGTAGTATACATTAACAATATGATATGTCATCTTAGTATTAGTTCTTTGTTTTTCACCATAGCAGTTGTACAGCGGGTGCCAGAATTATAGAACGGAGCCAGGAGTACAAAAGTACGGTAAAATACTGTACCTTTGTACTCCTCCGGGTTCCGATTCCGCGCGGAGTCGGGAAATTTAATTATATATAGAACGGGGATCCGTTCTATAATTAAATTTCCCCGTTCTATAATTTAATTTCCCCGTTCTATAATTTCTGGCACTGACTTGATATTTACTGCATATTTGTACATATACAATCTATAAAATGAAGATTTAATGAGTACATTCAGATACGTGTTTTTTCATACCTTCCGAGGAAAACATAATTATAGAACAACAGGGTACGGTAAATAACCGTACCTTCGTACTCCTCAACTTCCGTTATATAATTCCGGCACCTACAGTATACGATTGAACAATCATATGTAACCACACCCAGATGCTGAAAACGTGCCGCCGTGCCGCCGTGACATCTGCACCTCCTGGAGGCGGTCGAGAGTGCAGGGGAGTTCAGCTTCGACAAATGAGCCTTGGCTGAGAATTTTTGGGGCTAGCAGAGATTCAGATGAAAAACCAACAAAACACCATGGTATTAATTAATATATATTATTAATGTATTTTACCATATTTTACCCGCATTTACTGATGGTTAAGAAATCCTGAAGTTGCATGCATCGTCATGTGGTGATGATGATATTTTTCAGGGGGTCTTTTTTTTTGTCAGGAAAGTGGGGCCAACGTTGCAGGCTTTGGGGCCAACCTTTCCCATGTCAGGCGTGGATGCCAACGGATCCACGTTTCTGGAGCTGAGACATGTGATCCGGTCACCAAAGCATCCAGAGTGTCCCATCAAGTCGCAGCCAGAGACTTGGCGGTTACGTGGGATGAAGCAGCCAAGTCATGTGGGCTTAGAGCAGCCAGTTGTGTTACCCTCTGGCAATTTAACATAGCTATGGAAAATCACCATTTTCAATGGGAAAATCCACTATAAATGGCCATTTTCAGTAGCTATGTTAAATTACCAGAGGGTACCCATTCGGGTTTTCTCTGTTCCAACTGTCGATGTGGGGTTCACCTAACTTATATGGTGTTTACCCATGGTGAGTCCCATTCGGAAAATGATCGACACATGGTGGGTTTTCTGCATCTTTGAGTTAGGAGGACCAGGCTTGGTCCCTGGATTACAACCATTTCTTGTGGGATATAATGGGAATAACATACTTATAACTTATAAGCCATTGTTTGACCAGTTTTGCATCCACTTCAGCCCAGAATGCTTCGACTCACTTACCCCACTGTTTGAATGGCCATGACTTTCAAGGTAGTACTGTCCTGAAATGTCTGGGTGGCTTGGTAACTCTCCGATTCTGAGCCATAACTCATCTTGAGTGGATTCAAGGACTTTGCCAACATGCCTAAATCGGACACATCCCATCCTAATTTTGCTTGGTGGGATCCCAACTCACTCAAGTCCACAATGTTGCATTCACGGTGAAACGCCACATGGTTGCCGGTTACGTGTTTCTTGATCAAACCATCATGGTTGGTGAAATTCCCATTGCTTTTGGTAAATTCCCAGTTGCACTTTGGTGACATCAGATTGTTCACTGGTAATTTCCATAGAGTTTAGATCATGTTCATGAATAAAGACCATCATTACTCCTGAATCATGGGCAATCATGGGATACTCCAGATATATCCATATTTCTCCGCAATATATCCATATTTTCTCAGCAAAAACCCATCATGTTTGCCTGGTGTCTCAGTTATTTCGTCCTCAGGACTCTACGCTGATGGGCGCCTGAGCCGAGGTAACGGCCGTGAGAGCTTGGAAACCACAGCAACATGGATAAACATGGGGAGTCAACCAGAGAAAATTGCTGTTGAACCAGTAAAAGAAAGGTGATGGAACATGATGGAACTAAAAATCTGGTGATATGAGTGATATGTGATGTTAAGCTTAAGGAAAAGGATACAAGAAGTGATGGTTTTGCTAGCAGTTTGGATTTCACCAACACATCGGATTTTTGTAGGAACACATTGGATTTAATCAACAACCGCTGCAAGACACAGACTTACGGCTCAGCCCATGCAAAGCAATGGTGCTGTTTGCTGAATTTTCGGCTTCCACAGGCCTCAGATTTCGGTTGAGCTCAGAACTTCTGAGAGATTGACCCTCTTGCCTCTTTATTGAAAAAACAGATGCGGCTACAAGCTGATTGCAGCCAGGATCACTATGGTATATTCAAGTCATACTTCTGATTTATATATAGATATAGATATCAATATATATATATATAGATATAGATATCAATATAAATATATATATATATGATTATATATATAAGTTGATTGCATATATAAATATATATATATATATATATAATTATTTATACATATATATATATACAATATAATAAATCCCTTGACAATAGTTATTTGGGAAAATCTATGAGAACACAGAATATGGGATAGTCATTTGCAAAGAATCACCATTCATGCCATGACTTTACATTGTTTGAATCGAATCTGGCCATCCAGAACCCCGTTGTTCAATGTTTTGCTTAAAGTTCATCTCTACAGATCTAGATGCTTCGAAGGTACTTAAGGCCCCACACAACAACGACCTCAGACAATGTTTGGATCCATAGGGGAGATTGCAGGCATTCTGGTCGGTTCAACAATCCTCATATATGTCCGAACGCTTGAAGAGTGCGAGCATAAACACTGGTTCGACACCAAAAAGGTGATATGTGCAAAAAATTATAGAGCACACATCATCCGTTTCTGTGAAAATCGTCAGTCCCCCTAAACTCCACAGGGTAGGACACCTGCGGTAGCACCAAGGTGCCTTGCTGCAGTCGCTCTCAGCAGCCAACCTGGGACTCTGGGCGAGTTCCTTGAGACACGTGGCAGGTCACCAGCGCCAAGGGACTCGGGTTGGGCCCACAGCCTTTGCAGGTCACAGGAGTGTCGCCTTTTAAACAAAGCGACGTACCAAAGTTACCCGTTGCTCATGAAGGTTGTTGATGTTGATGCTCGCCATATCTTGGGGTAGTATCTACATATGATGTTCCTATCATATTATACATGATTATATACTTATATATATTATATTATGTTGATTCCATATATATATTATATTATATATAATTATATATATATATATATGTTCACTCCAAATTGGAAATTGTAGCGGTTGATGGTCGTTGATAACCTTATCCAGACAGCAGCATGTCCTGTGAAATCTGGCGGCAGGCAGTCAGCTTGTGGAGACGGGTCCCCTCCTTCGCAACTTTGCCATGGTTCCCTGTGAACAAGTCAGGCTGAGAGCGCCGCAGTCTTGGTGGCTTACAGTATGTTACAGTAATCATCACAAAAAAATAGAAAAATCGATTCCTACTGGATTTTAGTAATAACTGCTAAAAAGATAGACAAGTCAAATCCTCATATACTTTATTTGGGGTTGAATCATGGTCAATTATTGTTCTATCTTTTTAGGGGCTGCTACAGATGTCTGAAAGGTTCTTTTTCATTTTTTGTTGGCTCTTTTTCCAAAAGTTTCACTGATGTGGTCCAGCTTCAGTGTCTCAAGATAAAATGAGATTAGCCTTCTTTGGTTCGTAGATGGGGATCAAAACGCCTTTCATCAATGACTTGAACTACATTGCAAAAAGTAGTGCCGGCCACCACCTCGATCATCATGTTTAGTCTTGGCCCCTTGTTGATCTTGGCTATCCACTGCTAGTTGGTGAGGGATAACATAACAAATCAGTTTTTTGCTGGCTCTCAAATGTCAGGCTTATGCCAGGCGAAGAGCTTTTTGTTGAATCTATGGATGAGCATCCCAGAATTCATGAATGGTTCATGGTTTTTGAAGATGTTTGAAGACACTTTATTTTCTGGATATCCCCAAGTTATTTATAATGTTATAATGTAGTTGAATATGGTGCACTTCCTCATCCAGATGCACGTCGCAGGCAGTGGACGCATTCCTTGGCGATGTCAATGGCTCTGGCTCAGGCGTTGTACGGGTGGAACCACCGATTTTGACTGATTGTGTTCCAAGTGACATCCCAACTGACACCACTGCAATGTTAAAACATGTATTAAACAGAGCAATTATGATCAATTATGTACGTTTTTTTTTTTTACATCGTTTTACAACATGATATATATATATATATTATAGAGATAGATATAGTCACATGTTTGGCGTCTTTGACCCTTACTCCTGTTGTCAAGTCATGGGATGAGCTGCCATTGTTCGGTCTCGTTATTTATCAAGAATGTTCTAGAGTTATACTGCCCCTGAGGTTGGTCTACAAGCAGATGTCAATACCTTCGGCATTCTCTTAGGGTCCGGGTGCTCAACATTGCTCAACAGCTTGCAGCCGGGTCCCCGGCCATGGCAAAACATGTTGGCCAAACTCCGCAACAGCAGGCGCCTCATGTAAGTGTGAACTGCATGGCTTCATCATTAGCAACTGAGGTATAGAACCACTCACAATTAGAAACAGCTTCACATTTTTTGAGTCAGACCCCCAGGTTGTGAAGTTTCTATTTTTGCTTGCGAAACCTCCGGTGGTCCTTTGAGGTCCCTACAGGTGATACACCAATGGGCAACTGGGCATGAGTTGAGAGGGGGGGCCATGTTTCAGTGCCAGGTTCCATTTTGCCGGGTATAGGTTGGCGATGTTGATGTTTCATTTATATATAATTATACCGCCGGACTGAAAGTTAGAATGACCCACCTGCCACCAAAAAAAATCCATTGAAAGTTAGAATGCCCCCCCGAAAATTGTCTTAAAAATTCTACTAAAATTCTACCTTTCAGTCCGTATTATGCTGGTAAATGTGGATAAAAATGCTCAAAAATTGTTCGATCAAATTTGCCTACCTGTTGTGCCGGGGCCACCAAGCCTTTATTTTTTGTAGGGTTAGAATGCCTCCGCAGCATTTGCCCCCAAAACAGCTGAATTCTATATAGATTTTTTAGTTCTTATATAATATATATATTATTTATTTATATCCTACATCAACCAAATCCCTGAAAAAAACGGGTCGAGCTATCAAAACCTGGTTTTGAGCTAGTTTCTGCGAAAAAAAACGGCTTTTGTCAACAAAACCATGTTTTTGATGAAGCAGCTTCGCCACAACCTCCAGAAAGACCGTCGAAAACCTGTAAAAATTCATCAAAACCAATAAAAAACCGTAAAATACCGTAGTCGAAAACCGTCCAAAAGCTTGGTTTGCCGGGGCCACCAAACCTTGTTTCTTGTAGGGTTAGAATGCCTCCGCAGCATATGCCCTTCTGAATTCTATCTAGGTTTATATAGATAAATGAAATCTTGGTCCCCAATGACGGTTGAGATAAATACTTACCAAAGTTTGATATCATCATCATATATCCTACATCAACCAAATCCCTGAAAAAAGCGGGTCGAGGTATCAACACCTGGTTTTAGTTAGTTGCTGCGAAAAAAAACAGGTTTTAGCCAACAAAACCAGGTTTTTGATGAAGCAGCTTCGCCACAACCCGTAGAAAGACCGTCGAAAACCTGTAAAAATTCATCAAAACCCATAAAAACCCGTAAAATACCGTAGTCGAAAACCGTCCAAAAGCTTGGTTTGCCGGGGCCACCAAACCTTGTTTTTTGTAGGGTTAGAATGCCTCCGCAGCATATGCCCCCAAAACTTCTGAATTCTATCTAGATTTTATATAGATAAATGAAATCTTGGTCCCCAATGACGGTTGAGATAAATACTTACCAAAGTTTGATATCATCATCATATATCCTACATCAACCAAATCCCTGAAAAAAGCGGGTCGAGGTATCAACACCTGGTTTTGAGCTAGTTTCTGTTTTAGCCAACAAAACGAGGTTTTTGATGAAGCAGCTTCGCCACAACCCGTAGAAAGACCGTCGAAAACCTGTAAAAATTCATCAAAACCAATAAAAAACCGTAAAATACCGTAGTCGAAAACCGTCCAAAAGCTTGGTTTGCCGGGGCCACCAAACCTTGTTTTTTGTAGGTTAGAATGCCTCCGCAGCATATGCCCCTAAAACTTATGAATTCGATACGTATAGGTTTTAAATAGATAAATGAAATCTAGATGTGAGCAAACGACGTGTTCTTGGATCGGCGGATGATGATATTGTATTTTTTTTCTGCATATGCCATTTTTTATTGATTTTTTTTTTGCTGATCATGAACATGTTTTGTTTGGAAAATACCTGCAAATTCTGCATATTTATATTTACAATACGATGTTGCATCTTTTCTGCATATTATGATATTTTTTATTGGTCATGGGTAGTTTTTTTTGCAATTTACATGCATATTCTGCATATTTGCAGTACATGGAAGACACGGGACGGTCGAAAATGCGTCAAAAAATTTGGAGTTTTAGGGGTTTCAGGACTAAATACCTAGGGTTAGAATGCCCGTCGGGGATTTTCCCACGGTATTCCCTACGACAATGTAAATGTTGATTAAACGGAATGGTAACCTCCAAAAACGGCATTATACACAGACGTTATTGCATTTGTCCAATATTCTGTAATGTTTTATTGATCATGTCTTTTTTGCTGATCATGAGCATGTTTTTGGCAAATACCTGTATATTCTTCATATCTAAATTAACAATACCATGTTGCATTTTTTCTGCACATCATGACATTGTTTATTGTTCATGGAAAGATTTGGTTGCAATGTGCATGCAAATTCTGCATATTTGCAGTACATGGAAGACACGGGACGGTCGAAAATGCGCCAAGAATTTTGGAGTTTTAGGGGTTTCAGGACTGAATAAATAGGGTTAGAATGCCCGTCGGGGATTTTCCCACGGTATTCCCCACGATAATGTAAATGTTGATTAAACAGGATGGTAACCTCCGAAAACGGCATTATACACACATATATATATATATGCGCTGTAAATATTACATAATATGTATACATGTACATACATATTGGATGATATTAGATGTGAGTAAACGAGGTGTTCTTGGATCGGCGGATGACGATATTGCATTTTTTCTGCATAGTCTGTCATTTTTGATTGATCATGAGCAAGTTTTTTTGGGCAAATACCTGTTTATTCTGCATATTGTAAACAACAATACGAGGTTGCATTTTTTCTGCATACTATCACATGTTTTATTGGTCATGGGTAGATTCTTTTGAAAATTACATGCATATTCTGCATATTTGCAGTACATGGAAGACACGGGACGGTCGAAAATGCGTCAAGAATTTTGGAGTTTTAGGGGTTTCAGGGCTAAATAAATAGGGTTAGAATGCAGAATGCCCGTCGGGGATTTTCCCACGGTATTCCCCACGATAATGAAATGTTGATTAAACTGGATGGTAACGGCATTATACACACATATATATGCGCTGTATATATTACATAAATGTACATGTACATACATGTTAGATGTGAGTAAACGAGGTGTTCTTGGATCGGCGGATGACGATATTGCATTTTTTCTGCATACTCTGTCATTTTTTATTGATTGTTTTTTTGCTGATCATGAACATGTTTTTTTTGCAAATACCTGCAAAAACTGCAAATTTAAATTTACAATTTACAATACGATGTTGCATGTTTTCTGCATATCATGACATTGTTTATTGTTCATGAAAAGATTTGTTTGCAATTTACGTGCGTATATTTGCAGTACATGGAAGACACGGGACGGTCGAAAATGCATCAATAATTTTGGAGTTTTAGGGGTTTCAGGACTAAATAAATAGGGTTGGAATGCCCGTCGGGGATTTTCCCACGGTATTCCCCACGATGATGAAATGTTCATTAAACAGGATGGTAACCTCCAAAAACGGCATTATACACAGACGATGTTGCATTTTTGTAATATTCTGTCATTTTTTATTGATCATGTTCTTTTCCTGATCATGAGCAAGTTTTTTGGCAAATACCTGTATATTCTGCACATTTAAATTTACAATTTACAATACGATGTTGCATGGTTTCTGCAAATGTTTACATTGTTTATTGTTCATGGAAAGATTTGTTTGCAATTTACATGCATATGCTGCATATTTGCAGTACAAGGAAGACACGGGACGGTCGAAAATGCGTCAATAATTTTGGAGTTTTAGGGGTTTCAGGACTAAATAAATAGGGTTAGAATGCCTGTCGCGGATTTTCCCACGGTATTCCCCACGATAATGAAATGTTGATTAAACAGGATGGTAACCTCCGAAAACGGCATTACACACAAACGATATGGCATTTTTCAATACTCTGTCATTTTTGATTGATCATGTACTTTTTTTTACTGATCATGAACAATATGTTTTGGGCAAATACCTGCATATTCTACATATTTAAATTTACAATTTACAATACGATGTTGCATGTTTTCTGCAAATGTTTGCATTGTTTATTGTTCATGGAACGATTTGTTTGCAAATTACATGCATATTCTGCATATCTGCAGTACAAGGAAGACACGGGACGGTCGAAAATGCGTCAATAATTTTGGAGTTTTAGGGGTTTCAGGACTAAATAAATAGGGTTAGAATGCCCGTCGCGGATTTTCCCACGGTATTCCCCACGATAATGAAATGTTGATTAAGCAGGATGGTAACCTCCAAAAACGGCATCATACACAGATATATATGCGCTGTATATATTACATATATGTACATGTACATACATATATTAGATGTGAGTAAACGAGGTGTCTTGGATCGGCGGATGACGATATTGCATTTTCTCTGCATATTCTGTCAATTTTAGTTGTTATTTTTTTGTGCTGATCAGGAGCATGTTTTCTTGGCGAATACCTGCATATTCTACATATTGACTATACATGATTATACGATATTGCATGTTTTCTGCATATTAATATTATGACATTGTTTATTGTCCATGGAAAGGTTTGGTCGCAATTTACATGCAAATTCTGCATATTTGCAGTACATGGAAGGCACGGGACGGTCGAAAATGCATCAAGAATTTTGGAGTTTTAGGGGTTTCAGGACTCAATAAATAGGGATAGAATGCCGTCCCAGATTTTTTTAAGGGGTTTCAGGACTAAATAAATATGGTTGGTCGAGATTTTCCCACGATATTCCCCACGACAATGAAATTTTGATTAAACAGGATGGTAATCTCTGAAAACAGCATTATACACACATATATATATATATACTACATATATGTACATTTACAATCATGCGCATACATATCAGATGTGAGTAAACGAGGCGTTCTTGGATCGGCGGATGACGATATTGCCTGTTTTCTGCATATTCTGTCAATTTTAGTGGTCATATACTTTTTTTGCTGATCATGAGCATGTTTTTTTGGCGAATACCTGCATATTCTACACATTTATAATACGATATTGCATTTGTTCTGCATATTATGACAAATTGTTTATTGTTCATGGAAAGATTTGTTTGCAATTTACATGCATATTCTGCATATTTGCAGTACCATATGCATGGAAGACACGGAACGGTCGAAAAATGCGTCAAACATTTTGGAGTTTTAGGGGTTTCAGGACTAAATAAATAGGGTTAGAATGCCCGTCGCGGATTTTCCCACGGTATTCTCCACGATAATGAAATGTTGATTAAACAGTATGGTAACCTCCGAAAACGGCCTTGTACACACATATATGCGCTGTATGTATGTACAATTACAACCATGTACATACATATCAGATGTGAGTAAACGAGGTGTTCTTGGATCGGCGGATGACGATATTGCATTTTTTCTGCATATTGTGACATTTTTTATTGTTCATGGATAGATCCATTATTTTTCATTGGTTTTTCGTTATTTTGACGATGTGTTTCATTATTTTTCATTGTTTTTTTTTCTAATTATATGGTACAACCGAAAGTTATATTGCCACCCTGGTGGAAAGACATGGATTTCAAGAAAAAGCCCGTGTACCGCGTGAGAAATCCGGGAGGCATTCTAACCTTATTTATTTAGTCCTGAAACCCCTTAAAAAAAATCCGGGACGGCATTCGGTGATCTTTCAGTATTTTGAAGATGTTGTTCATTATTGTTCAGTGTTTTTTTGTTTTGAAGATGGTTTTCATTGATTCTAATTATTTTGAAGATGATAGTTCATTATTTTTCAATGATTCTTCATTATTTTCATTATTTTCCAAATGTTTTTAATTATTTTTCATTGATTGTTCAATGCGTTTACATGTTTTTCATCATTTTTCATTGATTTTTCAATGTTTTAAAGATGTTTTTCATTATTTTTCATTGTATTGTTGGGTAGATTTCATGCATATTCTGCATATTTGTAGTACATGGAAGACACGGGACGATCGAAAATTCGATATTTTGGAGTTTTGGGGTCTTCAGGACTACATAAATAGGGTTAGAATGCCGTCCCGGATTTGTTTAGGGGTTTCAGGACTAAATAAATAGGGTTAGAATGCCCCCCAAATTTCTCACGCGGTACGCGGAAATGGATATCTAAATCCACTTGCCGCCACCAAATGGGCATTCTAACTTTCAGTCCGGCGGTATAATGTATATATATTATATATATAATTATATATATATATGATACTGTGGATGGTTGCGAAATCCTGCATCAGTTGATAGATGGTTTATCAGTTTATCCCATTATTTGAATATGGTTTCAACATGTTTCAACCATCCAAAATTGGTGGTTTATCGGATTTCGCAGCCATCCACAGTATCTATGTCCACAGTACCCTGAGCGGTCCGGCAGGTTCGGTCCATGCTGATGGTTCATCAGCTCCGTTTGAGGTCCGGCACGGTGGTTGTTTACGTTTACCCCAAAAATGAGGCTGGATGGACCCCCAATCTACTGACATTCACAGAATTGGATGATGGGAAAATTTACAGGAAACCCCTATATTTGATGGTAAAAACCATGGTTTCCTCTAGATTTTCCCTTAAACCAATCCATTGAGACATTAAAGGATGGGACAAACGAAGATCCAATGGAATTGGGGAAAAAATCGTGGTACATTTGATGTTTTTTGAACAAACCCATTGTGAAGTCTTGTCTTGAGATTTTGGGAGAAGAGCCACAGATCTAAAGGCAACTGACGCGGACTGATTTGATGATGAGAGTGATGTTGAGGCGATTTCAACCATCTAAGCATTTTCTTCACCACTGTGTACCCCTTCGTTGTGAAGTGACATGTTCAATTCTTAGCCATGGTTGAATGGGGATTTTGAATTGTATCTAAGATGCAGCATGATCGAAACTGGGTTGTCCCTGGAGTAATGGCTTGCTAACTGGGTTGTATCCTATTAAACATCACAAACGGTATCTAGGCCCCCAAACAATTCATTTTATGACCTAGTTGAAGGGATTGATTTCCAATACATGTATATGTATTATTTAATTATATGTAGACATATACATATGGCATCATATGGCACGTAAATGACAACAGGGGTTCAAACCGCTTACAACCAGCTTATCACCCATAAATTGTGGCACTCAGCATGGCGCGGAACCGGCCATGACGCAAACCGCTCGCGACAGGTGGTGCATCAATGAGGTGCATGCAGGGGCGGCCATTGCCACCGCTCAGGCGGTTGGGGCAGCTGTTTTAAGACCACCTGTCTTTGAGCAAATTACTGGTTGGTGGTTTGGAACATGAATTTTATTTTCCCATATATTGGGAATAATCATCCCAACTGACTTTCATATTTTTCAGAGGGGTTGAAACCACCAACCAAATTATGATTGGGTAACGGTAAGTTTCACTGTGAATCACCACCATTCATAAATTTATGGTGTTCAATTTGAAAAGCACATGAAACCAAGTCAACAAAGCCATGGCTTTGGGATTAGGTGTCAAAATGTTTCTCGCTTTGAGGGTTCTGTCACAATTTTGCATGCCTGATCCACATCTTTATGCCCATTCCATTCCAATTGTTGGGTAGCTAGTGGCATGACCCATCCTCAAAGAATGTGTTTTATTGATCCACATCGACCCCAACAAATGGTTGGACATACAAAAGACACAATCAAGGAACGTTGATTTCCAAACATCCCTGATGGTTTTGTCCATGGATCAATACGTCACAAAAATCGCTAAGAGTGGTTTTGTCATAAATGGGTATGGGTCAAAATTAGGTACCCCAATAATTGGATGGTTAATACTAAACTAGACATTCACATCTGTGGTCCCATTAATGGTCTTCCATTTTGACCCACATCCAAATCGAGTACCCCAAAATCCGATGGTTTACATCATGATCATCATGTTCCCTCGAGAAAAAAATATGCATTTTTTTGAGATATTTCATTGCCCCATTCTCAGACACATCCAAAATCATCCAAATATTAAATTGCTGAGTAAAGAAAGCCCATTATATTATAAATATACCCATTATTGTCGGTTTTGTATGGTTGTATCATTGTGTCCCCCATTTGTTGCTGGTAAAATCCTCCATGTATAAAAAAGAACATACTTAATTTACAACCCAAAATATAATGCTGGTTATCCCGTTGAAATGTCCTTATAACAATGGTTGGTTAATGTTGGTTATATCCGAAACTTGCTAGTTATATCAGTTATATCCCATTCTACCTGTAAATTGATGAACCTCTGTAACTTTGCTGCTTATTACCCTCTGGTAAACTAACATAGCTATGGAAAATCACCATTTTCAATGGGAAAATCCACTATAAATGGTCATTTTCAATAGCTATGTTAGTCATTACCAGAGGGTAACCACAATGCCAGACATGACACGTCAGTGCTTGCCGATCAACGTCAGGCCTCGCAGCATTGGACGTTGGCTTGCGACTTGCTGCTGAATGCTGGCGGAATGAGGTGGGGAAAATGGGCCGCCCGAGCGATTGCTGCTTAAACGCTTAAGGAATGTTGGGGATGCCACTCCCTTGTATGGAGACACATTGGCAGATACATATCGATACATGGATATATATACAATCATATACATGCCATTAAAAAAAAAGAACAATCATCCATTTTCGCAGTATTGTCCTTTCAACTCAAATACCACGAGTCCATAATCTTCCACAGATTCCCAGAATTGGATCGAAAAGTTCAAAACTCATCCAAAGTCAACTCCCGATAGGGGGACTTTCAATCCATGGTGAAACCACGGCTCTTCTATGGTAAAACTACGTATGGTCTTCCCATGGATTCTTATGGTAAAACCATGGTTTTCCTGTGAAAAACCATGGTTTTCCTGTGAAAAACCATAGTTTTCCTATGGATTCCTATGGTAAAACCCTGGTTTTCCAGTGAACATCTCCCCCAAACGGTCCCCAAAACGGTCCGCTCGGAGCTGACAGGGTGCACTTCCGCGAGCCTTCGACCGCCTTTGGTGCCGCCTTGGAGGTGGGATTTGTTCTGTTGTTTTATATATAAAAAGTACCATAGGTTTTCCAACTGTTTTATAATTATAAATGGTATAATATTATTTATGGTGTTTTTCTAATTATAAATAGGTGTACCGTTTTTCTTATGGTATACATATGGGTGTGTCTGAAAATGTTGTGTACCCCTTTTTACCCAATGGTTTTGCTGATCATTATCCCGTTTTTAAATGGCTACAATTGGGAATATACCCTATTTTCAGACAAACCCATATATATATATATATAGTTTTTTGTTCTATGTTTGATGTTTTGTTGTTTAAGACAATAAACTGATCATACTTATGTCATAGTTTCTTGTTAAACTGACATTGAACGAGACATCGAACATTTTTGGACCAACCGAAGATATGCATGTGTATGTATATATATATATATATATCCGAATTGATGTTCAGGTCCTTAAAAGGCTTGTACATGATGATGGCCACTTGTCTCACATGCACAAATATACATATACAATTGAGACATGGGAGTACATGTCATTCAACATGTTTTCTTTATCATCGCATCATCAACAATTACCCTTAAGACTAGAGTCATTTCATATACATATATATATATACATTATTTTATCATTGTCATCATCGTTGTTATCATCGTCATCGTCGTCATCATCATCATCACCATTGCTATTGTTGCTGTTATGATTACAATATAGTGTTATCATTCTCATAGTTCGTATTATCATGAAAATCATCATCATTAAATTCTTCTCATAATCATCAACTAATGATCATAAGGATAAAATAATCAATGATTATCATCAAATTATAATAAACATACTAATCAAATCTAATCAAGTAATAAGGACTATCATATTATCATCAAATTCTTGCGGCTCATTCTTCGGATCTTTGCCCTTGCCGATGAAGGCTTGTTCCGCCTACTGGTGGGTGTCCTTGACGCTAGCGGAGGTCAGACATCTGGGCTTGGCGAAGGTGAAGTCTGGAACTTCGGAGAGCCTTCCTGGGTTGCTGATGTATACAGTATATTATATATATATGATTTATCTGTATGTCATGTATATTATATATACATGTATTATTGTGTACAGTATATATATATGCATAGGTATCTCTATTTGGTGGTTCACCCCAGTAACTGGCAAGTCTTATGAGAATCAATGTAGATACAGGATAACCCAAGAAACAGGTACTCACTAACCGGGCTAATAAACCGGTTACTAACTGGGATCCTCCTTCAAATAGATCTAGATAGATACATGTATCAACACTGATTACTCAAACTGTGCAAAAATGTGTACTTTACCCTGCCGTAATCAAACGTGGTATTGGAAAATTTGTCATTTACATATAGATGATTTTGCCATTGAAACCTCCATGTATAAGGGAGTTGACGTTTCCCAGCTAGCCATGTTTGATTACCAGAGGATATCCCCAGTTAGGTCAAATTATATATATATACAGTATAATTATATACATACAGTATACATATTCAAAACGTGTATACCCTAGGGTAAACTAACATAGATGAAGAAAAGCCATGGTTTCCCTAAGAAACTGATCTACATCTATAAATTCTTCCCAGACCCTTGGGCCTGCCAGGAGATGAGCTGCCAGGGGCTCCTGCCCACCTTGCCTTTGCTGGCCGTGAAGAGCGATGCTTTGGAGTGTGGTTGCCTGGGGATTGATGTTGATAATATTGGATTCGATTTATAGATGGATCGATGGATGGATAGATAGGTAGATCATACATGATCATACAACATAGTAATATGATGTTATATATATATATATATATATTATCTGTTTTAAAGGGGACAGAATCAATTTGCCGGAGATTTGCGCGAGCTCCCCATAGGGAGGCCTTTGCATCACATCAGCCACACTTAATGGGTCTCCGTGGGTCTCATGGTTGTTGGGGATGAGAAAGTCTTTGGCTACCAAGGGGTATCAATTTCTGGTTGGTGCTGACTGGAACATGGCGATATTATTTTCCATTTCATATATGGGATGTCATCCTTCCCATTGACCAATATTTTTCAAGATGGTTATTGCACCACCAACCAGATTTATATTGGGACTTCTCCTCCCAGGGACGCTGTAAGTTACTTTCTTCCTCACCACAAGTTCCATCCTTTTGGCAGCGCCGGCAGATGTGACTGAGGATAGGTAGATGTTGGCATCAGCAGGCAGCTGTGTTGGACGTTGCAAGCTCTCAAGGACTCAGCTCAGCCACTTTTTGCTGTTCAACATCTGGTTTTGAGTTCGGATGGTAGGAAAATCTAGGAATCTACCCATCTGTTCCATGGAATATTTATCTACATTTGGGTTATTTTTGGGGTAGATGTTGGTAATGTTCCATACATGGAGCATTGAGGATACCATTTAACAATGGAGATTGAAGAAGCGCTTGCCGACTGGTTCAGAAGTGAATCCCATAAATCAAAAAATCCGTTCCCAGCTGAGGACTTCAATGTCTGGTCTCAGCAGAAAATATGACCGGCTGTTGACGCCCAATGGGGCATGGAATGGTTGGGAGATTTGACGCCCAGCAATGAAATGGTTTCGTTTGGAGGTTTAGGTTTTGGATGTCATTGAAACTTGTGCATGTCACATCATGTCACACTTGAAATGCATGTTTTTTCAAAGCTGGCAACAGATCAGAGAGACTTTTATTCCCTATTCTCAAACGACAGGGACTGCATGCGGCTTGCACTGGGTGATGTTCGCGCGGTCTTCGCCTCTTTCAGGCTTCTATTTTTGCTTCATGGACAAAACAGTCAGGATGAGCGTGAGGGAAACAATCGTCAGAGGAAACCACAAATTGCACACGCCTTTCATCGCCTTTCGCAGCTTTCGAACAGCGCCAAACAATTTGAAGACCACTAGATCTTTGCGCACCAGGTCCAATTGGGCCCAGAACCTTCTCCAGACAAGCCGATCTCTTTGATTTCTGAGGAACAAGTGTAAGATTTGTCAAGTGTTCAATTGCCCAACTGGGACCATTTTGCTATTATAAATCAGTTTGCAACTCCAGAACAGACCAGGTTGACCGAAAAAAACATGGCGAATTTTGGCGACCACAACCTTGTACCCCTTGAGATGCTGCAGCGTTTGGCTGATGGTGCAAGTGGAGGCCACCAAGTCCGAAGGAAGGGCAGAGGGGTGAAGAGGATTGAGGTGATTGAGGTTTCTTCCGTCATGTTTATGACTTTTGTGGACTTTCTTTCTTCATGACTGCATGTGTAGCATCTCTGGGAGTTTCCAGCCAACATTGCGAGAGGGCAGAAATGTTCAGAAGTCTGGTCATGACCTCCCGGACATGACTGGAAGCCAAAATTGGTATGTCTGAAAAGTTGTAGGATACCCTACTCCATCCCATGGTCAATCATGATCTTCCCCCGTTTACATGATCTGCGGGTCAAAACTCCGGAGGTGCGCCCAATGGCCGGCCCCCCAAGGGGGGCCGCCCGGGACGGCAAAGGCTCAGGCGATCATGTGGGTTTGTCAGAAATGATAGAAATTGAGGTGTACTCGTATAACTACAACTATCTAAATCCACAGGTTTGAATCATCATGTTTTTTCCATTGAAATCATCTATAACATTCCATAACTGGAGAAAAGCATACTTTAAGATGATCCTTGATTTCGTTTGAGAACAATCACTGAATTCAGAGCAGTTTAATGGAGCTTTGCAGCTTCGTGTATGGTTTCGCACAGCAAAGATCAGCAAAGCACTGCTAGATTCCTTGACTTGGGGATGGTGGAATAAACATACATTTATAGGGTACCCGGGTACCATCTGGTGCCAGGGTTTTGACTCATTGCCATTTTGTGAACCTTGAATCATTTTGGTTGTAATGCAGATAGAGCCGGGCGTATCTCAAGAATCCGCTTTCATATGATCCGGAAGCAGCAACCGCAGCAACCAGAGATAGCTGGAGTCTCTTTTTATATTCAGTCACTCCCCATTCTGTAAGTTTCTCTTTCCATTTCCATACGTGTTAATTCCATTTTGGGTTGGTTAGATCTTCATTTTAGGACATATTGCAGTACTCTGAGAATGGGAGCCCAGTCAAAAACATGAGTAATGCATGGGTTTCAGTGATAAACCACGTACATCATCTTACATCAACTTACTAATCGTGCTGCATATCTAGTAGCCAGTCCGTATAAACCTTGCACCCAGACTGGCCATCTATCTTGCCGTGTTCAGCGTGCTCTTGGGAATCCTCACACGGCCCCTTGGATCATCTTGGATCTGGATCCGGCGCTGTCTCGGTTGATGGTCCGAAGTCAACCACCAGAACCAATTCCAACCTAGCCATGGTATGGAAATGTATGGAATATAGAATATGTTTTTACTCCAAAACAGCCATAGGGAAAATGATGATGGACCACTGGATGTGGGGGTATTCCCCTAGTGTTTTTGTTGCCACGGACATGGAATTAGTATGAATTAGTTAACATTAGTTAGCTAGTAATTCTGGGTGTTTTTTCTGGTCTATGGTGGGTTATTATCCACCTACTAACCAGGCATGGCCCAAGCCCAGGCTCCAAGCACTCAGAGCACTCAGCTGGGTGGGCCAGGCGTGGTCCAACTAGTCCCATAACTAATCCCATGGGTATGATCCAAACAACCCATTCCCACTTGCAGCTGGGTGAGCTCAGCATGAAATATCATGAATATGAAGCGTATAACCACAGGTATGCACGTCCATGTTGGTCAATTGCTATCGAAAGATTACCCACGGATGAGTCATTCGAAATAAGACGGGCCGTTTGTTCTGAATGAACTGTTTTATGATATTAGGGGGATTGGACTAGACAGGTTATGACACAACGACTGAATTGAAAAGCACAGTTTTTCGATTTACCTTGCAAATGATGCCAACAAATGCAGGCACTCGTTACGTGATTTGTTGATAGATCTCTTTGTGAATCTGGGTAATCCTTCGTGGATGAACCGTTCGTTTGTGGCCTCTTACCACTTTCATAGAGCGGAGTCATCATGTATTCAATGGAAAGTTTGTTTGTTCGACTGGTAGAAAAAGCTTTGCAGTGCTACGTGTGTATATATCTATGTATATATATATAGCTATATATATATATATATACAGTAAGTACTTTTATACTATATATTAATTATTAGTGATATCTACATCAATATCTTATTTTACATTATGATATATGATTATATATGAGCATCTATCTCTATATTACATATTCTATGTTTGATAAAATATAATCTAAGAACATCTTATATATATATATACTACATGTATATCTGATTTCCCGTTCATTCCTCCATCGTAACTTGTGATCCATGTCCTCACTCTGCAGGGCCCTGGCGCTGTGCCCGGTCGCACGGATCGCATCAAGCGCGCTGCAGAGTCGGACATCGTAACGCGGCGAAGCGAAGAACGGGGATTCCACCCTCAAGGCATGGGGTTTGGTATTGTTTGATCAATGTCTCAACCAAGTTCAACCAATCAAAATGGAACTTTACTAAGAGTTGTAACACATTGTTACATGATAGACATTGTGCTAATTTTCATGGTGATGTTTCGGACTGTTTGATCATTTTCAACATTTTTCAACCAATCAAGAGTCCAAAGGAGAATAAAAGCAGTTGTTGTCCGATATTTCAGGCTGAAAATGGCTTAAACATCACCTGAAATAGCGATGGAAGAATTATTGGGATCCATGCAACAGGCAATGTTTGATGGTTGCAACTATACTGTAGCAAACAGTTTGGGCTTGCCTGACACATGAGAGGGACATGGTGAGGGGAATTTCAGGCCATGGAATGAGGATTTCGCTGATTCAACACAGCTAGTTCTAGATATTATGGTTTTTACATGTTTTTACCACACTTGTTATTTTTTTTGTTTTACCAATTTTTACCACCATATTTTTACCAATATAGAAAAGGGTCCACACTTTTGGTATTAGCCCCGAATTCATCGGACTCATGGTAATTGTTTGAACAAATGATTGATAACAAGCCATTGGGTTTCAATTTTTGAACGGCTTTAACTCAGCTGGTTCTTTTGTCATTTTAAGGACAAGTTGCGAGTTATATCCTCATTGAATCCCCATAAATCTCAATTCTGATATTCGATTACATCCCAGATAAATCCCAAAATATCCCAAGAAATCTCCTCCAAATCACCAAATTGTCCACCCAAAATTTGGCCGGGTCCAAGGTGGTCTCTCGAAAGGTTCCTTTGATCCCTCGGCCGCAGAAGGGTCCCAGGCCGCTGGTGGAACCTTCGTATTTCGATCAGTGGGGCAGCTCAGCGTGAGGAGTTCGGGGTGGGTTTCTATGGGTTTCTCCCCCCAAAAAAGCGAAGGAAATTAGGGGCCAAACCAACTGAGCCAAAGCAATTTTTTTTGGGCCAAATTTTGACACCCCTGTTGATGATTAGATCGAATATTGTACATATAAAATATTGTAAATGGGGTTGTAACATACGACATATTACTTTTTTCGGGATTGTCACAATCTATGAACTGGACAGTTTTGAAAACTGCTTGACTGGATTGGTAGCTTTGTACTAGCTGGGTAACCTTTTGCAAACCACAATGATAAACCATTGGATTTTGTTGGCGTGCCAAATTTTGAAACAACCCTCAGTTGGGTGATGGTTTCAAGATGTTCAAACATGTTGGTGGTTGTTAATGCTTGATTAATGCCCATGAATGCTTGATTGAGTGCAAATGAGTGCAACTTGATCAATCTTTCTGGTGGCTGGCCCACCAGCTATGAACTACCAATCCAATATACCGCGTACATATGCTGGTTACCAACATTTAACCCGTTTTTTCCTAGGCCCCATGTGCCAGAGGGCGCTGAGCGACGTCCCGGACCTGTGAGGCGAGAGATCCCCGGGAGAAGAGTGGGATGTAACCAATTGGTTAATAGTGGGATATAGCTAATCTGGTTGGTGGTTTGGAACATTTTTTATTTTTCCATATGGGGATAGGTCAAAACCCTGGTACCTAGTGAACCCCAAAATAACTGGTAAATGGATGTTCATCCCACTAAAATGTATCTATAGGTATTGACCCATACCCATATATATATATATGGGAATAATCATCCCAGCTGACTAATATTTTTCAGAGGGGTTGAAACCACCAACCAGGAATTGTGCGATAGTAATCTAGATGTCTATAATAACTTAATCTAAATTAACAAACGAATTGGGATATCTAAATATAATTATAACTATATAATTTGTATAATTGTATAACTACAAATATTAACTATAGTGATATATATATATATTAATCAATAGTGGGCTACAAAGTAATTGAGAAGGTAATCTATGTTAACTTACATAATCTGCAATCACCATTTGGGTTATATATAATATAAAACTACCAACCACACTAGTTGGTTACTATGATTTACAATGTGTTGTCCTTGCAATGTAACTAATTTTATTTGGCTTTCTGTTATTCTTTGTTTTCCTTGTTCCTGCTGTTTGTGAATGTTTTGAACACATTTGTATATACTTATATATATATTACATAGTTTTTTCACTCTGTTGGTTCTCCTCATGTTTTTCTTCTGCTTGAATCTCTTGCTGCTCATGTTCAGAAGTGCCCCTGGAGTTTTCATCCCAGGGGCCTGATGTTTCAGAAGTCCATCATGGTTGGGATCTCAGCGTGACGAGTTCGGCTGACCACGAACGGCTGATGCACTGGAACAAGGGCAATGGAAAAACCTGCGATGAGAAGTTTAATACTTTAATACATTGTTTACCCTCTGGTTATTTAACATAGCCATGGAAAATTGTCCATTTATAGATGGTTTACCTATTAAAAATGGTGATTTTCCATGGCTATGTGAAATAATCAAATGGTATCTTTTGCCAGAACTGGGGATACAAGCAGATCACCAAGTGTTTTTTTTAAGGTGTATTTAAGATTGGCATCGTTTGCGGACCTCACTGTACAATGGGGGGTGATTTTGAGTGGAATCTTGGCAAACATGGCTTTATGTCAGGTGTGGAATAGAATTATAGTGATTTGGGTATGGATCAATACCTATAGATACATTTTTAGTGGGATGAACATCCATTTACCAGCTATTTTGGGGTTCACTAGGTACCAGGGTTTTGACCCATCCCCATTTGTCCAGAGGGGTGTGTTCATTTTCAAAGTTGGACAGGATCAGGGACTCAGGGATACCTAGATTGGAAAACGCGTGATACCCGACGATCTTTGTGTATATTGTAATAACATATGTGCCATGGTCAATTCTAGCACTGGATACACACACGCATATCCCCTTATATATATATCCCTTGGTATCCATTATTTCCCTATGTCCTCCTTAGCTTTACAGATGGGCCATGGAGTTAATTAACTAGTTGGTAAATGGATTCTGAGATATGTGGGTTATGAACCACATTTAACCACTAACTAACCACGAATCCCTATTCCGCCCATCTAAGTGAACTGAATTACTAACCAGTTAGTTTTATCCCCTATAGATGTAGGTGTCTATATTATATCCATCATATCCCTAGCTATTTTTATAGCCATATGGGTATGGGTCAAAATTGGGTACCCGAAGAATTGGATGGTTAATACATAGACAAGTCAATCTGTGGTCCCCCAGGTCTTTAGTTTTGATCCATATGCATATGTGATAGGGTGAACATATGGTATATAGTTTATGGTCATCCATCTCATATTGGGAATCCAAACATCATGGACAATTGGTATATCAATCCATATGATTAATTGATATATATATATATATATATTGCATATTACATGTATATATAAACAAATATATATATATAGTATTATATATATAGTATTATATATATATATATTTGTATTATATTTACATAAATTACATTATACAATATTTACATAAATTACATTATATATATATAGATAGATGACCAGTGCTCCGTGATACCCCTGTGTTCTCCAAATACTCCACGAGGAGACGCTGGAGAGCGGCGTGGACGAGGACCAGCGGGGTGGCCTCAAGGGCCGCTACGCCATTGAGGCGAGCGGAAGATGGGAGGTTGACAGCCAACAACCTTTGGGAATATGGGAATATGGGATTTTAATGGGATTTTATGGGATTTTAATGGGATTTTAATGGGATTTTATGGGATTTTAATGGGATTTTAATGGGATTTTAATGGGATTTTAATGGGATTTTATGGGATTTTAATGGGATTTAATGGGATTTTATGGGATTTTAATGGGATTTATGGTGGTTTAATGGGATTTAATGGGATTTAATGGGATTTAATGGGATTTAATGTGATTTAATGGGATTCATGGTGGTTTAATGGGATCTAATGGGATTTACCCATATTTACCCTCTGGTAAATTAACATCACTATGGAAAATCACCATCTTTTTATGGGTAAATCCACTATTTCTATGGTCATTTTCAATAGCTATGTTAGTTTACCAGAGATCCTGAGGGTATATCATAATATATCTACATAGAATATATAAATTATATTATATAATCAACTCCAACAATATCAAACTTTAGGGATTTTTGCAATTCTAGATATATGGAGTTGATAAAAAAACATGGTTTTAACTACAAACATCGGGACTTAACATGGTTTTACCATCAAGATAGGGGAGAGAGTGAACCAATGAATGATGGATATGGTTCTGTCTGAAAATGGGGTACCCCGAAGAAGCTATGGCAGCTATGGTTTATGATCATTTTCCCAAAAACATCATGCCACTTTATAGGTATACGCAACTTTCAGGCACACCCTGACCATGTTTCATTGGAATTGGGCCTGCCATCCTCAGATTGCTGAGCATTTGGCTGCACGGAAAGCTTTGGTGGCTGCAGGCTGAAGCTGGGTCAATGGCAGATGTTGGAAGGATAGAGCAGTTAGGGGAGTAAGTTTGAATGAATTTCCAGGCATAAGGTTTGCTATGCGGAATTGGAATTCAATTGATTTGAGCAATGCACCATGGATATGGGTTTGCCCAGTACCGGTATAATTACCGTATACATCCGTATACCGGATACTTACATCCATTTTCAGACAAACCCATACATTGGCATGTTTTTTTGGAGGAGAGAATTCTTTGGGCCATTGGAGGATGCAGAAGAGCTTGCCCCATGGCAGCCATCGCAGGCATTCGGGAGAACATCACAGTCTTCTGGGACCATGATGGCTTTCCACTGCCTGAGGTCAGCTGTTCAGCTTTCCAGATGCAAAAAATGTGCGACCACTGCAAGAGATGGAGAGAGTTGGAGACAGAGACAGAACTTTGAATTATCTAAGGTATTCAAAGATGTGATTGAATTGAAGATACCGAAGCAGAATGTCAGTAGAAAAACTCTGACTTTGAATCAGAATTGGGGCAGTGTCATGCAAATCCCACTCACAATTTGGGTCGTTTCTTTGCTTACCTTCCAGGTCACTCGTAGTGGAATCCCCCCAAGTTTTTTTCCAGTAAATGGATTGGTCTAAGGGTCTACAGAACACTACGGAATTTTCCATGAAATATGGTGGCTTCCGGTAATTTTTCCATTATCCATTGAAAGCAGGACTGTTAAAAGACGGCGGAGTAAACAACACGATGGACTCTGCCAGGGAACATGAGCAACTGTGGACTCCCAGGAAGAGCGAGTCTGCTGGTGGTATCACATGGGTATTGGAAAGGGATACATGGAAAAACTATGAACAAAAATAGATCCAATTCAATGGCATGTTTATTGATGTTCTACAAGCATTCCGCAGATGACTTCTTTACTGCCACAGATTAGCATCCATTCCACCGCAAGGTCTATGAACTCAGACCCTTAGCTGCGCTGGCCCGGCAGCTCAGAATAGAATATCCTGGCCGCGCGGAGCACCTGATGTGAAGAACAACCACTACTTACTTACAGAAGTATTTGAGCATATTTGAGCTATCCGGGGGTGAATGGAAGCAGCTAAGAAGCATCAATATTCCGGAAAATTAGGAGCCCAAGAGCTCCTAAGATTTCTGAACCAAATAATGATTCGAACGTAGACTGTCTTGGATGGGTTGAAACCACCCATGGCCCATAGCAGCGAGTCTCAGCCCATCCTTAGATCCCAGAATTGATGGATTCAAGGGACAAAAAACATGGCTGCCTGTAGACAAAAAAAATCAATAAAATACATTCAGGGATGATTTATTGATATTTCTTGCATCCTGCAACAACGTATTAGCGGATTGGTGAAGTTAAAACCAGTAATATAATTAATATAGTTTCATATTTTGCGAGGATGAACATCCAGCTATACCTAGCTATTTTGACTGCGAACACTAAAGGATTCCATTGGTTTTGAATCACAGCCACACCAATCGTTATATCAAGTCCTCATGGTGAAATCCTCATCAAAGTTTAAATTCTCATCAAAACATATCAAAACCAGTCGAATGCAGATTTTTGTGGTCAAATTTGGTGAAATCCACTATGATGTGGGGCCCGCTAGTTATAAGATGTTATAAGTTGGGTTATTCGAACCCCATCTAACTATATATATATACATATAACTACCATAAACCCTAGTTATTGTAGTTAGAAACCAACTTAGCTATCTTGGGGGTTATATTTTCTTCCCAACCCGTCACCCAACCCGCTGCCTCCGCCGCTCCAGAAGCGCTACTGCGAGTGGATCGCTGGAGTGCTTGGAGCGTCCGCGCGGACGCCCGGAGAGTTCACGGAAAGATTGGACTTTTTTTCAAGCAAAACTTACGGGGATTGAATTGAATGTTAAACCATCATAAACCATCATTTTCGAACCAACCCAAAATTTACAGGATTTAACATTTACCAATGAATATCAATCAATCATTAAGCCCAACAATAAACATGACTGGGTGACAGCCAGCTACCACTCCTTTGTCGACGACGGTAAGGTGACCCGTATCGAAACTGTGGAGTACACCCGGAATAACGCTCCTTCTGTGCTGGAGCCTTAGCTTTACTGTCCCTTGGTGCTCATATCAATCTGGACATAGCTGCAGAATGATTCGCACAATAACTCAATGGCTTAACCGGCTTAACCTCACTGACTGATGCGGAATGCAACTGGAAGCGGTACAGAAGCGATGGATATGTTGGTTTGTGATGGTCAATTTGGCCAGATTGATTGTGGCGGCAATAAGCATCCATGGAAGGGCCATCAGCTTCCTACATATAGCTAGCAGATTAGTGGTGAGGCTTGGGAGCTCACTTGTAGTGTCCAGGTCTTCTGGACAATCCCCAATTCAGAATGGCTATACCATCGAATTGCAAGTGTGGTATTTTCAAGCAACCGTGTTTCTTTACCAAAGGAGACCGAGATAGCCCAAGAAGGATAGACAAGTGAACCACCATTGATTATCAGAGTAAAACATGATATCATATTATGATATTATGATATATTATGCATGATATTATGATTATTATGATATTATATATATACATATACATTATGTATATATATATATACACATGATCTATATACATTATCTATATATGTGTATATATAATATTTGGACCCCCATCTTACACAGCTTCTGAACATGACTTGTTCGCGGCGTCGGTCACCACCATCCAGGTGGAGCCACCTCCGGGGTGACCAGAACTTGTACAACAGCCTACGGCAGTTCGGTGGTGTGGTACACAGGTGGGATTTCGGCAGTGGGATTTCGGGGATGCTTTTTTTTATTTTCTACAGGTTCATAAATATAGCTAAATCATGGGGAAATCACTGTGTTGATAGGTTTAGTTAGGTAAATCATCTATAAATCATCTATAAATCATCTATAAATCATCTATAAATCATCTATAAATCATCTATAAATCATCTATAATAGGTTTCAATAGGTAAATCATCTATAAACGGACCATATTTTCCGTATGTTACTTTGCTGGACATGTAGTGGGATGGTCACGCCGGTAAATGATATCCACAGGGGTGAGGGTCACCATGGGTTTCAATACTAAGTCATATTCATCCATGACTTGGATGATGCAAGGTTACCCCCGTAACTTTGGAAATCCCCATATTTTGATTACAAGAGTGAGGGTCACCATGGGTTTCAATACTAAGTCATATTCATCCATGACTTGGATGATGCAAGGTTACCCCCGTAACTTTGGAAATCCCCATATTTTGATTACAAGATGATTATTAACCCATGTACTATCTATGATGTTAACTAAATTGATGATGTTACCATCCATTTACCATCCATTTACTATCCATTTACCATCCATTTACCATCCATTTTGCCGTACTTTACCTCTACAGTTACCCCATTTCGCCAGCCCTTCTGACGCCTGCAGGGCTTGGCCACCCATGACGGATGGCATTGATGCGACAGCCTTGGGGACAGTGCACTTTGCGGTGGCTGCCGTGCAAGCTCATCCTATGGGGTGGTTGTATAATAGGGGTCTATCATAATTATATAATTAATATATATATCTATAATATACACAATAATATATATATATTCAGTATTATATATATATATTTATTGTTATATACAAATGTATATCATATTATAACATAACACTGATGATGATAATAATGATTATATATATATATATATAATCATATACATATATATATATAAGTATACATAATTATATATATATATAAGTATACATAATTATATATACATATATATGCAATTATAGATCGATGTATGTAAACACATAGAACGTCAAGGTTATAATGAATGCATTCCCCCCAATATGAGATGTCAATTAGATCATATATGGGTTGTGACATATTCACAAGACATGCTTCACGTTGCTGGATGTGATCCAGCGCGCTTCAGCTGGGATTGAGGTGATCTTCTTTGAAAGGCCTCCGAAGTTGGCGATGGGCCAAGAGGTGAAGGGGTAATGAAATGAATCCAAATGATAGATATGAGTATTAACAATTTCACCATCTATATACATGAATTCATGGAGATGTTTAAGGCTAGGATGATGGTGTAACCCCATTGAATACCCATTGCCCATTGATTTTGATGATCATTGCATAGAAATTGAGTAGCAACCGGCAGGTTCCGACATCACTTGGACCTGATGGCCAACGGAGGCTCGTCTCTGATAGATCTGGGAGAAGCCTGACAAAAAACATTGCAGTACCTTCCAGGGTGTCAAATTAATGGCATCCTTCTGGAAATCATTTGACCAGAGATCAAACATAGTTGACCCATTCAACTGCTGTTTTTTTTCCGCAATAGTTTTGTTTTTGTTGACACATCGCCGGCTGATTGTTAGTTGTTTTAGGTAGGCGGCTGACTCGCCGCCCCCACGAGGGTTGTTATTTTTGGGGTGGGGCATGTTAGTGTTCGTTGTAATGTGCACACATGTTGCAATGCTACGTAACTGAAGGGTTGGGGTGGGGTGGGGCATGTTAACGTTCGTTGCAATGTGCACACATGTTGCAATGCTACGTAACTGAAGGGTTGGGGTGGGGTGGGGCATGTTAACGTTCGTTGTAATGTGCACACATGTTGCAATGCTACGTAACTGAAGGGTTGGGGTGGGGTGGGGCACGTTAACGTTCGTTGTAATGTAGGTAGATGGATAGATAGATAGATAGATACATATATAAATATATATATATGTATATGTATATCTACTGCATAAAATCAAAAAAATAAACTTTTTTTTTTTTTTTTCGGACCTTAAAAAAAAAACCTTAGTTTACATGGAAAAAACCAGTACATTTGAAAAGAGGTACAAAAAGCCTTGGAAAACGCAGTGAATTTGAAGCCCTGGTTCAGGTGAAACAGACAGTGAATCACTCCGAAACCACAGCGAGAAACAAATTTCAAAAAAACAAAGAGAAATCACTCGTTGACCCTTCTGGGGGCGGCGAGACAGCCGGCACCCTTGTTTTACGGACAGTAATATGTTGCCAAAACAATAGGGATTGCATGACCGCAAAAGTGGATTTTCACTATATGTTGCCAATGAGCCATTCAAACGTCATTAAAACAGATGCTTCGTGAAATTCCGTCTTTTCCCTGGGCATCACTGGGCACAACTCGTGGGGACTGATCACTTGGTAGGCCCCAGATCCATCCTGTGTTTGATGGCAGAAGAGAAGGTTCCGCTCGGAGCCCGCTCAGAAGTGTCCGTGGGATTCCGTGGGTGCAGATTTCTTGAAGGACCTGGGTGATAGAACCAGGAAAGTTGAGGATGTTCACTGGATTTGACGATTTGACCCGCAAAGACTAGAAGCTAGTCCGTCACCATGGGTTTATCATGATTTATTATGTAATTAGATGAAATCTTAAGATGATTCTGTCATATTCTCTATATCTTTGAGGTACAAGCAACTAGTGTTTCAAAGTGAACTGCCCTCTCCCTTGTTGGTAAACTCTGGATGGCTTTGTGGTTCTTAATGTAGACCTATGAAATAAGAAAGAATTGCAAGCTCGAAGGGAGGTTCACGGAATTAAGTGCTTTGGTTCGGTACTTGGACAAGTTATATAACAGCCATTCCCATTCGATCCCCACTGTGATTTTTTTTTATATAGACCACGTTCCATTTGTTTAATGCTTTGGTTTGAAAGACAAAGGCTGCACAAGGAATTGAGCCACTGAAAATATCAATTGGCTGCTGCCCAGGGCTATCAAGCGATGATCGAAGCCGCCCAAAGCGAAGGAGTCACGGCGCGGCTGCCCAGGTGTCAACGTAGCTATGGAAAGTCACGATTTTTTAATGGGTAAATCATCATAAATCATAAATCATGTTTAAAGGGAACATGTTCCATAGCTATGTTAGTCATAACCAGAGGCTAATCCATTGGAATTGGGGGTATCCTGTTTTCAGACAAACGGATGTTTGGAATGCAGAGAAACATACGTGTTGTTTACTGGTATAAACTATTCACCATCCAATGCTGGGAAAGATCACTGCTGGTCAAACTGTTTAAAGCCAGGGACAACTGATGCGTTAATGCTTTATAAATAGGAATCCACCCAGATTTTGTCGCTTCAAGGTTGATGCATCCGCAGTTTGAGCTGAGTGCTGGGGAGTTCGTGGCAAGGGTCTCCAATTTGACCCTTTGATAACCCATAGCTTGCGCTTGAGCTGAGGTTGTCCGTGTGGGGAAGAACGGGCTCATGACGTACTATCCAGGTGCTGGGTGATGGGGTTCTATGCCCATGGTTGGTGTTTATATGTGTTTATAATGTTTAATGATAGCCATTCATGGAGAAAAAACACAATGGCTGGTCATTCATGGCTATATTGGTCAATTTTAACCCACCATTGGTTTATTTTATAGCCATTAATGGTGGTTGGTTGGTAGGAGTCACCCAAGCATCAGGTGCCCATGACTTCAGCGTGCCCATTTTTTGGGAGAGGCGCGACGACTTCTGGGTGAACGGTGGTAATCAGCTAATAATTCAAATGCAAATATATAGCTTGATATAGTACAGATGTACAGTACCTCTATTTTGGGGTCCTGAATTTCCCATTGAAGAATTGTTCGCCACTGCGTTTCGTTTTGGAATGGGGATATAAAAGTGATAGAAATGGATTGAACAAAATCGCAGGAAAACCAGACCTGCTTCCCTTTGCGCCTTGCGAGGTGGCGCTTTGCGCAGAAAGATCTCTTCAGCTTTGAACTTGATCCCTTCAGATCGGATGAAGAATGGCTCCCTCACCATGCGCCTTGATCGCCTTGATAGCCTTGATCCAGATGGGTGCTGGAGAATCTGAAGGCATGGCCCAGGTCGATGGTTTATCTTTGAGCTTCCAGTCTGAAAAATAAAACACTGATAGCAGTTCATGAAGATCTTCCCCCAGCTTAGCTGAGGATGGAGTAACCATAAATGACATCATATGTATATATATATATATACATATATATATATAGGTAGATAGATAAATAGATAGAAAGATAGATTTATAAAATACGATTGCCCTCTGGTTATTTAACATAGCCATGGAAAACGGACTAGTTATAGATGCTTCACCTATTTTTCAGATGGTGATTTATATATTTTCCATGGCTATGTTAGTCATAACCAGATGGTAACTATCGATTGATGATTGGTGTAGAGATCCAGAGATCTGGCTCTGCCAAGGGCCCCAAGAAGTGGCAGCCCGGGACCGTGGTGCTCGAGCCTTGGGACCCATCAGAGGCCGTCATTTTTGCCACCCATGACTGGGAATGGTACCCTCTGGTAAATTAACATAGCAAACTGGAAAATCACCATCTTTTTGTGGGAAAATCCACTATAAATGGTCATTTTCAATAGCTATGTTAGTCATTACCAGAGGGTAAACATACCACCTATTTATAGCTATAAAAATGCTTATGACTGGATGGTGCAGCTAGCATTCTGACTTACCCACATGCTTTGGTTTGTTCTGTGAAGTAAATGGGAATCGGAATATGGACTAATAACTTAATAACCTTTTTTTTGTGTGAATTTAATGGGACTATATAATTGAAACTATAAACTAGTCAGCTTCTGTTTTTTTTCTTTTGCAGCGTATCCAAGATTGGCCACGTGTATATGACGGACCGAAATGTGGATTTAAGACATAGCCAACTAATCTGACCCGAAACTGAGAGGATAAGCAGTGGAACATTGTATTTTTTGGGAAGCAGAAAGTGAATTCCATAGTACTGTACCTTATATCCTCTTTGTTTTTTTTTTAAAGATATATAGATCATCAGATCTTTTAATCTGTTCCCGGTGTCACAAGAAAACTGTACTAACACAGATCATCAATGGAATGGGTTCCGTGTTGTGGCTTGTTTGTTATATGGCACAACAACTTTGGAGCCACCCCCGAACTTATCCATGATTACATGTCTCATTGGCAAACATAATGTATATAATATATATATATACACAATGATATATATACACAATAATACATATATATATATATACATACAATGATATAATATATATATATGTATATATGTATGTAATGTAATGTAATGTAATGTAATGTAATGTAATGTAATGTATGTATGTATGAATGTAATGTAATGTAATGTATATGTATGTATGTAATGTAATGTAATGTAATGGTATGTAATGTAATGGTATGGTATGGTATGGTATGGTATGGTATGTATGTAATGTATGTATGTATGTATGTATGTATGTATGTAATGTATGTATGTATGTAATGTATGTATGTATGTATGTATTGTAATGTATGTATGTATGTAATGTATGTATGTAATGTATGTATGTATGTATGTATGTATGTATGTGTATGTATGTATGTATGTATGTGTATGTATGTGTATGTATGTGTATGTATGTGTATGTATGTGTATGTATGTGTATGTATGTGTATGTATGTGTATGTATGTGTATGTATGTGTATGTATGTGTATGTATGTGTATGTATGTGTATGTATGTGTATGTATGTGTATGTATGTGTATGTATGTGTATGTATGTGTATGTATGTGTATGTATGTGTATGTATGTATGTATGTATGCATGCATGTATGTATGTATGTGTGTATGTGTATGTGTATGTATATGTATATGTATATCATTGTGTTTACAATCATATGTACATATATGCATACATATCTATGATTATATATGTATATATATATACACACCTAACAAATCCCCAAATTATAGGGATCATTGAGACTGTCCCCAGTACTATGCGGCCCTACGTATGATACGTATGGGTTTGTTTTCAGACACACCCATATACAGTGAGGATCAGTGAGGTAATCCATAGTTTGAAAGATGATCTACAAATGGCGTTTTCTCCACGTCTTTGTGAATTTACTCCAGGTCAATATGAATCCAAGTTACCCCTATTCAAACTGCCGTACCATGACCACCACGGGTGACATTTTGCGCCACGCAAAACGACCTCTATGGATCGATGTTTGCATGTCCGGGCAGGAGTTGGATCGTCGGATCTTTCACAGCTGCTTGGCCGATGGGTGATAACTTCATGTTGGTAGATTCAAATAGCATATGCGCAGTGTAGAAGATGAAGAAGAAGAAGACAATTATGATGATGATGATGATGATCATGGCGATGATAGCAATACTAGCAACAACAACAGTAATACAACACTAATGATGAATATTCGATATCATGTGATATTATCAATAATGACACATAGTGTGTGTATATGATTGTAATATAGATAAAAAAAACAATGTAAAATAGAATGTGTACTATGATACTATATACTATATAGTGTACACTGCGCAATATGATGCTATATAGTGTACACACGTTCAATTTAAGAGCTGTGGAAGTTTGGATGTTCCACAACTCGTTTGCCCAGAATTTGTGAACAAGAAAGACTTCGAAGTTTCGGGGACGCAAATCATTGGGTGCTGCTGTCAAGTTTGCTGGAGTTGGAGGTGCAAAGATATCAAAGGTGTTTCAAAGATGGGCCTAACAAATGCAATGTTTGTTTGGTTTTGCTGTGGAATTATGTTTTGCTATAGATGTGGGTATGCACAAACGACATTTTTTGTTAGGGTACATAAATTTGGCCTTTCAAATGGTCCTGATCGCACAAATAAATCATTCATTACCAATTGTTTTTGGAAGCTCCTCATTCCTAATTAATCATCCCCAGCATTCGATTTGAGATCCCATATACTGTACCGTTGAGGTGGCGTCATTCTTGGGGAAACCCAATGGTGATTGGTTTCCCCATCAAACATCCTCAAAGATCATGGATTTTGTGGTGGACAAAAATGAGCCACCAATTTATTTTTGAACTTGGATTTTACAAAAAACACTATAGTTTCATATTTTGATCTATAGTCTATAGATGTCTATAGTATCTATTTGATATTAATTGACAAAGCTATTCTATAGATTTCTATACTAAAAATCATATGGCTATGGATCAATACCTATTAATTCCATTTTTAGTGGGATGAACATCCATAAATCCCAGCTATTTTGATGTGAACTACAGGGGTACAAGGTTTTGACACACTGCCATATGTTATCTCAACTTGGGGGTTGCCAAAAAGCTGCACGCCTTTGGAGACTTTCAGCCAGGACCTGGCGCAGACCCGGCTTTCTGATGAACGACACCCTGCGCGTGGCAGTGGCTCGTTCTACGGCCATCACGGTCAGCAAGGTACCGCCCGGTGGAAGGGATGGGGATAGATGATGATAGATGGGGGCATTTGGAAAGATCATGTGAAATTTTGTTGATATACAGTTTTCTTGTTGATATCAGCGATTTTTGGCGGTGGGATTATAGAAAAAATATCTGGGGAATTCTCGAGCAGAAATGGGATTTAGAATTCTCAAATGGCGATTTGAATTGAGGCGGAGGTTCAAGGAATATCTACCATCTGGCTATTTAACATAGCCATGGAAAATCACAATTTTTAATAGGTAAACCATCTATTTCTATGGGTCATCTATACCATGGCGAAATGTTAGTCATAACCAGAGGGTAGATGATTTACGATCTCATGGCCAGTCAAGCTCATAGATGATGGGAGCTTACGATCGGGCGAGTCGGATGCATAGCCACTTGGAGCATAACATCATACAGGATGGGGCCCCCCAGTTGTGTTTGTTGGTTTATAAACCATTATAATCCCCATTAAGTATAGTTATATCTACCATAAATATCCATAAACCATTGTTAAGCCAGTTACTGATATTGGATGTAGATGGTATATATATAATATATACTGGTTGGTGGTTTGGAACATGAATTCTATTTTCCCCAATTGGGAGGATGATCATCCCAACTGACGAACTCATATTTTTCAGAGGGGTAGGTCAACCACCAACCAGTATAAAATCCATTGGATCCCCTGCCGCAGAAGAAGAAGCAGCCGATCAGAGAATCTGCAACTGGAATGCATTTGGCAATGCTTTTTCCGCCTGGTGGATGTTTTTAAATTGACACCGGGTGAAAGAGCTGCCTGACCTACCAAAGCCACTATACTGGCCAGTAAAGTAATAGACTCCTCAAAATGTGGATCGGATTTAACGAAAGCTTGACAGGCAACCAACAAAAAAATGAGGGATCGCGCCATAGAAAAATGCAAACCATGTTGTGTTTTGTCGCTCCCCCAAGAGTTTCTGTGGAATCCCTTTCCCGATGGCCACCTTCAAAGGACTTTGGCCTTTCCTTGGTACCTAAAATATCCTCTGATGATTGTTCCCACAAATCGCTTGAACTTGAAGAGGAACAAAACAAGGAAGTCAAAAACATTTAATAAAAATCATGGTCTCCTGTATTTGTTTCACCTAAAATTAAGTTTTTCATGGTGGTTTTTAGCATTTTCACACATGCTCCCGTGCCGCGCCTGAGAATGCGCACTTCTTCCGAGAAGATTTGGAAGCCTTGGTGGAGCAAGGACCCGAGGCATCCACCGCAGTACCCCAAAATGGATGTGTAAGGGAAAATCCTGTTTAAATGGATGATTTAGGGGTACCCCCATTTTAGGAAACCACACTATATATATATATATTATATATATATGTATATATTATATATAATATGATATATAAATTATATGATAGATGCATAAGGTATCATAATATGCATAAGATATCATAAATATATTTGCATATCTAAGATTTGTCTATGGTGATGCATGTTCACTCCATTTAAAAAAATGGAAGCAACTACGATTATTTGGGTAAACCACTCATCAGATTTGGTCTGTTTGTTATTGGTTCATCAATCATTTGCATCTACATTTCGTTCATTCCCATTGGTTGATTCACTTGGAGAAAAACAAAAGGACGCCAGATGTTTTTTTGTTTATATTTTTTTGTGTTTGGTTTCCTTGGTTTCCTATTGGTTTCCCCAGTTTGGTACCTATCATTTGTGTCCAACCATATCCCATCACCAGCTCGGACAGGTCGCACAGGAGGCCAAAAGAGACTTGGAGCAGTTGGGACAAGACCCTGAGGCCTTGGATGCGGAGTGATCTTTCGCTGGGTTGAACATGGGAGATAAGTGAGATACCTATAAGAAACCTATAAGAAACCTAAGGTGCTATAGGGAATAGGGAGATCTGGGGAATAGATGTGTCATTTGGATGGTGAAATTTGGATGTTGAAATCCCATGGAAATCCAGGACTACGCGGTTCTTCTCTGGAACCACGACAGTCATAAGTTGGTCAACTACGGGGCCAGCCAACGCGAGGTGCGCCGCTGATCCCATGGGATGGGCATTGGTGGGCATCATGGGGATCAATGATGATCAATGATCCATTATCAACATAGACATGGGATGTATTCACATATGATCAATGATCATAGTTGATCCATTATCTATAAGATGAAAAACATATCCATTATCAACTATTAGATGATATATGTTATGATCCATTATAAGATATTATAACATATAACTTAACCATTCATAGGGGGATATTACTTTTGGATTTTTATCAGCCACCAACTAGTTCAACATTGTTCAACCATAGGATGATTCCCAATGACTGGATCCCCAGTCGGATAAGTCACCATGGTTGTTTCACTACCAAGTCATGGCCTAATGACTTGGATGATTTGGGGTTCCCATGGGTTACCCTCTGGTAAACTAACATAACTATGGAAAATCATCATTTCCCTTATGGGAAAATCCACTATAAATGGCCATTTTCAATAGCTATGTTAAATTACCAGAGGGTACCTCTATTGCAGGAAGCCTCCATATCCTTATGGGAAATTATGTCTTGTTGTTACCCTAATGGGTACACAGACATATCGCAGTGGAGCCGCTGTCCGCCTGGTGCCTGTCCGTGCGGAGTATCGGAGTATCGGATTTCCCATGACATCCACAGCCATGTGTGCTCAACTGGAGTGGTTGAGCCCCATAGTTTGCTAAGTTGGTTTATAACTCCAATAACTATAGGCTTTATGGGGAATACAACCAGGGGACTATAAACCAACCTATAACATCCTATAACTGGGCTGTAGATCCAACTCCTTACCCGATGGTTAAATGCTTGATATCCCCATTATATTCCCATGACATGCCCGCGTCTAACCCAATGATGGTGGTTGATTTTCCCACGAAAGGCCCCTGGCCCTGCTACAGGTCTTGGCCCGACTGGTGCGGTGGTGGGAGGGCTTCCTAGGAATGCCCGTGAGACGCGTGGAGGTGTGATTCGGGAGGGCTCAAGGGCCTTGTTTTTTGGCAAAATTCAAAGCTGACCTTACCCATTCCCAACAGCTGACCAATTTCGTTGCCAAAATTGATGAAAATCAAGAAAATGTGAAAAAGAAAGAGCAAGTAGGTTAATAACAACCACATAGCGCCCGAATGAGAGGGAATGAAACCAACGAACAGTGGCAGACACCCATGCTGCCACACCTGCTTTGTGGCATCCTGTGCAAGGGGACACGCACGCAGACATGTCACAAGAGCCATTTGTGTGGACAAGTGCATAAAAAATGCCGAACGTTAATAACAGGGCCAGCATTTTGAAAAACTCTGCGCCTTTGACCTGCACCCTGACACTTCACAAGAGCAATTTTTTTGCAAGAAATTACAAGGAATCGGCCGAACGCAGATGATACTATCACGAATGAACCACAGAACTTTACTGTTACCGTAGGACCCCCTTCAGTGTCGCCACACTCTTCCATGAAAAACCGTTCTTCCAGTGCACCAGAGCACATATCAGGGAGCACATATCAAAACCAAAAAAATAGACCAAGCCATCACAGACTGAGCATCGAGATTGCCGGAAGAGGGTCGACAATGTGGGATGCTATTCAAGAGCGCGGAATGGCACTCGAGAGCGCAGGCTAGACCCTAGATCGCATAATGGACCCCGGAACGCAGGATGGATTCGAGAGCGCAGGATGGACCCGAGAACGGAGGATGGACCCGAGAGCGTAGGATGGGCTCGAGAGCGCAGGATGGACCCGAGAACGGAGGATGGACCCGAGAGCGTAGGATGGGCTCGAGAGCGCAGGATGGACCCGAGAGCGGAGGATGGACCCGAGAGCGCAGCATGGACCCGAGAGCGCGTAATGGATTCGAGAGGAGGGGATGGACTTCAATCAAACCGTGACCTTCGCTCTTTTCGGAGACCAAAAAAAAAACGATACGAAAAAAAGGACCGATACGATTGAGCCACCGGATTGTTCCAACTTTCCCAAAACCTGAGTTTTGAGCTATTTGACTCCGACCTCACCCATTCGCGTCCGGCAAGCACAATCGTTCCAAAAAACGCAGCAAAACCAAAAAAAAAAATGGCAGGCCACACACCGAGATCGCAAGAACCATGCCAGATCGCAGGATCAACGCGAGAGCGTAAGATGGACCCGAGAGCGATTAGTGGACCCGAGAGCGATTAGTGGACCCGAGAGCGATTAGTGGACCCGAGAGCGATTAGTGGACACGAGCGCGATTAGTGGACCCGAGAGCGATTAGTGGACACGAGCGCGCAGGCTGAACTCCAGAGCGCAGGATGGACGCAAGAGACTAATGGATTCTAGACCGCAGTAAGAACCAGACCGCAGGATAGACTCAAGACCTCTAGCTGCTGCATTCCAGACAGTGAGTAGAAGTATCTCTCCGCCCTTTTGCAAAGAAACGCCCAGGATCTTTAGTATGCATTGAATCAGTTTCCAAATTCTGCAACAGCGATCTGCACGAAATTCCACAGTTGACTTAGCAAGCACCTGGCTCCTAGCAAGCATACTCCTAGCAGGTCTCACTCCAGCTTGGATCCCAAAAAACACGTCTGCTTAACGGTCTTCACATCAGCCGAAGCCAGATATTGGCTCACCGTGCCCGTCTTCCGAGACATCATGTGCACAAACCTGCAACCGTCCATATGGCTAATGATTTCTCGGGGGAGTCCACAGACATCGAGGCCGCAAAGAGGTACATGGTTCTCAGCAGTGAAGAAACAGCGACGAACTTCTAAGTATTGCGGAGCTTGTAAGCTAGCGTTCCCGCATCAATGTAAGCAAGTCAGACAAGATAATCAACCCAGCAAAATGACATTACAGAAATTACTTCCAAAACAAAGCTCCAGCACGATACTTGAGCTGAGTGCGTGTGTTGGCCCAGAGTGGGCGACATGGGTTTCGAAAAATGGGATGACGCAACATGACGCAACATAAAATGATCAAAACTAGTGAGTTGACCAAGAACAAAGGGACAGGAATGGTGATAAGACCATGTCTACTACCCTCTGGTAATTTGTTACATAGCTATTGAACATGACCCAGTCGAAATAGTGGATTTTCATGGATTTTCCCATGAATAGCATGGTGGATCTTTCCATAGCTATGTTAGTTTACCAGAGGCTAAATATGGGTAAATCCCATTTGATCCCATTAAAATCCCATTAAAATCACATTAAAATCCCATTAAAATCACATTAAAATCCCATTAAACCACCATAAACCCCATTAAAATCCCATATTCCAAGGGTAGAAGTTCGTACTTAAGGTGGTCTCCCCACTGGTTACCAGTTCCCGAAAAGGCCGCCGATTTCGTGGAGCCTTGGGACCGCTTGGGCGCGCACGCCTTGGACTGGTGGGGATGCCCGGCGGGAACTGGACTGGTGGGATTTAATGGGACGACATGGTGATTTTTTCATGGTGGGTTAACCATCAAACATGGTCATTTTTCATGGATTTTAATGGGATTTAAACCAAAGATGGTGGTTTTATGGTGATTTTCTGGCGGATTTTTATAGGGGATTTGAGCCTTTTCCAAGTCGGAACGATTTATAATTCACGCATCATGGCGATGTAAGCGAGCAAGAAGTGAGATTTGAGCGCCGTCAGGTGGTGACTTAATCTACTTGTACCAAGAATAGGGTGTTCAGCAAAACGTATGGGGTGTTCAGTGACAAGAATTGGGATCTCAATTCAGAGATTTTTTTCAGCGCAGCAACAGGTTGATTGGGCTGGGCTCAAGTTGCTGAGTTGAGGCTGTACCAAATGTCCCTGCTGAACATCACCGTGAATAGGCGACGATCCGTGGGATCTTCCGGGGCGTCGACGCGTCGAAAAAAATGTGATCTCCTTAGCGGCGTTCAGCACTGTGCCATGATGCCACGGTGCCATGGCAGTGACATTAAAAGTTAGTTGCTTCTATCATCTATCCCAGTATGTCCCAGTAGAATATTGAACAATAGTGTGATTACAAGATGGCCGCCGCAGTTACAAGTCGGTTTATAGATCCCATTGGCTATAGTTTAGCTGCCATGAAGCCTAGTTGTTGGAGTTAAACACCAACCAACTTGTCTAACTCGGGGGACCCACCTTGTATAGCCCTCTGACTGATTATTCAGAACCTGCAGCCTGTGCAGGTTATGGCCTCCCAAGAGCGAAGCCATCAACCGCGTGTTGCTGCGGCAAGTCTCTCGCATGGCGCGAGTCAGGGCCCAGATAACACCGTAGACAAAGGCGGCAGCAGATGGCATTGGCTCAAAAATGGAACCCAATGAAACCATCACATATGGATCCACAACAAACTGGGCAAAAAGGCATTCACCATCCCAAATTCTCCCGAAAAAAATAAAACATGATAAATCAACATAAATCGTAAATAGTTACCTAATATAGATTTACCATATACATTACTATACATCAATAGCTCTACATCAATTTGTTGTGGGCTAAAAAAACACCATCCATTTGTGACCATTGAGGCCAAGGCGGAAGATCGTTGGGCAAGTCCCAACAGCCGGCCTCCCAGGCGTGGTGGATCCCCAGTTCGATCCATGTCCAGTGAAGTTTCCATCGAAGTTCCATGGTTTTTGACATGATTTAAGCAGGCAATATACTTCATAACTTCATAATTATATATTTTTGTAATCTTCTACATGTATATATTCTATATCTTCCTGATTTTTTAGTTTCAAGACTACAACCTTTCCGTAATGCTTTCCTGCTGTTTGTGTCAAATTTGCTCCGGCATTGCTCAAAGATGACTTTGTGACTTGGGATTGGACTTCGGACCGGGGCTTGTGTCGAGGCTGGTCATCGTCATGACGACGGACATGTGCTTTGACATTGCCATCGAAGATGCGCAGCGTGCAGGCGAGGATCATCTCCGGATCGCAAGTGGTCAGCAACTGGGGTTAGTTCACCCATTTATAAAATTTGATAAATGGGACATAACTATGGAAAATCACCATTTTTACTGGGAAAACTCACTATTTCGACTGGGCCATTTTCAATAGCTAACTTTGTTGGTTTATCAGGCCGGGTGATCCACTGAATAGTCGGATGATCCTCCGGATACCCTCCAAGTACCCTGGACTTTGACCAGCCATTCATGGGTACTTGGAGGGTATCCGGAGGTGGCATAAACAATGGGGAAATTTTCAGCAAAAAAAATACCATGGAAGAAAATAGTGATTCAACCATCATTTGGATTCATGAATGGGGTCTGTGTAGGGAATTAAACCAACAAAAATGAGGTTTGTACCCAACCATTTTATGGTGATATAACATGATGGCACGGAATGTCATAGTTTAAGACAAAGACAAACCCATGCTATGTTATGTGAGATGCAAGCCTCTAAAGAAAATGACCAGCAATTAGTCTGTTGGGGTCCTGTTACAGGTACAAGCCTACAAACATTAAAATCCTTTGGCTTCCAACTATGGCTACTACTGCAACCTGCAGAAACATTGATTAATGCTTTAAGGATATTGAAGGATTCATGATATTCAATCAATTTATATAACGATATTTAATATCAGAAGCATTGATTAATATCAGAGACTTTGATTAATATCAGAAACATTGATTCATGATTTATTTGAGGTTTATGACCCTTGATGCTTTTGTTGCTTCCTTTCAGCAGGTTATGCCTGGACCATGGCAGGCATCAGTGCGGTGTGGATGGGATCGAGAGGCAACGGCGCCTTCTACCCGGTTTCGGGGCCTGGTGTTTTATGTGGTGGCTGTGACAGGCGAAAGATAGAAACGTGTTTCCAGGATGGTACAGATGATATGTTACTGATATGTTACTGATATGTTACTGATATGTTACTTTTTTTTTGTATTTTCTAGATTTCATTTTTTTGTTTTTATCTCTTTTGGGACCCCTAATGAAATGGGGATGTGATATAATAATGATAATGTTACTTTCAACATTATTTCATGTTTAGCAGCATTCAATGATAGATGGTCCCATGGTGTTAGCTACCTAGATTGGCCGGGGCTCTACCCCACTCTACACACAACATGGATTCTTGTTACTGTAGTAGCTTGTCAATGGAGTTGTTAATGCATCGTTCATGGAACCTTAATGCTGCAGGGAGCGTCATTTACTTTCTTCGGACTTTCCGTTCCTTCGCTTAATCATCAGTTTCCTCTTAAAATGTCTGCTTTTTTGGGTCAATCCACACTTTCCAGACACCCCCAAATCCGCCAAATATCATTTATATATATATGATACATATAACAATACGTGTATATTATATATATACACATATTAATATATAGTGTTCCTCATATTATGCCATCAATAAGCTCATGAAAACGGCTTTCTTTTACACCCCGAGGCCATGTCTGATACCACCGAGGCCAACACCACGCATCGCATGCCCTTCGTCACGGTGCCATGGAGGAGATGGTCGGTGCGGGTTGCCCAGCGAATGAAGAAATTCAATGAGCTTATTACAAATAAGGGGCCATAAAAAATCTCTATAGCTGAATGAACATTTTTTTTTTAGACAATCTCTATAGATGAATGAACATGTTTTTCAGAGGTGTTATATAGTGTTATATGTTTTTGATTTCGATAGATCATGAAACTTGAGGTTTCAAAGCCTTGTTTCCCTGATTCATTCAATACCCACGGAAACATGGTGAAATGTCTTCGCCTTCGCGACCTCTCTTCATGGTTTGGGATGAAGATAAAGACCCGCCCGCGGTTTCGTTTGAGTGGCATTTACCCTCCGATAGTCAAACGTGGCAATTGGAAACCTCCTATACTATGGAGGTTTTAATGGGAAAATCATCTATAAATGGTGGATTGTCCATGGCCATGTTTGATTGCCGGAGGTTACTACTAAAGAGTATATATATATATACATATATATTTAAAAAAGTAGTGGTCCTGCGGTTTGAGTTGACTGTTCGGTGGATAGTATCGGGAACTGTTGGTCACGGCACAAGGTAGATAAGACGCCAAAATCGCCACTCCACGCCGCTTACATCTGTTGAATTGGGTATAGAAATTCAAACATATTCAAATTTCAATACGCAGACTCTAGATGTTTGTCACTGAAACCTCTTCCACTGCACTTTGCTCATCTTGCGCTCGCATCACCTTGCCCGGCCTCACTTAGCAAGACATCGCCATTGCCAACCGCAATCCCTTCTTGGAAGGCGTTGGATGCTGAGCGGAAGATTCTACAGGATCCATGTGCAGATTTCTGGATGTTTGGCTGTTTGGTTATTCCTGAATCATGGTGGTTTCGTGATCAGAATCCTACATTTCTCTTGATCTCAATCGCCATTTCTGTTTTTTGCGGCATCATTTTTTGTCTTCAGTCGGATGTGTTTTTTGTTTCAAATATCTGTGTTTAGATATTGGGGCTGCTTCGCCCTGACTTTATTTCACAGTTCTGCGAGAAAGCCCCATGGTTTCTCGGTTTCTCGCCGAGGCCCGCAATCCGGACAATCCTTTGCCCTCGGAGCTGGCACATACCTCACCTGTACCAATGGATCAGAAGCGCCTCGGTGATGAAAAATGTTGCCAGCTAACCACTAGTCTACTGGGATGGTTCTGAGATATGATGGTTAGATTCTCAGATTCTGGTTAGATGCAAAATCCAAGAATTCATGACCCTAACATGTTTGGGGGATGATGTTTGCACTCTGATTTTACACCCCATGTATGGTTGTGTTGGTGGTCGGGTTTGGGAACTGCATCAGGTGGGGTAAAGTGGACGAGCTCAACTTGGACAATTTCGAGGGTTTCCTGAAACCTCAGGACATGGGTCAAGCTTGGCAGATGGAAGGGCCTGATAGGGTTTCTCAATGTTAGTGTATTCTGGCCAAGTTGATGGGAAAATCGTCTCCCCAGTAAGATCAACCGTGCAACATCTTGGGGAGTTGGAGCAGAATCCATGAGAAATTGGAGGGGTATAGGAGAGTTTGGAATCTGCCCCGATTCATGTTCCGAAGCCAAAATCTGATGAGTTCCTAGGAGCAGCCGACATCGGAAGAGGACTTTTCCGTGCTTGGGACAGAGTTTGCATTGGATTATTCCAACATGTGTTGATTCTATGCTCCACATGTGGCATACTTTCCTGCATGACTAGGCTATTTGTTGGTGTAAATGTTGGTGAATATTCCAGCAGCATGGAGCAATATTACATATGTATATATATATATCCACTGCCAGGCTGTATTGAATCATTATATCCACACAAACCGGTTGGGTATAAACGCCCACAAATTTGTTGGTTGAATGCACCTATATAATGTAGAGTAATATATATAAACCATTATAATTATAAACCCATCCACACATGGTTGAATCATGTTGAAACATGTCTTTTCATGGCTAAACCACCATTGAATCACCGTCAATTTCCCACCATTTTCCCATTGAAGCCACTGGAATCACAAAAAAAACAGCAGGAAGTCGCCGTGGCGAAGTGATACGCCTCGATGTTCTTGTATATAGATGAAACATTATATGATATATGGATGATATACATGATAGCAATGGCAGGATCAGGTCTGATTTGAGACCATTTGATCAAGATGTTTGTCCAAGACCTATGATGACCTGTGCCCCTTGAATTTCTTGGCCACGACTTTCCACGCGTGCGGACACAACTGTACATAGGGCGATGTAGGGCGGTGCACTAGGCAGGGTTGGACTGCGCACAGCTCATAGGGAGTGATACGAGGTCATACCTCCAAAGCACAAGCAAAAAGGACCAAACCTTCGACTCTACATCCGATTATTGATCCATGTTCCCCTCCACCTATGGACTACAGTAGATGATATACTAGTATCGTATAGCAGATGTTTGTGGACCGATCTCATGCCTCCAAGACCAGATATGTTGAGAGCTGGTTTCGCTCCATGGGCGCAACCTGGGGAGCGCTGCGGATTACCCCGCTGTCAAAGCTCTGGCAAAAGCTGGGCCTCTGGAGAAAAGGACAAGGACCCAACATTGGGCAAAATCAAATCGTTGGGGCCGGTCAAAACCTACTATAGTACCATAATGTACCATAGAACTATTGTTTTAGGGAGAAACAATTTGAACAATGATGACCATCAGTTTACCATGTAGTTTAGGTGTTCACCAGGGTACCAGGCCAATGGCCAATTGTCCGGACATCAAACATGGCCATGTCCAATATTCATAGTGTGGATCGTTACCTCCTCAGTGTCCACCTCTTTCCTTAGTTTGCTAGGCCGCTTAGCTGTTCTCAGCTCAAGATTCTGCATGGAGAGTGCATTAGCAGTCTCAAGATCAGCCAACCCTTTGCCATTGGAGGAAGGTTTTCAAAATTGGGTGCTCAATAATGTTCAGGAAATCCAATGTCGCCCTGGAACAGACATTGTGATTGGGGTTGCCATTTCGGTATGAGGCGAGCAAACATACAACTGTAAAGGGTTGAGGTTTCCACAGTGTTGACTCATCCTTTGTACAAAGGAACCCCCAGCAGCATGAAATAAATTGCGACTTAGAAAGTTGAACTGGTCCTGAAACCGAGCTGATGTTTTTTTTTTTTTAACAATGGGTTGTAGACCATCCAATCATACCCCAACCTTCGGTTCTGCACTGAACAAATAGCATCAACTCTTGGGGCGCACAGCTGATTTCACTCCTGATTTCACAACTTCTGGTTGCCTATTTGCCTATGCCCGGCGTGTTGGTGGCTTCACCATGTTCATCATTTACCCATTGCTTCGCATTCCACGGGTGAGTTCAATTACCCTCTGGTTATTTAACATAGCAGTGGAAAATGGCCCATAATAGAAATAGATGATTTTCCCAGCTATAAACCTCCATCTATGCTTGGGATTTTCCATGGCTATGTTAGTCATAACCAGAGGGTAATTCAAGTTAATTCCCACATCCCTCCGAGCGGGGAACACGCCATGGCATGGCGCCGAATGGCAAAGCGGACAGAAAAGTGGACGCTGCTTCGAAACCGCCACCACCGGAGGTTTCGAGGGTCAATGAGTTGTGAGGATGGCATGGATTTGTAAATTGTGAATATACACAGTACGTACATATGATCATATATGCACAGGTTTAGTTTAGTTCGCCAAACAGTTTATAGAAAAAAAAACACAGAACGTGTTTTTGATGGTAAAACCATGGGTTCCTCATAGATTTCCCGCCCAATCCCATGATGGCCCAGAGGACACTCATCTGTGTCAGGGCCTCATGATACACTTTTTGCACATGCCTCGGTTGAGATTCATTTTCCATTTTGATTGCAGAAAAGCCATGTTGCAGTCACACTTTCCAGTTTCAAGATCCAACATCCAAATCAATCCATTTTGATTGTTCCCCACCTGCCAGGTGAGGGTTGTTAGATTTTATGTCAGTTGCCTCCTCCTCCTCCTGCCTCGTCCTCCTCTCGTCCTCCTCTCCTCCTCCTCCTCCTCCTCGTCCTCCTTGTCCCTTGTCGTCCTTGTCGTCCTCTCGTTGTCCTCGTCGTCCTCGTTGTCCTCCTCGTCCTCCTGCTCAACTGCGACTCGCGATCCACAGTGTTCGCTGCCGGACCTCAACCACGACCATCCACGCCCAGTGTTCCCTGCCGGACCTCAACCACGGCCATCCCCGCCCAGTGGTCCCTGCCGGACCTCAACCACGACCATCCACGCCCAGTGTTCCCTGCCGGACCTCAACCACGACCATACACGCCCAGTGTTCCCTGCCGGACCTCAACCACGACCATCCGCGCCAAGTGTTTCCTGCCGGACCTCAACCGCGAGTATCCATGCCAAGTGTTCCCTGCCGGACCTCATGTAGGAATGTCAGATAGACTGCCAGATAGAATGCCAGATAGAATGTCAGATAGGATGCCAGATAGGATGCCAGATAGAATGCCAGAAAGAATGCCAGAAAGAATGCCAGATAGAATGCCAGATAGAATGTCAGATAGGATGCCAGATAGAATGCCAGATAGAATGCCAGAAAGAATGCCAGAAAGAATGCCAGATAGACTGCCAGATAGAATGTCAGATAGAATGTCAGAATATATGTCAGATATAATGCCAGATAGAATGCCAACATATATGCCAGAATATATGTCAGATAGAATGCCAAAATATATGTCAGATATAATGCCAGATAGAATGCCAGAATATATGCCAGAATATATGTCAGATATAATGCCAGATAGAATGCCAACATATTTGCCAGAATATATGTCAGATAGAATGCCAAAATATATGTCAGATATAATGCCAGATAGAATGCCAGAATATATGCAAGAATATATGTCAGATAGAATGCCAGAAAATATGTCAGAATAAATGACAGGTAGAATGTCAGAATATATGTCAGATGAAATGTCAGAAAATATGTCAGATAGAATGCCAGATAGACTGCCAGATAGAATGCCAGGTGGAATGTCAGGATATATGCCAGATAGAATGCCAGAATATATGTCAGATAGGATGTCAGAATACTAAATATATGTCCAAATATACGTCCTGACATGTCATGGTGGGGATCACACGAAGTAGAGTATTTTATTCTGTTTTTTGTCCCCATATTGCATGGGTTTTGGGCTGGGAAACCGAGAAATTCACTGCAGGTGGTGAGATGTTCCTATGTGGTGCCTAACAAGGGCCGTCGCTGTCGCTTTCCGGTGCTTCCTGGGACGAGCTTCTGCGGGGCACATCGAGAGGATGAGTCCGTCGAGCGGGTGCCGTGCCCATTGGATCCCAACCACACGGTCTTTAAGAGCCCAGGCGCAAGGTGAGGGATCTCTTTTCCATGGTTTTGGGACTAAATTGACCAGTTTTTTTTACCCAAAATAGTATGCTTACCATGGTCCAACAAGAATCCATGAATATATAAATTATAATATATTATAATATTACCTACGTCCTCCAAGAGATGTCAAATTTTGGGCCCCAGCTCAAAAAAAGGACTTGGAACATTAGGGTCCACTTTCATGTCTCAGGGTCTGAATTTGATTTTTTGATGGAAACTGATTTTGGTATTTGCAAGCCACGGTTTCACAGAGAAAGTTTCTTATTGGTTGAGTCATCGATGTTATTAACTGGGTTTTTCTATATATACATATATGTAAGGAGTATTGGTGCGGTTGGGCCATGACTTTCTTTACCCACAAGTTATAGCTATTCAGACCAATGGTTAAGACAACATGGCCTGCCAAGTGTTTCCAAAACTAAACCTTACATGGTTTTTCTGAAATCAAGATTTCAAAAGCAGAACACGCATCAAATCATACTTTGCTGATTTTTGGAAACATGTATCGAATCATGAGACACAGGCGTTACGAAGGACTCATTCACTACTCGGGTTGAATCTCAAAATCATATATGACGCAGGTTTTTTCTGGTAACAAAGAATAGGCATTCCTTAAGGTGGAGCAAATCATAGGCGGATCTTGTCACACCTAGTTTCTCTGCAAACAATCCTTGCTCAGATCTTGGGCCTTACCCAAATGAAATGGTCGATCGATCTTGTTTCTCCATGTTAGGCCACATCTTGCATGACTCAGTCATTGGATTGGCTTACCTACTAAGACATGACCGAGGTGGACACCACAAATTTGTTGAATCTAAGTGGGCTCATGCTTGAACTTTTCATGACTTCAAAGGTACCCATGCCCGACTTAATAGGAGCACTGCCTGATTCAGCCTTCATGACTCAAAAGCTACCCATGCCTGACTGAATAGGAGCTCTGTCTGATTCAGCCTTCATGACTCAAAAAGAACCCATGCCTGACTGAATGGGAGCCCTGCCTGATTCAGCCTACATGACATAAAAGGTAGCCATGCCTGACTGCATAGGAGCTCCGTTTGATTCAGCCTTCATCACTTAAAAGTTCAAAGGTACCTATGCCTGACTTAATAGGAGCTCTGCCTGATTCAGCCTTCATGACTTAAAAGGTAACCATGCCTGACTGAATAGGAGCTCTGCCTGATTCAGTCTTGATAACTGAAGAAGTTCCCATGCCTGACTGAATAGGAGCCCTGCCTGATTCAGCCTTCATGACTTAAAATGTACCCATGCCTGACTGAATAGGAGCTCTGCTTGATTCAGCCTTCATGACTCAAAAGGTTCCCATGCCTGAGTGAATAGGAGCTCTGTCTGATTCAGCCTTCATGACTCAAAAGGTTCCCATGCCTGAGTGAATAGGAGCTCTGTCTGATTCAGCCTTCATGACTGAAAAGGAACCCATGCCTGACTGAGTAGGAGCCCTGCCTGATTCAGCCTACATGACATAAAAGGTAGCCATGCCTGACTGCATAGGAGCTCCGTTTGATTCAGCCTTCATCACTTAAAAGTTCAAAGGTACCCATGCCTGACTTAATAGGAGCTCTGCCTGATTCAGCCTTCATGACTTAAAAGGTAACCATGCCTGACTGAATAGGAGCTCTGCCTGATTCAGTCTTGATAACTGAAGAAGTTCCCATGCCTGACTGAATAGGAGCCCTGCCTGATTCAGCCTTCATGACTTAAAAGGTACCCATGCCTGACTAGCCTTCATGACTTAAAGGTACCCACGCCTGACTTAACAGAACCCATGCCTGACTAGCCTTCATAATTAAAAGGTACCAGCGCCTGACTCAAGGGAACCTGACTAGCCTACTAAATACCACACCTGACTTAAGGGAACCATGCCTGACTAGCCTTCATAACTAAAAGGTACCGGCGCCTCACTTAACGGAACCCATGTCTGGCTAGCCTTCATCACTTAAAGGGTAACTAAGCACCTGAATTAAGGGAACCCTGCCTGACTAGCCTTCATAAATATAGAAGGCAGCCGCGCCTGACTTAAGGGAACCATGCCTGACTAGCCTTCATAATGAAAAGGTGTATGCGCACTCCTGACTTAACGGAACCCATGCCTGACTAGCCTTCATAATTGTAAAAGATACCCACGCCTGACTTAAGGAAACCATGCCTGACTAGCCTTCATGACTTAAAGGCTAACCACACCCGACTTAACAGAACCATGCCTGACTAGCCTTCATAATTAAAGCTACCCACGCCTGACTTAACGGAACCCATGCCTGACTAGCCTTTATGACTTAAAGGGTGCCTGACTTAAGGGAACCATGCCTGACTAGCCTTCATGACTTAAAAGGTAACCACACCCGACTTAAGGGAACCATGCCTAACTAGTCTTCATAATTAACCGGTACCCACGCCTGACTTAACAGAACCCATGCTTGACTAGCCTTCATAATTAAAAGGTACCCATGCACCTGAATTAAAGGAACCATGCCTGACTAGCCTTCATAATTGTAGAAGGTAACCACACCTGACTCAAGGGGACCATGCCTGACTAGCCGACTAGCCTTTATGACTTAAAGGGTAGCCACACCCGACTTAAGGGAACCATGCCTGGCTAGCCTTCATAACTTAAAGGGTAACCACACCCGACTTAAGGGAACCATGCCTGACTAGACTTCATAATTAGAAGGTTCCCACGCCTGACTTAACAGAACCCATGCCTGACTAGCCTTCATGACTTAAAGCGTATAACGACACCCGACTTAAGGGAACCATGTCTGACTAGACTTCATAATTAGAAGGTTCCCACGCCTGACTTAACAGAACCCATGCCTGACTAGCCTTCATGACTTAAAGCGTAGCCACACCCGACTTAAGGGAACCATGCCTGACTAGCCTTCACAATTAAAAGTGCCTGACTAGCCTTCATGACTTAAAAGGTAACCACACACGACTTAATACCTGATTTACTAGTTTTGCCTGATTTTGGAAACGCAGGGCCGGAATTTGCAGGGCGCGGGCCGGAATTTGCCGGGCCCGGGCCGGAATTTGCCGTGCTGGGATTTTGGGGTCGTGCCTAAATAGGATTTTTGCAAAAATCGTGCATGACTGAAGGGAACCATGCCTGACTAAACATCATACCAATCATCCCAAAAGAATCCAATAATTCCAGCAAATGATGCCTGACCAACCCCTGCGTCATAATAGACCGTCCGCCCCTTCCCACCCAATAATGAACACACGGAATAGTTTTTAGTATTTAGTGGGTATTTAGTTTGAGGGTGCGAAACTTCCCCCTTGGTTTAAAAAAACTAAGTTGTTTTTTTTAATAACACCTAACTAAAATATTGCCAAAATTGGATTTCGAAGCTTCCCCCTGACATTAAATTGAAAACATTCATTTAAAAAAATGAACTGTATATGTCAAAACCGATTGAATTCCTTTTCAAAATCTGACTCAAATCTTGCCAAATTGGATTTCGAAGCTTCCCCTTTTACTAAATTGAACACCTTACTAATCCCCACCTCCTTTTACTAAACGTACCCTAAATACTAAAATTAAAATTACTTTACTTCGTGTGATCCCCACCATGACATTTATACATTTTCTTACTGGCAAATCTTCTGGCATTCTATCTGACATATCTTCTGACATTCTATTTGACATTCTATCTGGCATATCTTCTGGCATATGATCTGGCATATCTTCTGGCATATCTTCTGGCATTCTATCTGGCAAATCTTCTGGCATATCTTCTGGCATTCTATCTGACATTGCATCTGGCATATTTTCTGGCATTCTATCTGGCATATCTTCTGGCATATATTATGACATATCTTCTGGCATTCTATCTGGCATTCTATCTAGCATATCTTCCGGCATATGTTCTGGCATATCTTCTGGCATTCTATCTGGTATATCTTCTGGCATTCTATCTGGCATATCTTCTGGCATATTATCTGGCAAATCTTCTGGCATTCTATCTTTTAACTTTCTTCTGCACATTCTTTGTCCCATATCTTCCTACATGAGGTCCGGCAGGGAACACTTGGCGTGGATACTCGCGGTTGAGGTCCGGCAGGGAACACTGGGCGTGGATGGTTGAGGTCCGGCAGGGAACACTGGGCGGGGATGGTCGTGGTTGAGGTCCGGCAGGGAACACTGGGCGAGGATGGTCGTGGTTGAGGTCCGGCAGGGAACATTGGGCGTGGATGGTCGTGGTTGAGGTCCGGCAGGGAACACTGTGGATCGCGGGTCGCAGTTGAGCCAGGACGACAAGGATGACAAGGAGGACGAGGAGGAGGAGGACGAGGCAGGAGGAGGCGGAGGAGGAGGAGGAGGAGCAGGAGGAGGAGGAGGAGCAGGAGGAGCAGGAGGAGGAGGCAACTGACATAAAATCTAACAACCCTCACCTGGCAGGTGGGGAATTGATTCCTTTTACTAGGGTCCGCGTTAAATTTTGGGAAATTCAGGCTGACCAGTTTGACTTTTAATTGATACCTTTTCGAAAAACAAATTAAACATGAAGGTCCCATTTCAGGATTTCACCACCAAAACATAAAAACTCGTCAGCCCCGGTGTTTTTTTAAAACTAGGGTCCGTTTTTTAAGGTCGAAAAAAAATATTATAATTACAACGTTTAATATTGGGGGAAAATTTCGAAATCCCTTTTTTGGCATTGTCTGGCAATATTTTAACTGGATGTCAAAAGGAAATCTAATCGATTCTTGAAATCGAAAAAATATAGTTTGTTTTTATTAGTGTTTTTAAATTAATCTTAGGGGAAACTTCGAAATCCAATTTTTAGCAATATTTTAATTATATGTCAAACAAAAATCTAATCGATTTTGAAACATTTTTTTTGAAATATATTAGGGCTGGCAATTTAATATTAGAGGAAAAACTTCGAAATCCGGTTTTTGTTTTTATTTTTGTTCCTACAGTTTAAAAGGAAATCGAATCGATTTCAAAAAAAACAAATTATATTTATATTAGGGTTTTTAAATGTAATATTAGGGGAAAACTTCAAAATCCAATTTTTGACCATATTTCAATTAGATTTTCAAAAGGAAATCTAATAAATTTTAATATAGAAAAAGTAGTTTTTGATATGATGGTTTAATATGAGGGGAAAGCGTCGAAATCCAATTTCTGGCAATATCTTAATTTAAATTTACAAGGAAATCTAATCGATTCTGAAATAGAACAAATTTAGTTTTTTATATTAGGATTTTTCATTCAATATTAGGGGAAGCATCGAAATCCAATTTTTTGCCATATTTTGAAAGCTTCGAAATCAATTTTTTGGCCTTGTTTTCATTAGATTTCAAAAGGAAATCTAATCGATTTGTAAACATAAAAAAACTCAAAATGATATTAGGGTTTAATATAAGGGAAAAGCTTCGACATTCAATTTTTTGACCTTATTTTAGTTAAATTTTAAAAGGAAATCTAATCGATTTCGAAATAGAACAACATACATAGTTTGATTTTTGTTGGGGTTTTGAATTTGATATTAGGGGTAAGCTTCGAAATCCATTTGTTTGCCATATTTTAATTGGATTTAAAAAGAAAGAAATCTGATCGATTTTGAAATAGAATATATAATATCGTATTTTTTATTTAGTATTAGGGGGAAGCTTCGCTCCCTAATGCTAAAGACTCCCCAATACTAAAAACTCCTCCAGGTGTTTGTTATTTGGGTGGGTGGGTGAAGGGGCGACTGTTTAGCAACAGGGGGAAGAAATTAAACCATTTTTTTAAATTTCGAAATCCATTAAAATAATCTTTGAATAGAATACTGCCAAGAACAGGATTTCGAAGCTTTCGCCTAGTATCAAATAAAACACCAACACCTGAATTGAAAAAACTAAAATTGTTGATTTTAAAGGACGGACCCCAATAAAAGACACCCCGGTGTTGACTAGTTTTTTATTCTTAGGGGGTGAAACCCTCACATGGTACCTTCATTTTTAAATTGTTTCCCAAAGGGGATCAATTAAAAATCAAATTAGCACTTGGAAATCGCACCTAGTTTTTATTATTTGGGTGTATTTTTCGTAATAGGGAGAAAGGATTAGCAAAAAGAATGCCTGACCAAAATGATGCTGATTGTGTGTGTTGCAGTCTTTTTGCCCACTACAGTGACTACAGGGTTACAGGGGATGCCGTGCCAGCTAGAGTCCCAAGTCCATTCAACCAACACCCTAATCGATGAAGTTGGACTTGTTGAAATGGAAGTGGGACTGGACCAGTTGACATGGGGCGATGCTGACCTTCAACGGGAGCTTCGGCGCCTGAAGGACAACAGTTTGAAAATTCCGAACCCGAGATATATTTTAAAAATTGCCTTACTAAGAGTGATCCCCACCCTGACACACTATATATTCTGACATAGTTTCTGACATATCATCTGGAAGTACATATGGCATATATGTTCTGACATACTATCTGACATTTTTTCTGGAATATTTTCTGATATTCTATCTGACATTCTTTCTGGCATCCTATCTGGCATCTATTCTGACATACTTTCTGGAATATACTATATTCTGATCCTGCCTTGCCATGAGTTTGGGCTGGGAGTGCTTTTATCTGCGTGGATCAATGCCAATGTCTTGAATATCCACCAAATGTTGGTTTCACATGTTTGCACCCAATGATCGCCATTACCATTGATAACAATTGATACCCCAAAATGGCCAGGTCCTGAATTTGAGAGTAGGTCCTGAAAAGTTTTCTGGGTACTGAAAAAACAGGACTTTGGCACAGGGTCTGAAAAAAAACTTAGGTGGAAGATTCAGGTATACATATATTATATGAATATTGTTTCCTAGCTCTTCATGAATCATGGGATTTCCCGATTTCTTTTCTAATTTCTTAAGAACTGAATTGTTGCCAAATGATATGTCCATCATGGACATGGTCCCAATTTCCAAAAAACCCTCCGGAAGCTCCCATCCTAAGCATTTAGATCATTTTTCCATAGATTGTCCCAACCATTTTCCCATAGATGTGCCCACCATTTTCCCAAGTTTTTCCCATCTGAACTGCCATATTTTTCCACTTTCTGAGGAATCGCCTCCAGCAGCACCTGAAGATCTGCACCAAGGCGCGTGACCAAAGCGTCGTGCAGCGGCAGCCCTTCTACCGCCGCGGCGTCAACGGCGCTGGGGACAGCGTCCCCAGCGCCCTTGCCGACGCCGTGGCGGTGAGTGCCGCCGGAGAGGAGGTGGTGAGAGATTCTTGGCATCTGCTGATGGGAGATCGAATTCTATTGATATTCGATCGTTATATGATGCGTTATCTATTGTTGTGTGATGTGTGTTTTTTGATGTTAACTACTTTATGATCAACAATTGAATTATCAAGTGGATCGATTTGTGTTTTTTCCTCGAATGTGTTTGGGAACAGATGTTGTTTTCCAATGGTTTTCCTTTCAGGTGCCATTTTTTGGGGGGGGCCATCATGGGCCATCGCCTCAGCTCAAGGATTGGATGCGACGGATTTCGGAGGCATGGCCCAAAGCGGTGAAGCAAGTCTTGGGCGAAGTTACTGGGCATGCGGATGGTCGGAAAATGAGATTTTTGATATTTTGAGATGTGGCAAACCAATACCCATAGGATCCATGTATGCTATATATGGTAACATTTACCATCAATATACTTATACCTCCAATGTTAGCATATATACCATACATGGATCCTATGGGATAGTAAACCCCCAGATTTCAAGGTTTATAGATGTTTATAGAGTTTATGCCACAGAATTCAGTGATATTGTGGCTGGACATGGAAACTGCCTTGTGTGGTTTGCCCAGAACCCCCAAACTTGGAGATACAGTTCGATACCCTTCGAAACTCAACAGTAAAATTCCGCGCAAAATCCTCTAGCCTCTGGTAATTTGTTACAGTTTGCTATTGAACATGTACCATTTATATATATATGTATATATATATATATACAGTTGATTTAGCTATTCAAAATGGTGATTTTCCAGTTCGCAAACTGTTAGCTTACCAGTTTACCAGAGGGTATCAATTTTTATGAATCCTCATGGATTCCAGGCTACCTGCCCGGAGGGTCTGCTGGAGAAGTCGGTGGTGCTGGAGGGTGGGCAGCTGGCACATGCGGACGCGTGGCAGATGGAGGCTGAACCCTACAAATCGTTTATGAATGTTTATGACTATTCACAAGATTAGTCGAATTGTTTGATGATTTAATCATGAAATCCATTTAAATCCTTCTTTTTTGATGCTAATGTATTACCATCCTCCTAAGTAACATAGATTATGCTAAATACTATTCCTCGAATAAAATGCAATTCTCAGTGTCTATATTATTAGTTGTGCGATGGTTTTGTGTTTGGTGATGCTCAAGCCAGATATTGACATTGATAGGATTAGATATGTGTGGACGTTTAAGAATGATAGGGGTACCTAAAAAATGGAAAAGCAACTTGTCATCATCAAATTTGACTACTTATACAGAGATATGTGGAATTCATAGACTTGACTTCACCCATAGAAAAACATAAATAAAGACAAGCTCAGATGACCTGCCACGATGGCTGTGCTATCATGCCCCATATTTATGTGACACGATGCCGTTGTGAATTTCACCGGTGGTTTTCTGTAGTCCTGGATCTTCCCAGTAAGTGGTGAAGCGTTGTGGTTAAATTTCCCCATTCTGTGGATTACCCCCCAAAAAGTGGGTGAACTAATGATGTTTACGAACTAACCAGTTTCCATTTTTGATGAAAATTCCGAAGATGTCTAAATCCAGATGTTTCGCAAACAAATAACAACAAACTACTTATTGTTACTATGTGTGTTAACACCAAATATAGACTGACACCGCCCGTGGTGATCTCATTGACCGATCCAGAGATGGGGATGGTTCCCGTTGCCAGATTAGAGAGATGGGGATGTTTTTTTTTGCCAGTTAAAACCAGAGGGGTTTCAGTACTGGCAAAAAATATCATATCTATCATATCCAGTAAAATTAGGGTACTCATGTGATTTGTTCATGTTATTCATCAATATCATATATCTTTGCTTGATAAGTTCATCTAAATGTCACATCTTTGAAGCAGTGAAAAACAGTGAAACATACCCTCTGGTAAACTAACATAGCGAACTGGAAAATCACCATGTTTCATGGGAAAATCCACTATTTCTATGGCCATTTTCAATAGCTATGTTAAATTACCAGAGGGTATCATGAAACATCCCTGCAGATGTTGAGATTTTCCCAAGGAGAAACACGATGTGCAAAATCAAGCGCTGGCAGATCTGATCCTACAGGAGCCGCTGAATCGTGTGTTATGCTTAGCACTTGAGATTAGTTTACATTACTACTTTTGATTATGTAGTATGATTATATATATATATGTATAATTATAATATAATCATGATATATCATGATTAGTTTACACTAAGACATCACATCACAATATCTATATATGTGTATTGGTGACTCTGCCTTGAGTGTTGCAAAAGATACTGAACGGTTGGGGCATGGCAGGGAAACGCATGGAACTTCTGGACCTGAGATAGTCACCAGAGATTCCTTCAGAGCAGCAGTAGCTGATGATCGACTCACCAGTCTTGTCGAAAGCTGAAACCTCCACCATTTAAGGATCCGAAGGGATAGATTAGTCACATCTTGTTGAGATCTCATGGATATTCCCTGCATGTTTGTTCATTATGTATGTTTATGTATGTTTATGTAAGGTCTGTACCTCTAAGATCTCTCCATTTGGGTTGGTCCAAAATGGAGGATACCTTAGAATTCCTTAAAATAACTATTTGATTCGGAAAACATGTTTTATGAAGGCTTTTGGGGTATTGCCAAACATTGTTGAATGTTTGTTGAACAAGCAAATTTGTTGAATGGTTGTTGAAGGCTTGGTGACATACAAATCCCATTGCTTAGATCCACAAATTGGTTGGTGACAGCCCCACCAATTGCTTGGTGAACTATCATGCTTAAATCCCACATTTTGGTGAAATCATGTGAAAACCCGATCAACTGCCCATAAACATCGAGTTGTCCGCAGTTTTGTTCCTACCATCTGCCGTGCTTTTCAATCGTGTCAAACCTGTTAGGACCTGCGCCTAAAGAGCAAGATCCCAGGGGTGGTTCTGGTGGAGTATGGGTCCGGCAAGGGCGGCCTGGCCAATGCGGTGCTGAGGCGGGATATGGTGACTGGTGACTGGTGATTTTACCAGTGATTTCACTGGAGATGACATGGTGACTTAACCATCCAAAACGGTGATATTTCACCATCCAAAATGGTAACTTAAAACCAGCATTTTCTGGTGGTTTTAATGATTTTAATGGATCAAAATTGGGGGATTTTACCATGATTTTACCATGAAGAATGGTGCTACTATGGTATCTCTTCACGAGAAAAAAAGGAATCACGGGAGCCTTTTTGAGGCAATGCCCGGGCCTTCGGTGCGTCTTGGTGGAGCGTGAGCCTCGAAGGCGAGGTGGCTACGGTGGATGTTGGTGGAAGCCCTGGATACTACTGGTAAAAACACCATTAAAAACCACAAAAAATGTTTGTTTGCCAGGGTTTTCCATTAAACCTATATAGATGGTTTTTAAAACCACCATATGTTTGCTGTAGATGTTCCCTTAAACCCATTGAGTGGTGAATGTAGGGAGCTGTGAACGGAGCATAACAGAGGGAACATATCCAAATTGCATGATATACCTAAGGGGTATCCTTTTCAGGGGCCAACTGTTTCGATCCATGTTTATCGTGCAAAGCGATGAGTTCCTGAGTCAACCGACTCTCAGAGATCAAAATTTGCCTCCAGTTGGCCGTGTGTGGCTCAGACGCAACCGAACCCATCAGAGATTCATCGATTAGTTGGAGATATGGCCATGGTTCTCCGAAGCTTGGTCCTGGCCTCTCGGTCTGATCCGGCAACCCTTTTGGGAGTAGAAAATTATGGTTGGTCCCAGTGTGGCCACCAAGTCGGGGGCAGGAACAGATAGGAACAGTGTTGGAAGTTTGATGCCTTTGTGTGTTGCTTGTTGCTAGTTGTCTTCACGCACAAACAAGTACAAAGACCAAAAAACAGTGGTTTTCTGGACATTAATGAACATGGAATATGCCTCTACTAAAATTTCATTTTTTGGGTACACCCCATTTTCAGACTTTTCAGCCAAATATCAGATTGTTGATCATACACCCAAATCCCATTGAATTCCGTATTGATATCCACACTGTCCTTTGGGATATGATTGATATCACATACTGTATCCAAATCCCATTAACATCCACATTATAGATCCATTAATTCCATTTATATGATCTCATTGATTCCATCAATACTCCCATGAAATCGACTCCACATGTTCCTCGGACCGCCAAATTTAGGCACTGACGCTCTTGTTGGCGCAAGCTAACTGGGAGCCTTGACTGAACACCCTGCCGAAATGGTGTATCTGAGACTCCGGAACATAACATTTTTTCAAATTGGCATGGTATGAAATGCTATTGCAAACATGTTTATCTAGAATGGGATGATTGGTTCTAATTGACTTAAGTGTATTTGTTGGGGTCATTGTGGCTCAGGCACCCGTCAGCAAGCAACCAGGGAGATACGTTGGCAACATAAGTATTCACAAGTGAGGAAGGACAATCGTGAAGATTAGTTTGCCAAAGTGTCAGCTACAAAGCTGCTAATGCAGTGAGTTTAAAGTCCATGAAACACGCCAGTTGTACAAGTAAAAGAAGCATGAGTAGAACATGGTCATGCAACTGATAGGCGCAAGTCGGCCACAAGCAATAGGAACATCGATTTCTCATATTTGCTGATGGAGTCAGCCAATGCTCTGTATAATATAATAAAGTATTTCTACATAATCACCAGCAGTTCGTTCGCTGGTACCTTTACTGCCAGATTGATTTGAACCGTTGAAGCCCATGCTTTGCAGGTGCAGGAAGAGGACACAGGCTGCTATGACGGACCATGTGATGATAACGATCACGACGAAGAGACTCTTTTCCAGATGAGTGTGGCCAGGCTGCACCCAGGTATTCCACTGACCCATCCTGGGACTCAGCCGCAGCCATTTGGTGCTTTCAAATATGATTGGTTTGATTCCTAGTAGTCGCCAACCAGACCAAGTTGATGGTGAATCTAGATCCCACTTATACACTGCTTATCAATTTTGTTGCGAGTATTCCAATTTAAACATCCCATGTTAATCCCGGTGGGAACATTCATTATTTGATGCTTGTATAGTCTCTACTACTGTAAAAGAAAAACTTAGATATCTCCCCTTTTGTTTATCACTGTTGTGACTCAACCCACCAGGCAGTTCTGGTGAAGCAGGGTGAAGAGCCACCACCACCACCGGTGGGTGGCTTTAATGAAATGGAAGCCTTGGCAGAATTGAACGAGGACCGAGAAGCGATTTTCCAATGACCTGCCGAGGTAATGAAAAACCATCGATTTCCATGGGGATTTTATGGATATATATATATTATGGATATGTCCTTGGCGAAGATCGTGGAATATCCATTGAATGCTCGATTTTAAGCATAGTGACTGAACCATCAAACATGGCAGATGCATTGGATTTTGATTAATGCCATGAATCGACTCAACCAATTTAACGAACCAATTTATGAGGATTGAACTGATCCAAGTGATCTGTCAAAACGATCATGTGTTTAACCATCAAATTGGGTTTAGACCCACCATAGCGGTAAAGTAATGAAGATATAGATAGATATAGTGGAATTCTGAAATATACTTGGATATCGTATGATATTATGAGTCATGAGGATATTTCACTTCAACACTACGATATGGCCTTTTTGGTTGGTCCAGTTCAACTGCCGGGGCTTCACCGGCGCCATTTTTTATAGCCTTTTCGGGGATTTGACATAGAGGTGTTGTTCCTGAGAAATAGCTCGTGTGCTCAGTGGGCTCTATTGTAATTGGAATCCATATATTTGAGGTGATGAATTTGTTCATGTGTGAAAAATCTTTGGGAATCACACTTGCCACTGGAAAATCCCCCAATTGATATATCCAAATTGCGTTGTTTTTGATCAGAGGCAAACGTATTGCTTTCTGTTGGTATGGTTGATTAAGAGGGTATCAGAGAGATTAACACTGAGAGTTTGATGATTGTTGTGGAGATCATATATGATTCTATCATGTCATATCAACCAGTGGAATTTGTTATTTTTTCTCCACGGGATTTTGGGTGGAGAGATCGTAGCAAGTCTTTTTTTCCATCAACCATGAGATGGATCCCTCAACAGTTTCGCTTGCTGTCATGAGAGCATGCACCTTCCGAATTTAATTGGCCGGTAGCACCAAGCTGTGAATTGTCAAGTCAACCAACGGACCTGGCTATTCTCGAATGAAAGGCGGCGGTTAAACCAAGAAACGTGTTTTTTGGGGGGTTGTTGGGTTTGATCTTCAAGAACGGGGATATGATGGGTTCTGAACTGAGTAATCGGATGGTTGAGTTTTGCTCCTTAAAAATGAATCGATATGAGCCCAACTGGCAACTCTATGTTTTAAGCCCAGCTAGCTTAGCTATGGTCAAAGTTTTGCCACTGAGTTCTGGAGTTTGGTTCCCTCGAAGATATGGAAGATATGTAACTCCTGAGCGCCCGCAGGATGTGAAGAAAACAGACTGATTGGATTAGAAGTTTTAGGGTCCCAATGCTGCAAGACGCAGCTGGCAGTTGGGCCATCGCGTCGCCATTACTTCCAAAATTACGTGACGTGAAGAAAGGATGCCGAGGTTATGGAACACCCTCTGGTAAACTGACATAGCTATGGAAAATCCCTATCTTGAATATATTATAGGTAAAACAACTATAAATAGGCCATGTTCAATAGCTATGTTAAATTACCAGAGGGCACTCGAACCCACCTGTTGATGGTCACGACAATGAAGCAACCGCAAGGGGATGAAAGCAGGTGAAGACGCCATGCTGTGATTTATGTGTCAACGCAGACAGCAAACAACAGAGGTCCATTAAGAAATAAAATGCAGTTCGCTCGATGATTTCAAATCTGTCTGTAGCTTAAATTATTGTTGCTGTAGTACGCGATAGTTACTATAGTGAATTTACACAAAATTTATAAATATGTAGTTTATAATTTACTCAAATACCCGTTGCTGTAGTGTTTTTTTGTTTTGTTTTCGGCTACATAGAGATTCGCGCTGAATTTTCAGTTTCATGGGCGTTCATGGCCTCTGGTGGTCCCAGAATATGCATCTATAAGATTCTATAATCGTTTAGGCCATACATTGTGTATATATATATATTTGCGATTATATACATACATCTAATAATATATACTGTATACTGTATACTGTAGACTGTAGACTGTATACTGTATACTGTAGACTGTATACTGTATACTGTATACTGTATATTATATCATATTATATTATATTATATTATATATTTATCTACAGTAATATAATATACATATATAATATACATATATATAGAATATACATATATAAACTATTATATATACATTGCATTGCATTGCATTCCTGTCCATTCCTTTCCATTCCTGACCATTCCATTCCAGTTCAGTCATACATTCATACATTCATACATTTATACATTCATACATTCATACACAAACAAACACATTCATACTTCATACATTCATTCATATACATACAGGCAGGCAGGCAGACATACAGACATACACACATACATACATACATACATATATAATCAGATATATATATACATGTACAAATATACACATATATGTACACATCTACATATACGTATGCATAAATATACATATAATACATATATACATATGTATGTATGCACCTGACATATGGGTTTGGAGTCTGGAGCAATAAAACCATTTATTAGCATATATGTATCAGAATACATACCATTTCCGCTTGCTCCATGCTTTGATCTTCAGTACATTACATCAGATTGTTTCATTACCCTACGTGGGTTTGTATCCCGGTTGTGAGTAAGTGAGTAGTAAGCAATGTGTAAATATAATTCTATCTATATATATATTATATCTGGGGTATGTCCCAATTGACCACTGAGCTATTTCATATGGTTCTTAGCCAAATCGCAACCGGGTCCTTTGTTCTTAGCAGTTGTATGTAAGGTTCTCGGTCTCAGGCCGGCACTGTCGTGGACAATTCATGCCACGAGGCACAAGTTCGAGAACAAGCAAGACAACAAAGAAGAGCAGGTCGCCCGAAGTGGAGATGGGTCAAAACCCTGGTACCTAGTGAACCTCAAAATAGCTGGTAAATGGATGTTCATCCCACTAAAAATGGTACTTATAGGTATTGACCCATAGCCAAGTGAACGAAAGTGAACGGGTCGCCGCAAGTTTGCAACGGGACCAGTTGACTCCTGGTTGATGAGTGGTGAACAATGGAGATCTAGCCATTATTTGTGGGTGTGAACAACTAAAACACGGGGAATAACATAAAGACTAATCATGACAAGTCATGACAAGTAATGGTTGATTGGTTTTTATAGGTATGAACCATTATTGAATATTGGGAACCCCATTCTCAAAGAACCAGCATAAAGGCGTTTTTTCACACTGTTCATTCAACTGTTGTTGGGGCACTGGTATGCTGAAATAATGACTTGCCTACTTCATATTGTGATGGCATGTGGATCAATCGGCACAAAACGTTCAAACAACTCTATAATGTTCATTGTTTTTTTGTTGGAGACACTCATAATTCAGATCAAGTCAGCAACTGTTGCTAACGTTTGAATCTAATCATTAGATATTTTTGTATAATGGCTATCAGATGTTATTAGTTTATATAATATAGATTCTATTGGGAACAAATCTCAAATCTCCCGTTTGCGCCTGCGCCAGGTCTTGCGTTTGCGCCTGGATATCGTTGACTTCGACCTGCAGCAGTTCCTGTCTCCGGCCCTGGTTTCTGGGCACCTGGAGGATGTCACCGACCTTGAAGGTCAGCATATCCCATAGGATCCATGGTGCTGCTATATATGCTAACATTTACCATATTTTACCATCAATATACCCCAAATGTTAGCATATATACCAGCACCATGGATCCTATGGGTATGATTATTAAAATGATTAATGATAATAACCTGACATTTTTTATCTGAATATCCATGGTTTTTATAATATCAATCCTGATTTGCTTTACTTTTATAATAGATGATAATTACTTTTTTTTGAGGAAGATATCAGTAATGTGACCTTTTCGGATAATCAACATCAGTATATAATATTTTTGGAACCTGGTTTGGTTGTGCAGGTGTAGTGAAGTTGAAGTCTATATATATATACATACATACATACACACACACACGTTCTTGCAGGAAAACGGTCAGATTCAGTTTTTCTTCTGCAGAATGGATTGATTTGCTGAGTCCTTGATGATCAACCCGAATGGATCCGAATGGGTTTTGGGCCGCGATCTGTCCACAAATTCAGAGTGCATTTAGAGGTTTCCGTAAATGTTTGTGACATGTTCATCTCTCAATGTTTGCGTGCTGTTTTGTGACACCCAAAGCAGTGAAGCAGTGTTTTTCGGACTTAGGATCCGCAGTCTCTGCCATCTGCTGCTGACTTGAGTGGTGGGGCGCTGAAAACGCGCCTCGGAGGTTGAGATGATGTATTTCCATCGCCTCAGATTACGGGAACCAATCAGTTTTGTTTTTTCTGATGAATGTGGTAAACATAGCCAATTTCATAAACCATCCCCAATAGAGGTTGATTTTTTTTTTATTGCTAGCTTTACCACATTATCTGGTAAATGGTATTTTTTTTCATAGACCAACGTCATGAGGATATCGGTGAAATACCTGGGTGATGTGAAACGACGTGATACGACGTGAATTTATTTCGGGAGAACCATCAAACATGACCATTTGTGAAACGGCCCATTGCTTGGGCGAGCTCTCATGGATATGGGCCTGGTAAAGATCTCTGTATACAGTTTGTATACAGTCTGTATACAGTATGTATAATATATATATATATATATATGTTTGTTTATGCTGTCGTTTGTTATTGTTGTATTGACATGGTGCCCTTTGTTGTTTAGATTGCACACCAGGCGACCAACAATGAAACAATGAAGAGACCATTCCCAAAATATGAGATTTTCTGGATTACAGTATCTCACAATCTATGGAGGTCTCCAATCCACGGGGGTACCCGCAAATCATCCATGTTATTTAAGGAATCGCCCATCATAAACAAACTATTTTGGGGATCCCCCATTTATGAAAACCCATATATATATATGTATATATATATATGTATATATATATATGATATGATATTATACAGACATGTAAAATCATGGACATGTGTTTCATTCCCAGGACCTTTTTGAGGCCTTTCAGTTGCTGTCTTGGAAGGGCGTTACTGTGTACAGACGTACAGACAAACACTGAGAAAAATGATGATGATAGGAGAATGATGTATGTTACTTGACAATACATGTTATGTTTGTTGCTTGATATTTATTGTTCCGGAAACTTCATTTTGATAATTGTTGTGTTGTAGCTTCTTGAAGATTGGACTTTCACTGAGTAGTGGTTATTGATGTTGAATATGGGTGTCAAGTGTTGTCGCTGTTGCGCTTTCTGCCGGGTTTTGTTCAGATTATGTTTCCAATCTCCTTTTTTGCACATGTCAGCTGCATCGGATTGTTTCTCCACTTTGTTACAACTGCCAACCCTTTTGGTGCAGTTCTTGCAACAGATATTTATATATATAGTATATATATATATATGTGTATATATACACTATATTACATGTTATATGTATATATATATATATATTATATAGTATTATTTATATATATATACATATGCATGTATACATGTATGTAATATATACATATTATATATATATATATATATATATGTATGTGGTCACCGCCCGCTCGAGGGCCTACCTTTTGATATCTCAATGACATAACTTAACTCGATATGTATATATAATAATATGTATATATGTTTAATATGTGCATACTCTGACACCTTACGTGTTGTTTTTCCAGTTGATTCTTGAATGCTCGCCTCTTTTCGTCCTCGTTGACAAGCTGCCACTTGCCATTTCCGTCGGGAGTCCCAGCTGGATTTCGTTGTGTTGCAGATTTGGGAGGGCCTCTGGTAAACATACAAAAAGCTATTGAACATTGCCCATTGATAGTGGATTTACCTATTAAAAATGGTGATTTTACAGTTCGCTATGTGAATTTACCAGAGGGTAGCGAAAATTCACCCGTAGGTTTCCAAGCTTCGGCGCAAAGCAATGAGATTCCTCCCTCAGCGATTCTCAGTTCAAGACAGCCAAGTCGCCCCATTGACCACTGATTGGTTCGGTATGAAGTCCTCGGCAATGAGTGCCTTCTCGATGGCTGTCACTGTCTCCTTGACGGCTTTCCTGATGGGCACTTTGCAAGGCTGTGGCAGCGATGTATTTACCGTGGACACCACGTGCAGCCGTTCGGTGGTAGATTCCTGCATTAGTGCCTTAGACAACTCCAAGGCATTGGCAGGAGATTGCAATGAAATCACCACTTTCCTCGAGTGCTTTGCGCCATGCTGTGACTATGACATGGCCGTGAACCCTCCATCAGTCACTACGATTGATGGGATCAACATAGATGTGTCACTGGGCTCTTCGGCGATCGAGTACTGGGCAAGCAAAGCTACAGAACACGGCTGCGGCAGCACTGTTTCGTGCAGTGCCACCGCCACTGTTACTGCGACGACCACCGTCACGATGACCGCCACCGCCACCTCGACGTCGACGATTGCTTGAGGCCTGAGAGGACTGGGATTGCCTGAGCAACAGCCTTGTGGAATTGTGTACAGTAATCATCAGCAATCAGTTTTGTTTTGTTCACAATATTTTTTTTATGTTGTGTGTGTGTTCTTTGTTGCTCACTAACAATGCGCTAACATGCGTTGACGTACTTGACTTTTGACTTGCCGGCACAACGAATACAACCCCGCCGTCATACTGCTTTCTTCGGGGGGGATCGTTCGCTCCATGGCTCCGGTGTGAACATAGGTGTTTTTCTTTGATGATTTTCATGGGCTCAGTTTTGCTGTCAACACGGCCTGCCATTTTAAATAAGACAGTTCGAATCAAATTCCAACAAAATCCAAACCATTTCAATGACAGGTCAAAACAAGTCCAAGACAGTTCCACACAACTTCCAGGAATCAACAACAACATAAAATTCCACAGAATGTTCAGGCTAGCAGAATCTAGGACAATTTTAGTAAAAAAAGCAAACAATTTACCCAGACAATTCCGGCAACATGCGCTGGAGCGGTTTGGATGGCATTTCGTTTTTTGTTGGTGTGTTTTCGTTTTGTATGTTACAGTATGTTCCCCAAACATTGTATCCACACTGAGGGGTTGTTACGGTAGGAGTAAAGACCGGTGCTTGATCAGGGTGCTCCATCTGGCTTCCGGCTTCTTTCCTGTAAATTCTCGCATAAACTGGCTCTTGTGCGATGTCCATGTGCATTTCGACTGCGCAGGCTCGCGCAAAGTCTGCGCCGCGGGGTTTGCTTGATATTGGCCTGCGGCATTGTACCTGAAAATTCTCGCATAATGTGGCTCTTCTGACTGTCTGCATGTCCAGGGGGATTTGTGCAAGCCTCTTGTGAGCTCTTGTGTGCATTTCGACTGTGCAGGCTCGCACAAAGTCTGCCACGTGAGCCATCCTTGATCTTGGTCTGCGGCAGTTTACCTGAGAATTCTCGCATAAAATTCTGACATGTCCATGTGCATTTCGACTGTGCAGGCTCGCGAAAACGGTTTTCCCGGTCTCCGGGCGTGACCTTTCCCTGCAAATTCTCGTATAAAAACTGGCTCTTGTGACATCTCCATGCGCATTTTGACTGCACAGACTCGCGCAAAAAGTCTGCCGCGCGAGATTTCTTTGATCTTTGTCTGCGGCATTGTACTTGAGAATTTTCGTATAAAATGGCTCTTGCGACATGTCCATGTGCATTTCGATTGCGCAGGCTTGCGCAAAACGGTTGTCGCGGTCTTAGGCGTGACATTTTCCTGAAAATTCTTACATAAAACTGCTCTTGGCTTTTGCCAGATGTCCACCATGCATTTCGACTTCGCAGGCTTGCACACAACGGCTGTGCCGGTGCTGGGGCCTGTTCTTCCTCAAACAGTGTGACCACTGGGTGCTCCATATGGCTTCCGGCTTTTTTCCTGTAAATTCTCGCAGAAACTGGCTCTTGTGTGATGTCCATGTGAGAGCATTTCGGCTGTGCAGAATCGCACAAACTCTGCCACGCGAGTTTTGCTTGAAGTTTTGCATGATCTTGGTCTGCGGCATTTTACCTGAAAATTCCCTCATTAAAAATATGTTCTTTTCTGATATGTCGATGTGCATGTCGATTGCGCAGGCACGCACAAAGCGGTTGTCCCGGTCCTGGGGCGCGGCATTTTTCCTGTGAATCCTCACAAATGAGCGGGCTCTTGTGGAGATCCTTCTAAATTCCTGTCTCAGAGGTCCTTGCATGATCCTGCACAGGTCCTTAACAGAAGATCTTGTGGAGATCCTGGTGAGATCCTCTCTAAGAGGTCCTTGCATGAAGATCTTGCAGATGCCATGTCTTAGAGGTGCTTGTATGAAAGCTTTTGTGGGAGGGAGTGGGAGGCACTTGGGGGGGTTCTTGTCTCAAGATCTTGTAAGATCCGCTCCAGCAGCACCAGCTCCTTTATGACGATCCTGTGAGCGTCTCTTATAGGGATCCTGGCATGAAGGTCTTGGTCACGGTCTTTTACAGATCCTTGTGAGAAGCTCTTGGAGGGATCCTAGTGACATGCTGTTTGGTGCCTGTGCATGATCTTGCACCGGTCCTTGTGAGAGGCTCTTGAAGAGGTCCTGGTGAAATCCTCTAGGTGTCCTTACATGCTCTCGTACAGGTCCTTGTGAAGATCTTGTAGAGTTCCTCTTCAAATCCTCCTCGAGAGGTCCTTGCAGTAAGATCTTGAAGATCCTCACATTGGTGTTTGACTGAAAGTTTTTTTGGGATGCTCATAGGAAGTTCTTGTATGAAGATTTTGCGAGTTCCTTTACATAAATATATATAGCAGGTCCTGCTGCTGCAGTTGCGATCATGTCGAACCTCATCTGTTACTGTTCCATGCTACTGTTGCTTGTATCTGGTACATTGCCTTCCTACCCCCCACACTGTTGGAGGTCTCTTGCCGGTGTATTTTTTTATGTGGATTGTTCATCATATTTGCCGAATTCCGCTTGATTTTGTCAGGGCATTTGTTCCATAAGAATTGGAGCGGCATGGGAAGAAAACAGTGTGTGTTGCGGGGCTGTTTGTAGCTTGAAGCACTTGATGCACGTTTCAAGCATCCTTTGCTTGGGGAGCATGTTGCACATCTTGTTTTGTGGTGATGTTCAACAATGACACGGAGATCGATCAATAATAGCTATGAAGAATATGTATATATATATGTGAAATACTTATTTTTGGGGTCTGAACACCCATGTAGCATCGTTTGCTATTTCAAACTGAACATTCCGGGGATGCGTTCTGGCTTTTGATCCCGGTTTCAATGGCAGCGTGAGTCCCTCAGCGTTGAAACGATGCGGCTCGGACTGTCCGGAGGCAAAGAAAAAAGTGCAGTTCTCTCCTTGGTTTTGCCTGGAGATAGGGTATTTGTAACCATCGTATTCGCCAGGGTTCCCCAGAAAAATGTCAATTTGCTGGGTATACTCACGTATACTCTATTTCAGCCACACCCATTTGAATCAGAGTGGTTTAACTGGTTTGAAAGTGAACACCTACTCAATTGACCTTATTTGCAGCCTCGCTAAATACATTGGCATTGATGATGTTTTTCAGCGCTTGATTGTCGTTCCAGCGAACCCTGTGTTGAGTGTCGCCTTCTCGAAGAATCGTGTGCTGCAGTTTTGTCAATGTCTGCAGTTGTTTTTGATGATATTTTGAGAACATTTGCGCGCAGAGAAATGAAGCAAACACACACATAAACATATAATATGTTTCTTACAAATTATGTATATATATATATATTTAATTATATATATACATACCTGGTAATCCCAAGGTTGTAAAAAAAATGTACTCGGTGATTTGAGCTCAAAAAACGTACTTGTTGAGGCAAAAACGTATTTGTTTGTTTTCCTTTGGGCGCACGTTGCGATCTTAAGCGATAGTTTTGGTAGCTAAGGGACTTTCAGTGTCTCTAAGGGTGTAAAACGGTTTTGTTCTGACACAGTTTCAGCTCACGAGGGTTTCCACTCACACTGCCATCAAATCTGAAGAAAAAGAGCTAGGCAACCAAGATCTACTGAAACATGACTAATGTGGGATACAGATTAGTGTGGGGATACACTATTGTGTCCACAGACCTCAGAATAATTGTGTAACCTTGGAAATGATCGAGGGGTACAGTTTTGTGTCCACAGGATTTCGGAGTAAGTTTTTTCAGTTTGTTTTTTAATTTTTAAAATGTTTTAAATTATGTTCTATTTTTTTAATTGTTTTAAATTGATGATTAATTACCAACTAAATTTATATATATATATATAATTGTTTAAATTTTATTTAAACAAATTTTAACTTTACATTTTTATTTTTCTAAATATATTCCATTATTAATTAAACCAATTTTTCAACATTACATTTAATATATATATTTATATATATATATATTCAATTTTTAATTTGACAATTTTAAGCATTATATTTATTTGTGTCAGGATACACTATTGTGTCTTGGTCTTGTGTTTGGGGTACACTATTGTGTCTTGGTCTTGTTTCTGTTCAAACATTTTTCATATTTTTAAAGCTTTTTTCTTTTACTTTTTATTTCCCATCATTGAATTTTTCCAGATGCCTCCCACAGAAAACTATCTCCAGGTTCACGATAGTATGGGGATACACTATTGTGTCCAGCTGCTTTCCTGAGGTGATGATTTTGATTTTTTCAGTCATTTCCTTTGCCTTTTCCTTTGCTAAAGTTTTTTCTTTTAATTAATTAGTTTCTTAGTTTCTTCCATTTGAAAGTCTCAGAAATGCACAATTTCCCAACATATACGATGCCTTATTAAATCCCAATTAAAAAACATCACCCAAACAATGTTTCAAGGGGGTAGTCCATGAGCAACCCTGATACACAATAGTGTGGTTTGTTTGGGGGGTACACTTTTGTGTCCTGCTGTTTCCTGGGGCGATTTTTTTTCAAACAATCCCTTTACCTTTTCCTTTGCTAAAGTTTTCCTTTTACTTCATAAACTTTCTTAATTAGTGTCTTTCATTTGAAATTCTCAGAAATGCACTATTTCCCAAAATATACAGGATGGGGCCCCCCAGTTATAAGTTGGTTTATAAACTATTATAACCCCCATTAACTATAGCTATATATACCATAAACTATTGTTAAGCCATTTATAAACCAACTTAGCTATCTTGGGGGCCCCATCCTGTATGATGCCTTAATAAAACCCAATTAAAAAACATCACTCAAACAATTTTTCAAGGGTGTAGCCCATGAGCAATCCCGATCCACAAAAGTGTGGTTTCTTTGGGGGGTACACTCTTGTGTCCAGATGCTTCCTGGGGTGATTTTTTTTCAAACAATCCCTTTACCTTTTCCTTTGCTAAAGTTTTTCTTTTACTTCCTAAACTTTCTTAATTAGTTTCTTTCATTTGAAATTCTCAGAAATGCACTATTTCCCA